CTTTGAACAAGTTAGGATATGAAACTCTAGAACTACTTGTTTGTGCTTTAAGCCTTTGAAATCTTAGTGACTACGAAGCTGCAGAATCTGCCTGATTCAATGCAGCTTTGATTTGTAAATGCGACTCAGGTTAATACAAACTCCTTCTTTCACAGAGGCAGGTCATGTTGTCAAATTTTTGCAAGAACTTCATTTTATCTTTCAGCTGTTTTGAACCCGATCGTCTAAGAGGATGTTTTGAATTTAATTTCAAAATTTCTTTTTTTTTTAGTCGTCACAAGGTGTATCTTCACTAAGCTAGTGTCATGTTTTTCATTTCCTTTCAGGAACCTTTACATCATCGTTCCTCTCGGGACAAAAATTATGATTGAACATATTTTCGGATAAAATTCTTGAGAAATTAAGCGCTGAGCCGACTATGTGTAGGCTGATTCTTTGACAATTTTCTGTAATTTTCTAGCGGGACGAGAATAAGAACACAAATTTTAAAATTACTTTTAAAGTTTGAAGTGTACAGTAAATGAATCAATTCCAAAGTTCCTCTTTCATTGTGTGATTTATTTACCCTGAAAATAACGCTATAAAATCGCATTTTGATATTTTTTTCTACAAACCTTCCCTTTAAGATGTAACAAGTAAAACAAACTTTATTTGCTATCTGTGATTTATTCAAGACATTCACGAATATGTGGACACGGGAATATCGCAAAAATTTTATCGGTCTATTGGATGATTCTTCGAGAACCTCTCTGTCAAATTGAACGAACTTATTTTCTGCTATTCCACAAGAGCCCTTTTTGCACGAGTAAGGCTTCGCTGACTGATATGGCGAAGAAAAATCGAACCTGTAAGACTTGAACTCCATCGCGGTTTATCTCACTTGTGAATGGACGATAAATAAGCAGACTCGGAGGCTGGTCTAGGAGGGAACATGGACTAACAAATCCAGCTCGATTTAATTCTAGTTTCACAGAGTTCTTTGTTTAACTGGTTCGGGTACTTCAATTTTACAATTTGGCCTGTAAATACTTGATTATGAATATTTCTATAATCAAGAATTTACAGGCCAAATTGTCTGAAGGAAAGAAGCAAATAGCGACTTAAGACATAACCACCACTATTTTGTCCTTTTAGAGAGAAATAAAATACGGCCTGTCCTATTAAATAGTATTCGCCCTTTTTTGACCTTTTCATTACCAACGTATTCTGGGTATAATCGAGTTTAACAATTAAATTACAAGAAAACTGAGATAATTTTAAACATATCGGTGAAGCAAAGAGAAATGAACCGATAAGCAATGCGCGCGCGTTCATTGCAGGTTATCACGCGCGTTCGTTGCGGCTTGTGCTTTGCCAAAAACTAAACGAAAATTCCAGCGGAAGATGGTAGAAACAATGTTCTATGATATTTAGCGGTAAAAAGTTAGATATCACTTGTTCGTATCCACGAAATGATCGCGTGACTCGCGAGTAATTGTCGCGACACACGCAACATATTTGACCAACGGGGGTGCATTTTAGAGCAATTCGATATCACTCCTTTCGGCTTCCGGGCCTCACCGCCCACCAAATGCGCGACGGGCAACCTTTTTGTATTTGTCGTCGCGGCGAGATTTTATCACAAATCCATCTATCACGGCCCGTGTTTAAAGACCTTTTAGCCGCAAATTGCTTCGAATTAAACACAATAACGCTGAGAGCTCGACAGGCATATTCAAAATCTTTCTCTCACTCTGGGAGATATTGCGTTTTGTTTACAACGAACCTTGAGAATAAATTATCGCCCCGGGAGGCTAGCTGTCAACTGCTGAGCATTCAGTCAACACAAAGTTATTAATTTGGCGGGAGGTAGGCTGGCCGAGCCAATGGTTTCAAAGCATTGCGGCTTCTCGGAAGTGCTGTTGCGATCTTCTTACACATGTAAAAAAAACAAACTGTTCTTTAGCTCATCGGCGCGTTGCTAGATGTATATCAAATGCGACAGGTATAAATTTTTCTGCTTGACAGCAGTAAGAGACCGAATATTAAAAATTTTCCCATTTCCTGTCTTGGTTTGACGACCACCTGGGAACAAGCGCGCAGAAATGTATATCACCAGAGTTTCACTTGCAGGTTGTTCACCGGTCCTTTCTAACCGGTTTAAGAAAAAAAAGGATTTTTTCTGCTCTCTTCCCATCCAGAGTGCCATTATTGTGTGATCGTGGCAGAACTAACGCACGGTGTATTTTGGATGAACAAAGCTCAAAGGCAAAAGTATCTTCTCTCCATTATAGCAACGAGCAAGTTAGATCCCCTCAGTTATCGAGTTCTATGAGATAAAACATGAACGTCTCCTCTGCCACGCAGTTTTCACATTTTTGTGCGTTCTTTGTTTGATTTAAACTCCTCATCCGACAGATTGATATTAAAGTATCTTTGTTTTGTTTTAAAACAAAAGAAATTCATCGATAAAAGGAACTTTAAAAATGCCGTCCTCGATAGCCGCACTTTTAAATATTTCATAACTGGTGCGTTTTTCAAGCTCAATTATTGTTCTCAGCTAAACCAGAAACGTGATATGTGAGGAGTGCGCGAAGCATGACGGCTTGCCCCTCGCTGTGACACAGTGTTGGCGACGGCGTTATCGCACGATTGGCAAAGAATTTGACTTAATAGTGACTTTATCTATTTTGCAGACTCAATGTTCCATATCCTTTCCATGCTTAGTTTTACAAATTGTTTACAGTGAACTTTAAAACCGATATTGTTACGCTAAACTTAAAGTTCAGCTTACATATAGGAAACGGAAATTAAAAAAAAGAATGAAAACAAAACACTTTCCGGCCGGTTAACAGTTTTGGCATTTTATAAGACAAGGATGTCGAAAATAAAACTGTCGTCTTTGCGAACTTTTTAATGTTTTCAACGTTGACAGATTTTTAAATTTTTTTTTTTTTTTACATTCACCTGACTGCCTCGAATTATTATGGAAACGTGAGGGGATTGTAGCTTACACTTTTTTAACCTTTTGATGTGTAAATGAAATCAAGGCCTGACGTAAATTCAATTCTGCTTAGTACACGAGCCAAAATCCAGCTTTTCAACTCTCTGATTAACAAGTACAGTCGAACCTGTATTAAGCAGCTCCGCATTAAGCGGTCGCCTTATATTAAGCAGTTAGTTATCAAAGTCCCAAATTTGATTTCTATAATAACTGACATTTTCACCTTTATAAAGCGGTCGCAGTTACCCTTCACGAAGTCCCAACGGGCTTCATATTTGTTTTCCACCTGTCTAGAACGGTCATTGACAACAGAACCACTCAAATATTACTAAAAATAATCTTTCAAGTAATTTTGAATCCATGTTTCTCTCCCAAAAACTGAGTAAGTAGTTCTATGCGCGATGTACATTAAGTGGTCAATTATGGTATAAGGTGGCGTTGTAAATATTTTTTTTAATAATACCCCTAATCTGTGAAAACTTTAACAAACGGTCAACCTGTTTTAAACGTTCACCGCGCCATTTCCCGTAGTGAGCGCTTAATAAAGGTTCGATTGTAATTTCTCCACGCAATCTTCATCCAGCTATAGGGCTTTATCTTGATATAATATCAAGGTTTTTTTACCAAATTTTTAAGGGTCAACAGAGCTAAATGTTCTATTTTCGAATTCTTTATCCCTTCTTGTCCATAAACCTTTAACTTCCAGGATATCCCAGGGATGACCGGTATGTCATTTCTCTTTACAATATCAAAACAGTGTCAAGCAAACAGGTGACGAGGAGAGTGGTGAGAAATATCAAGTAGAGAACATTGTTTCAAGTCGTTTTTTTTTATTATTATTATTTTTTTTATTAGATTCATGCAAATTAGTAAATATATATGACTAGCTGACACAATAGCCTGACCAAGACAATCAATAAACTGAATTATACATGCATTTGATTGGTTCTAGTGACGATCTACTGGAGGCCAGACGTCACTGTGTGCAACACTTTGCTTCTCAATGCCGCACAGTAGCCTGGGATCTATTTGTTAAATATAATGAATGAGCAGAAGTCCTCAATGGTGACGCCATCTAGGTGTCTGTACTCCAATGGATCACAGTTGAGAACCAATCATACTGCTTGTACAATGGGGTAATTTAGTATTATCAAAGAGTTGATAGCGGAAATTGACAACCGTAAGGAGTTTAATGGCTGATATTTCGGGCGTTAGCCCTTCGTCAGAGCGATTGACGAAGGGCTAACAACGTTTACTATCGCGTTTCGTTTTAGTTACTGAACGTCCAAGATTAGAAGGAATGTGATTTACTCGACGCAAGTGGCGAAAACAATAAATTAAACATGTTGAAATTTCAATCAGAGATTTAATGTTCCTCAGTGTTTTGAATCAGAGAACTCAAACTTCCTCCGTTCCTGTCATTAATTTTCATGAATAGAAAAAATAACAAACCTTTAACCCGCATGGGGATCCAGTAAACAAATGGTTTTTGTAAAGGAAAACAGATTCAGTTGCGGAAATACGCTGTTGGAATCAAGAATGTGTAGTCAGAGACAACAATTTGAACTGTGGGCAGTGGCTACAATAGTCCGGCTAGGAGGTTTAAAAACGTTCTTTGAGTCCGTTTGTTAATTTTTATGGACTAAGCTTTCATTATATACAATTAGTGATGAAACAAACCGTTTAAAGGAAGACAAACAAGAACATACAAACACACTATAACTACGAGGCACAGTATTGGAGGAGGGGGGGAGGGGGGAGGATGGTGGGGCACTTTGAAATCTCACAGAAACTCAAGGTTTACTAAATCACTGTGAACTTTAAGGTTTTAAAAGAAATTTAACAAATTTTAAAGTTCACCTTTAGCAATCTGTATTTGTATATTACTTTAAGGTCTTCATAAATGTTAATCAACATTTGAAAACTGTACTTCATGTGTAAGCAAGCATGATATACAAATCCTGCGCACAGGCAAAAGACTTTAATTGGTCAGCGGTTCTGCCTGAGAAAGGTAAAACTACGGTATTTATACAAGGTATAAACTGAAATTGGGAAATCTTTTAAAGGCAGAAGTTATTCGTCATGGAAATTGCTCATTTCAAGCACAAATTAGATGCAGAAAGTATCGAAGAAAGCATCAAGCCCATTCTAAGGCAGTTGAGACCAGATTGGAACATCAACGAAGTCAAATTCAAACAGTTCAATGATGGAATCAGTAACATGCTCGTGGGCTGCAATATGCCGAGTCTTGCTCCCGGCGAGATGATCCTTTTCCGATTGTTCGGGAATAAAACCGAGCTTTTTATAGATCGGGAAAAAGAGCTGGAAACCTTTCAGATTTTGCACTCTAAGGGCTACGGACCCCCTGTCTACGGGACTTTGGAGAATGGTCTGTCGTACGGATTTTTGGAGGGGGATGTTCTCGACACCGATATGATTGCGGACCCGCATATATCTTCACTATGTGCTCGTCACGCAGCTCAGTTACACGCAATCAAAATTGATCACGAGAATTCCAAACATAGAGCAGAACCAATGCTTTTCAATGGAATGATGAAATACTTGAATCTTCTTCCCGAAAAGTTTGAAGACCCGGAGAAAAACGAAAGGTAAGGGGAAGGGAGGGAAGAGGGTCCTGTGTGGGGGTAGTACAGGAGAAAGTTTTCTCCCTGTCTCTCTCTCTCTGTCTGTCTCTCTCTCCACCACCTGATAGCCGTGAAAATCAAATCATCTCGTATTTTAAGTGAATTCTTACAAGCTATAGAAATATTCAATTCCAAAGTGAAAGATTATTAAACAGGGTAATTAGATGATATTTGATTGTCACCCAATGATTTAACAATCAGTTTTGGAAAAAACCATTCCTCCTCTTGTGCTGATCAGGGTTCCAAAAAACCATTGTTCCTCCTTCTGTGCTGATCAGGGTTCCAAACAAAATATTGTTCCTCTTGCTGTGGTGATCAGGGTTCTAAAAAAGCATCATTCCTTCTTGTGTCTACCATAGTTCCAAAAACACATCATTCCTCCTCTTGTGCTGATCAAGGTTTCCAAACACCTGACGTCCAAATGCCTCACTTAGTCTTCATTGGATAATCTAATGTTCAAACCCAGTCGAAATTCATTATCAACATAAGGAGATAAAATTTGCATCCACACATGGTCATGCAATATCTCTTTTATTTCCTTTGTTATTTATATTTCAATATGTTTCTCTGTAAAGGTTTGAACAGCAAGCTCCCAGCAAAGCTAAATTAAAGGAGGAGATTGAAAGCCTCAAGAGTGTTTTACTAAAACACAAATGTCCTGTGGTGTTCTGTCATAATGACATGCTCTGTAAAAATTTACTTTACAATAAAGATAAAGGTGGGTCAAAATTAAACTGTTGGATTTTTTACAGTTTATAAATTAACACTGTCTTGATTGTACTTATTTTCATGAAGGCTCTTTGTCAGAAGGAAAAGTGCAAATTAGATATGCTTGGTAACCATGCATGCTTAAAATGGTTAGAAAGAACACAATTTTCAAGGAACATAAGAATATTCAAGGTTACATACCTGTAGCTTCATCTAAACCAGAGAGGGGCTGAAAGCATTTTTGGACAGTTACGTAAACTCAAGATACAGCAGAGGGTTTGTATAATTTTGGAGAATTCTCCCAACTCCCTAAGTGTTAAGACGAGGCTATGACAAAAGATCTCTTTTACTTTTACAAAGTATTGCAAAAAAATAAGTGTAATGGAAGAACAGGGTTGAAGTGAAGAAGTTAGGCAGCTGGCTGAAATTTCAAGTGAGGTGGCAAAGATAGCATTTTCAATTTTGAACAGTTTTGTAATACCTCAGAAGTGATTGTTCTACTTTATCAAGTGATCGCCAGCCAAAATCCATTTTGGACTTTGATTTTATATTTATTTATATGTAATTTAATTTTACTTATTGCAGATATTATTCTTAGTATTGATTATGAGTATGCCAGCATGAACTTCTTGCCTTTCGACATAGGAAATCACTTCTGTGAATATGCAGGTATGTTACATGTGACCTCCACAACAGGGTATTTCAAAACATGCCAGTGACCACCAGAATTCCTCTGGCCACTTGATGGTGTGTTGCTGGTTACTCTGGTCAAAATAATCACCTTTTGGCCCTCAATGAACTTCTCACAGCCACCTACTTTTGCCGAGTCTGACACCTACTTCTGCAATCAAAACATTTTGAAACCCCTGTGTAACCAGTATTTAACCATAGGGATCTGATGTATAATTCCCCTTTTGTAATTGCTATGCATTTTCCTGTAAAGTACCGTAAACATCCATGTATAAGCCGCACTTTTTTTCACAAAATTGAAGCCAAAAATCAAGGGTGCAGCTTATCCATGGCTACATCTGTGTTTGGAGTTCTCAAAACCTAATTAATATTCATAAAACTTCTTATGTCACTTTCTATAGACTTGATAAATGTGAAAGATAGCCACAACTTCTATGTTGGTGTTTTGAAACCTTGATTGTTTGTAGCAATACAACTCTACTGAAATTTCCAACTGTATTGTTTTTATTTTTTTCCAAATTCTGCGCTTCCAAATCGGGGGTGCGGCTCATCTAAGGATGCGGCTTATACATGGACATTTATTTTGTTTTCCATTAATTCAGATGGCAATGTATTTCACCAGTGAAGGACCCTTCGCTCATAGTGGCTTATTTCTCCTTACAAAATAAAGCCCTTGCTTGTTAAACAAATTCTCCTTGTTAGAAGCTTAGAAAATGTATAAAGAACAGTATGGAGAACATGCATACTGATGTTGGTGTAAAGGGTTAATGAAAACTCTGACATTGTAATTTTTTTAATCTTCACAAGGAGTGGATGAGGTTGATTACAATTTATATCCCAAAAGAGAACATCAGTTAAAATGGATTGCTGTTTATCTTGAAGAAGCTGCAAGATTAAGAGGTATGAATAACTTGTAGCAAACTCAGTGTAGATGTTCTTAAGAATTTAATTTATTTATCTTTTCCACATTTTTTTAATGCCAAATTTTTAAATAATTCTTTGGATGTTAGTTCAAGATGCAAGATGTGTTTAGTGTAGGTATGATAAATTATACCTTTCTTGTTACTGGTCACAATTAATGCGCACACATTCTGTAGGTATTAATAATTCCATATTTAAAAATATGATCATTTTATTCAATGTGTTTTGTTGCCCTGGCAGCCAAGCTTTATTATCATAATGCCAATTCTTAGGATTAATATTTGTGAACTGTTCGCAATATTCACATATAATTTGGGTGTTATGTTCCACATCTTGCCTTTCTTAAATTAGTATTATTAATATCACTTGGGGTGTTAAAATTATATTTTCTCCCAAGTTAAATCAGCTGGATCAGTTTGGAACAGTAACAGCACTTTTAAATGCACTTCACCACATCATTGTTTGTCTAAGTATTGTGGACGATAATCTTATGAAAAAGTAACAATTAAGAATTATAGAAAGTGTTGGGGTTCTTTTATATACTCAACAATTTTCCTCTTTTTGTTTCAAATTAGGTGAGACAAATCCTAAAATTTCTGATGCAGAAATAGAAAAGCTGTATGTGCAAGCCAATCACTTTGCTCTGGTAGGTTAAATTACTGTAGTCAAATGACTTACGTGTCTCTTTTGTGAGTTACAGGGGCAAGTTTCTAAGTAAAAGAAACTATGGTGCTGCATCAGAGGGGGTAACACAAGACAACTATCACCTTTAGAAACCCTTTAACTGTGTCCAATACACGTAATCAGCTAAGTTGATACAACAAAATTATAATTTCTGGTAAAGGGGGTGAGTTTCTAAAGAAACTGTGGCGCTGTGTGGGTGGGAGAGTATAGCAAGGTAATTTGGTGTTAACAACTGAGCTGAAAATGTACATTAGCCACTGTAAAGTGTTTGAAGGCTAACGTTTCGAGTGTTGGCCCTTTGTCAGAGTGATTGGAAGACTTGTGGGTTGTATGTGGGTTTATATGCAGAAAATGGAGCTATGCTTTTGGTGGGAATACAATGACATGAATAAATAAGATGAATGAAAAGTGCTCATTATTGATACTGTGAGGAAAATTAAATTTTGTGGTAAGTTTCCAACACATCATTGCAAGGTTCTTGAATGGATTAACACTTGATTTCTGTTTGAGAAAGTCTTTTTTAGAGTGGAAATTATTATTAAATGAAATATTTAATAAAAGTGCACTTAAAATATATTAAAGTTCACATGACAACCAGGTGGACAATCAGACATGGTTTGATGCTACTCTGGTTTACATATTTAATGAATGTAACTGAAGAATTTACAATTCATAGACCCTATCCTTATTAGGATACACATGAGAGCTTAGTTGTTTTTTTGATCAATGTTCTAGCAGTATTTCCTCACCTTCTCTTCTTGGTTGCTTTACAGGCAGCTCATTTCTATTGGTCATTGTGGGCCTTGGTGCAAGCACACTTCTCAGCTATTGACTTTGATTTCTTAGGGTAAGTTACATTTTAGAAAATTAGGAGTAAGAAACTTAGCAATTGAAACATAAAAAAATTTTCACTTGACGACTTAAGTCATTAAAACCAATAGAACTAATTAGGGAGCAAAGTATGCATCAACTCTGGCCCTGGAATCAAGCAAGGGGCCAGAAGACTTGTGTTACCCATACAATTTGCATTTATCTACTTAGCCTTAGTTTCCTTCAAGTAACATGAAAACTTTACTTGGCTCATGCTGGAATGAGCACAATGTCTTGACTTTCACTGATTTGCCTTGTGTTGCCATCTTTTTCACATTAACCCCTTTCTTTTGTTTTGTGTAGGTATGGAATAACTCGTTTTAATGAGTATTTCAGAAGAAAAGAGGAGTTCTTGGCATTGTCTTATGATTAGTGACCAAGATCAACAGATGTCTCTTGATAAAGTAGCAATATTGTTAGTAAATTAGTTTAATTGTAGGAAGCACAACTTTTAAGGCTGTGTTGTATTAGTGGTCAATCCTTGGCTGTAAGAAAAATCCTTGTAATAAGCATGAATTTATCATAAATGGTTTAGTACTATCTTACAATCTGAGCAACATTTGATCAAAGATTCTGATTCTTATCATCTCAAGGGAATAAGACATACATATTTATAAGTAATATGCTACAAAATAAAAGTGGATATTTTTTTATTATCAGGTAACATCTGCACCAAACCAGGATAACTAATGATTATAGGCATTTCCTGAGTAACAACTGTGTTAAGTTGATACCAAGCAGTTTTATTTTCATGTGCTGGTCACAACATAAAATCATTATCAAACGTTTTTGTTGTTAATAAATTAGGGGTATGATTATAGTAGTACTTTGTCAGGAAGAGGAAGAAGTGGATCAAATCTAAGATAAAACTTGTCCGTGAAAGCTTAGATCTGTGGTACTAATACAGTCTGAATAAAAAAAATTATAAACTCAAACAATTGGCTTTTGCTTCCTAGTACTATTAAGTTGTTGATAAATGTTGATAAAGTAGAAAGGAAAAAAAATTAATAGAAAGAAAAAATAAGACATGGCCTATCTTCTTTGTAATGAGCCAGTGATAACCCTTACTGAGCATAAAATGTAATGCCAGAAATTTTTGTTCTTTCAATCCCACATGATGTGCTGCACCACTGACCACTTTGCTTGTCTTAGAAGTAAGCAATATAGCTAGCAATCATTTTTATTGGGGTTTGTGTTATATCTTAAGGCCTAACAATCAGAAAACCAAGTTGTTATCATGAAAAGAAAAGGACAGAGAATTTAATAACATTTCACTTCAACTTTAAACCTTAAAAAGTAAGGATACTAACAAAATGTTGGAGCTAGCTACTTGACTACCCAACACAGGTTGCCAGTTTGTTGTCAATCACTTCAGATTTAGTTGATAAAAAAAATAAATTTCTCCACTAGCCATGGCAACCAAAACAGTTGTGAATTGGAGCTCAGTGTTCTTTTAGGTGTAAACTGTTCACTTTAAGTGTGTTTATTGACTGCCTCCCTCTCCTTGTTGCTCTGGTTGCTGGGATGTGAGCATCATTAACACAACAACAGGTACTATGTACATCCACTGCAATAATAAGGGATTTGAATATTTAGGTGAACAAATATTTCTGACCAGGGTTCCTGGTACTTGTACCTCCTCAAAAGATTCCAAAATCAAATGACTTGTGATGAGTTATCTGATATTTCCATGTCTTCTCAATTGTCTGTCACTGTTCACAACAAAACTACTTGCACAAACATGTAGCTTGATTCCCCCAAAGATTTAAGTGGATTGGAGAGACCATGCTTATCTATCAGTAGTATCCTGATATAACCTTAAAACAAACCTTTCTTACATAAAATAAGATGTTCATATGTAAGAACAAGAAATATTAGTGTATATACCACACAGGTGAATAGCTCTTCAGCTGGTTCTGATTGACTAGTTCAGAAGTGATTACCAATTCACTTCTGACCAGCTCATGTCATGAGGATGGGACATAAAAAAAGATTCTGTGTTTTCATATGGAATCCTACCTCAAACCTTCAGATTAGCACTCCGACACTCTACCACTAACCTACAAAGACTCTATACTACTAGGATCAGCAGCATCAAAAGTGTCATTTTTATATATAGAATACAATACATAGTAGAATTCTTTGTATGTCAGAGCTTAATTCATAATGAAAAAGAGATGTTTTGTGCATTGTTAAAAACATTGTGCAAAAAAAAAAAAACTTACATATTTTGCCAGAAAAGATCTGTTGTCCTGTGTCTGTCCTGCTGCTTTGTCTCGTTTTTCCTTCTCTAGTTTCTGAATGTAGGTCGCTGTTTCAGGACTAGTAAACAAATGAAACATTATTACACATGTACAACTGAGCAATTCTTTCCAGCTTCTCTGGGAACTTTCTAATTGTATGTTAAACACTTTTGCCCCAAGTAGTATTGGGGGATAAAACACAGCATAGCACTGTTACAGTGTAACAATAATTACAAATGCCCTCTTAACTCATTTCTAGAGTTTTAACTTCACACTTACAGTTGTCCTGTTCCCTGGAGCATGACTACAACAGATGTGTTAAAGCTAGATGGCAGGCTCATTCCATCCTTTAAGGACAAACAAACACAAAAAGAATGTATTATTGGTAAAACATATGGTATGTAACATAACAAACCCAAATGAATAAAAACACCAGAGTTTCTCCAAGGGGGGAGGGAAAGGAGGAAGAAGAATCAAAGAGATGAGGGTGGGGTTGGGTTATTAACCCTTCAACTCCTGGATCAAATTTGTAATTCTCCTTAAAGTCAACCTTACAATTTGTATAATGTTAGTTCAGAGAATTTAGTATTGGATCAACTAATTATCCTCAAATTGATATTTTTCTTTATTCTCATCACCTATCTGGTTGATATTGTTTTAATATCGCAAGGAGAAATTCTATCTTGGTCACTCATGGGAGTTGAAGGGTTAAAGAAGGGGCCTATAAAAGAGGGAGGCTTATTAGAACCTTCAAGAACAGGGCTGCATTGGCTCATCATTGCATTTATGGTAGTTTTGGATGAGTATGACAACAGTTCATGGACAAGTTACTAAATATATGGCTTCCAACCTTGCTTGTTCTGATTTGTAATAAAATTAAGGTTCATAATGTTAAACTTAAAATACATACAAAAAAAAACAAAAATTGGGTAATGGGACAAAAAAACTGAAGACAAACCAAGTTGAGTGTCTTTGCTTCACAGCCACCATCAGGGACAATTAATCCAACCCCATACAAGTGTCCTGTAACAAAAACAAAAGTTGTGTTAAGTCTGAGTTCAAGAGGTTCTTATCTGGCTTATGTGCAGTTTCCTTTGATGGTGGGATCTTTTACAATAGTTACTGCATATTCTTTATGTACTTTTTCTATTTGGTTATTTTGAGAATTTTCACTGTCTTCACATGAGAATTTTCACTATCTTTATGAATTTCAATATTGTGATGACTGTGATCTACCCACCAGCATTGTCAAGAGACAGAGTTATAGTCTCTGTGAGTCTTGATGTAAACAGCGCACACTGCAGTTGAAAGGTAGAGAAACAACACCCAATCAGAGGTAGTTTTAAAAGTTAGATTACTTGATCATGTTTGCTAATATAACCAAGAAGATAAATGTAAAAACCTTGTAGTCTTGCCTACAACAAACTTTCACTTGGTGAATACAAATAAATATCAACTACATCAATTTATAGATCAATGCCAAAATTCAAGGCCATTATCAGCACTGGTTAAGCACTGGTTCCTAAATTAAGACTTACAGCTTTGACAAATGTTGTAACACTGTTATCTAAATCATCACTGCTTTCTGCAGACTTGGGCTGTAACCGTATTCTATAGTAACCATTAGTTGATGCTAAATCCTGCATTACAAGGGAGAGAAAAAGAATTAAAAGTTGCAGTAAAAGTTTATCTCTGTTTCTCATTCAAACTAAAAGCTACCTAAGTCAAGCCTTTCAAAACTGTAAATCTCAAGACAAGCCTAACTAGCATAGCTACTAAAAACGAAATGAATATATTAAGTGACTGCATAAATGCAACTGCTTTTTGATGTGACACTACTGTAGTGGATTAAAGGTAAACCTGAGACAAAAAGCCAAATCAGTTCTCTTTAGCAGTTTCCTGGTGCTGTGCTCATTTATTTTTGAGGGTGTGGGGGGAAGAGGGGATGGGAATGGAGAAGGTACTGTAAATGAAAATAAAGTGACTTGGCCAAGAATGCAATTGCTTAAGAATCTACCACAGTCTATTCTGGGGTTGTATTACCTTTCAAAAGCTGCACTTTAACACTACAGTTGAGACTTTTCATGTTCCTATGCATGGGTCTGCATGCGCACTTAAGTTGACTTTAGTTAATAAAGCTAACAGCCAGCATTCATAGTAAACAACCGTAACCCTAACCACTTGAAAATAATTATTATTGGATACCCTTAGGTTGTTCACATCTTCAAATGAGAGTGCTTCCTGCTCTGAAAATATTCCACTGGAACTCTTAAGACTCTTGACATGAATGGTTCCCCTACAGACAAAATAAAATAAACAAACAGTTCTGAACATGAAGTTTTGAAGCCAGAAAGCTGAGGCTTACACTTAAGGGACAAAAAATACTCAATTTGCAAGAATAAATATAATTTTAAAAATATATGATATGGTTTTGTTTGAACAAGGATCTTTGGGATGACCTGGACTAAATGCAGCCTGGATTGGCCGCATGGGGTCTTGTATCCTCTCCTGCCTCAGGACTATTCAGAGTAACACATAACAGCTGTATTTCTTTAACTTTATGGAAGTAATGGCACATGACCTAAAACATGCATGGCTTCTTGGAATATTTGCTTACCTTGGCTTAAAAACTGCATTTGTTCCTAAGGAATGAAAGAAAATGTCAATTACTTGATAATCCAGTCATGCTAAAAAAAAAAAAAAAAACGCATGCACATGCACACTCACGCCGGTCATGTGGATACACCGTACCAATCATGATGCATTATAAAAATGTTGAAGAACCACTTGAAATAAAATAAGCTTATTTGCAATTTTTGAAGTATTTACCTTCGGTCAGACAGTGCTCTAAGGTGAAAACCAACTCGTCTCCACGAGACTCCACACATACCACCTTCAAAAAATTAAACAAGGTTACAGCTGTTCGGTTAATATGGGAATACAATTTATCATAGTTTTTCCTCGTTCATCCTTGAAATAGCCTCATCTCAGGCCGATTTTAAATGAAAAATTTTGAAGAATTCATTACCATTTTAAAAGATATTTGAAGAAACAGTAAAAGAGGAGAGAGGAAAAAATTCTGTTTTCTGTCCGCCATCTTGAAACTCAGGTAAGGGATTATGGTAACCTCAGTGGAGCAAGACTGGGGTATAACTTAAATTTAAGATGGCGGACGCACCAAGTAAGCGTGTGCCTAACCTTTGTTGTTCAATGCAAGTAACTTGTTACTACGGCAAGTGGAGCCCCTACTCTTTTTATTAGCTAATGCTGTTAAGTAGTGCTCATACCGTACAGGCATAAGAGATGGAAAAAGAAAGTAGCGTCCTTAAACGCGAGATAAAACGCGCCAAGTTGTTCGAAGTGCAACGACTCGTGCGAAGAATGAGGCAATTAGGAAATAAGAAGGGAACGGAAGCTCAGTTAAAAAAGAACCGACGAAAGATCGAAAGGTTTGAAAAGGAGCTAGAGTTTCTGAAGGACACTACAGTGGCTGAAATAATCCGTCGAGTCACCAACGATAAGAGTGAAACTGAGCGTGTTGCTGATCGTGTGCTCGAAGACCATGTTGAAGATTCACTTACAGACATTGATCTTCAGAGAAGAGCCATGGACAGGATCGTTAACTCCACGAAACTTCACAAATCTCTAGAAGGAATATCTGCTAATAAACAACAGTCAGTACGATTTGAAAAAAGAAGTAGCAAAAACAAAAAGAAACCTAAGACTGTTGGAGAAAAAGTTGCTGTCACATGGAATGAAAAGTCAGTTTCTGGTAACACTCAAGCGAAAGAATACGAAGGTAATGAAAACAGCGATACAGAAACAGAAAAAGCAATGATACAAAAAAGACTGAAAGCTTTAAAGAAAAAACCAACAACAAATAAACTTGTTTCAGCTAAAAAGCCTCAGCTTAAAGAAATTTTAGATCAAGATGACTCCTTTGTATCTGGCTCAGACGTAAGTGGAAGTGACTCCGGAGAGGATACTGATGGTATTTCTTATCCAGACTTGAAACCTAAAGGTTTAGGGTCCTGTTTCGTTCAATCTATGTCGGGTGTGAAGGATGATGAGAAGGTACTCTTGAAGGAAAAAAGCACCTCAGGAAATAAGAAAGTAAGAAAAGCTGATAAGACAGTTAAGAGGAACCGCAAAGGACAGCGTGCACGGCAGCAAATGTGGGAAAAGGTACATGGAAAGAGTGCAAAGCATTTGGTAAAGAGAGCAAAAGAATACACTTCAAAGGATAATAATGAAATAAAGAAGTTGAAATCAAATAATGTGAAATCGCAGCAGCCTACCAAACAGACAAAGAAAGAAGAAATTCTGCATCCATCGTGGCAAGCTATGAAAAAAAGGAGGTTACAAGAAACTATGAAGGTAGAATTTAAAGGAGAGAAGATAAGATTTGACGATTCAGAGTAAACTTAATTAACAAATGCTTGTATGTTGCGCTTAGATTTTTTCTTTGATTCTTGATGTTTAATAACAGATATAAAAGCAAAGGGAAAAAACTGAACCAATGAGAGATTGTCACAACATCATTCAACGATAGTTGTAAGTCATGACTTTTGTAACTTGAAAAAAATAGCCTAAATTTCACAAGTTTTTCAGCTGGAGCCTACTTGTGACACAAATTGCCTTCATCATTACCACAGGAAATGGAGAGAGACCAGTGTGGAGAATTTTAGGGTTTAAAGGGGTAAATGTTCCATTTTCTGCTTTTTCACTTTTTGAGTCACTTTTTTGTTTTCTTTTTTTTCTGCTGAATAGCATCATTCTCAAAGTTTGCATTGAGTTAAAGGTTGTTTTGCATGTTGCAAATATAACTAGAAATATTCTGACATACATTGAAGATACCAAACATTAGCACCAACTCTTTACCTCAAAATACTTTCTTGATAGTGTAATGATTAGTTATTTGGTAAACTGGAACCCAGCCTTTGGACAACAATGCACCTCTTTTAGTTAGAGCCGTTAATTTGATGTTTTATTAAGGCTATCACCCGAATCAAATAATTTTGTTTTTACTTGTGAAAAATCAATTTAATATGCTGATCATAGGTGAAATTGAAACATGAAAAAATCAATATGCTTCAATATTGACAGTTGTTGTCAAGGCATCAGGATGTGATTTCTCCAGTATAAAAATTTGAAGGACTGGAGAAGGAAGAAGAACTTGATTTCCGGAGGCAGTTATCAGTTAATTTATGACCTCTGATCCAATACAACAGAAGAATATTATTTCAACCAAATGCACCTTGAGCATGGCAAACAAACGATGATTATTTTTTTTATGTGGATCACTAGAAATTGTATGGCAGTCTTGCATTGCATCACTACCAAAGGTGTAGTCAAGTTGGAGAGAGATCCTTATCTGTATGTAACCCCTAACTACCGTTTGTTAAGAAAAAAGTATTGATGTAATATATAATGAGGGAAGAATCTAGTTTAGGACCTTCTGACAAGAATTTCAGCTCATGCCATTGATAATATTCTTAAGGTCATGACCTGAAGGTTAAATGCCTTTCAGCTAAGTGAGCCGGACAAAAACCGCTTGTATCGCCTCATGAATCAAGCTGGATAAACGGCTAATGAAATTCCTTTGTAACGGAACTGTAAAACACAAGCTGCTGTACTTACACTTGATTATTGTGTATCGTGTCGTCCTGTGAATCACAAGTAACGATAAAATTTGATTTAAAAGAAAACAAGTCGAAGGCGTCGTGAGATTTATTGTTGAAGGGGTACGACCCGAGTAGTCTATTTCGGTACTACGTGAAGCAGAAGACGATCCAATTTAAATTAAAATGTGCGGAGAAACAAATGAAAAAAAATTGGAAAAAGCCCATGAAACTGAAGGAACCACTACTAACTGGACATTAGGAGAAATTTCCCACCTTTCAATGCATACGCGCAAGGAAAAAGCGCGGGAAGATGTTTGTAGCCGCGTTTCGCCTTACTTATTGTGCTCTGTTGTGCTGCAGAGCTTAGAAAAAGCAGGAAAAATGTTTCAGGTAAGTCAAGCTCTTTTTAATATATTTCATGTAAAAGTTATGGTACATAAATGTTTCGCTCTTACATACTTCTCAGTGTCAGAAGGCTACATTCTCCTATTTAGTTAATTAACAAGTTTTCTTGGTTCAGTTACCTTGCTAAAGGACGCTGCGGTTCAGTGTGCAACCGGGCTGTCTCTTGACGCACTTATGATTTATATCTTAAGAATAAAGTTCAGGCAATCAGTGAGTTAAGACTGAAAAATAGTGAGATCGTGATTATTATGAGGTTCGAGAGTTTGTCCACGAAAATGCTTATTCGTGGGTAATATTCCTATTACTGTCCTATTCCTCGTTTATTTACTTGCCCCCCTTAATTTAGTTATTAGCAATAAGTGATCGTTGATATTTTGTTCGAGAAAAACTTCGTTTGCAACGAGATGGTTGTTCAAGCTCTCATGAACTTCTTCAATGATATTTCACAAAAGTGAGAATGAACTAAACCCTAAAAGTCGCTTACATTAGTAAAAAATTATTACAATAGACAAGCCGCCCTGGTATGTCAGCTACTAAATTACGGCTAATGGCCAACTGACTGGAAGGGGTTCTTTGTCTTTTTGCCTGTTTCTGAATCCAAGTAGAAAAGAAAACACTAAAAACTCTGTCAGTTTTATTGTAATAGATCATTTTTGCCAAGCCTGGCCATTTTTCCTTATAAATGACTTTCCAGGCACATCAGACTGTTCTTCAGCTTCAGCTACAACGTTCACAAACACACCTGTGTCACTTGCATTGTGATTTTGATCACGAAACAAAGGTACTAAAGTTATGGACGTGCTTGGCATATCATCTACTAAAACCACCTTACTGCCTAACATGGTATTCTTTGTTTCTTTGAAATCTGTGCGGCTCGAGATGGGCTGCACATCGTTCTCACGTATACGAAACATCTTTTTGAAGGTTCGTTGGAACTGCGGGTTCATGACACCGTATATGAAGGGATTCGTGAGGCTACTGCAGAACACGAAGTAGTAGGCAAATAAGTGGGCCCATCGTGGACTCTCTCCTCCAAACACTTCAATGAAACCCATGACGGAGAGAGGCGTCCAACAGGTCATGTAAACACAAACCACCACAAATGAAGTCTTGAGGACTTTATTCTCCGTTTTCTCACCAGATTTATGGGCAAGGTCGCTTTTCATGTTACTCTTGGCTGCGTGTCCCTGCATTCTCTCCCCACTTGCTTTAACTGTTTTGTAGATGGTGTAATAACACCACGTTATAACCGCAGCTGCCAAGAAAATGGTCATAACGCAAAGGGTTATAATAAAAGAAACATCGGGTAGGTTCCAAACACACGTGCAGTCGGCGAACAAAGCGTGATAGTCAATCTTTCCCCATCCGTACAGCTGTGGTGTTGTGGCGATAATGGGGCCCAGCCACGTAAGAAAAATAATGATGTAGGTGATTTTTTTCGTAGAAAAATACTTTATATAAAGGTTCCGCCTAACTATGTTGAAGTAACGATTAAAAGCGATGCCTGTCATGGTAAACAGCGACGCGATTCCAAATATCAGCTGTGTCAGTCCCACAAGCTGGCAAAGAGCGTGACCGAATATCCAGCGTCCATTGCGGAGACTGATAATCCAAAAGGGCATGTGCAGGGCTGCCATGAAGATGTCGGTAAAAGCCAAGTTTTCGACCAGTATATTGGTAATTGTGTTGAGCCTTTGATCATAGTGGATGGCAATCACCACCAAAATGTTTCCTGTAACAGCCACTAGGCACATTAATATCCCTAGGGACACTTCGAACCATACTTGCAGTTGAGAGCGGCCAAAAATATCTTCTTCCGAGTTTTTTGCGTCGGAGTGGAATAGAGTGAGGTTATTAATCATTTCTAAGAGAAGAAAAAAGTTCATAAAGGAACTTGAATTGAATAAACCAGCAGGAAAGGATAAAATGCGGTTCCATGCATATGAATATGTCTAAAATCCCTAACAAAAGGGATCGAGGTTGAGTTCAGAATTCATTTCCTCGACTAAACTTTGTAAATAGCGAAGTAATTAGCCTCCGGTTAATTGTTTTTTATACCTTATTTCTTTATTGTTCAATATTTCTGAGTCTTACCAGTATCCATATTTGGACAGAGGTTTAAAGCGGAATACAGTTGATGCTACACTACGAGGAAATCCTTGAGTTTGCTTGTCAACCATAAAAACCCTAGTGGAGCCCTGTCTGATACATATTTGTTTAACACGATGATTTTTAACCTGGTTTTTTTTTTACTTAAATAACTAATGGATTAAGCTATTACGAGACAGCTCAAAATGGCTCTTTCAATGGCGATGACGACGAGCTCAGTAAGTGTATGTTATATTCAGTTTCAGCAACTGAGTTGTCTTTTGTAGAAAAGTAAGCTGTGTTACTGTTGAGAATAAAAGAGATATTTATTGCTTATGAATCAATATTTCATCGTTAAATAAACGATTCTCACAATTTAGTAAAATCAAACAAACATAAAGGATGACAAGACCTGTCAGTCGGTTATTCCAAAGTCTCATTAAATATCCCTGCGGCCGCATTGGGTTAAGAAAACAAAATCTAATTGCAATGTCAAAATTAGCCGCAAAACAAAATTTGATATCTTCACTTGACTGCCATTCTTGTTTCATTTTTTCAATTATTCTGGTGGCTCTGAAAAACCCTCAAAGAGAACATTCTTCCTTTCATCTTTCCGACCGCAGTAATCATGAAAACTCATTACTTTTGCTTGCGTCCGTAAGGGAAAGAAAACTAATTAATTTAGGCCTTTATTTGTTTTAGCTAAGTAAAATTTGTCAGAATCGTCAGTTCGATCCATAAAATTTAGCGAGATTGTTCATTGAATTGCGATTTCATCAAATAAAACACACCACTTAAAATTTTCAGGAGGTAAAATGGTTCAAGATAAACATTAATAAGATAGATGGGTTTTTAAGCACTGAGGCCACCGACGGCAAAGAAACGTTTTAGGGCATTAGGTAGATAAAATGAATCTTATTCTGGCAACGATTCAAAATAGGTTAGAAAGGGCATTTCTTACAAGCAAGCGAAGCATTTCTTGTTTGATAATAAGGGCATTTTATGTTTGATAATAAGGGCATTTTATGTTTGATAATAAAGCTGTATAAACATGAAGAAAGAAACTTAACTTGCAACTTCGAGGATTTTCAGCGTGCAAGTCATCTATTGGTGCGGTAACTCCTTCGTTTTGACATGGTTCATTTACACACTCCTACTTCGAATTTCTTTCCTTTTCTTCAACTCTTCACCTTCAACCACTTGGCGCATTCTGGATTCTCTCGATGGCCAAATCAAATCCAAAACTATCAACATTAGCCAGCGTTGACTTGTTTTTTTCTTGTTTTTTTTTGGTTTTTTTTTGCCGTTTGGTTTATTTCCCACAGTGGTTTACTCGGAAGAAAATGTAATTTCCAAGACAAAGTGTGAATTTAGGTGTACGTCAAGCAAATAATCGACTGTTTAAATGTTTCTAACAGTGTGGTGTAACCAAAAATATTCCTTTACTTGCCAAAAACGAAAGTTTCGTTTTTAATTTTTGTTTCAATTTATTTCATTTCTTTTTTGATAAATTTCTATATCTCGTTTCTGAGAAATCATGAGTTTTAAGCTAAATTGAACACAGTTGAATGGATGTATTTCAGCGACATTTTATGTTAAGGTGCGTCTAGACTATTTTCTGCCAATTATCTCAGACATCATAAAGAACTCTAAAAAACCTGGCCCTCCTAGAGAAAGAGAAATTTTGGCCTCTAGCCAGAATGTAAAGGAAAGAATCAGGCATAATCACACTTTTTGCAATACAAGAGATGTTAAACAAGGCCATATCATAATTTCAGATGAAACAAAAATTTAGTAATCTTAACCTGTTGCCTCCAAGATGTTGATGTGAAATTCAAGCGAAAAGGAAATAATGAATAAAATAAATGATTTCGTGAGTCATATCAGGAGAAACTGCTGTGTGTAACAAAAAGGTAATTTCAACGGAGTTTAAGGTTTAATATCAAATGTCTTCATTGAAAACTTTCGATAATTTAACCTAAGGAAAAGGCCAGTCTTCAATCGAAGAGGTGTACTCTCTTCTTTACGATCCTTTCCTTACCTGTTGAAATTATTTTGTCCCAAAATAGATCTTGACTATGACACGGTGAGGTTCAACGAAAGAACATAAATGTCTTCTATGTCAGCTAGGAATTTCAGTGCATTTAAAATCAATTTATGGGCGAAATTAAGAACGTTGTTTGGTTGACATGTCGAAGAAGGCTGAATATTAATTGCTCAAGGCCTAAAGAGCCATTGGTTACAACACACCGCTTTGGCATTTTCGGACGTATTGTCAGTCAAATTCCATGCTAGTAGGCTTCGTCGCTGGGTTAAATTATCACATTCGCTCTGCACTCTGCAAATAAAGTATTGTACAGGTGGCACTTTCACAGAATCTTCCAATGAATTTTCTAGCCTTTCTAAAGATTGCAAGTATTTCTGAAGTGATTTGACATTACGTAGGTCGTAAAGAACAGAGTAGCGAATGTTTTCAAATTAGTGGGTCGGATTTAAATTTTCTTTGTTGTCTTTGTCACTTTTGTGAAAGTTATTTGCCCGCTGCTAAAATTGTTAATTGGAGAAGAGTTACTAGGGACTGTTCCAGACATAGAATGAGTTGCTCGGAATCAGATGACTCGGTATCAAAATAAACCAATGTGACACACGTTTTGTGGGTTGTCATTCGAATATTTTTCAAAATTTAAGCAGTGTGTGACCAGGACACTTTTTCTCAAGAAATTAAGACCTGCTTTTTCTTGTTTAATTATTCATACTACTTTACGCCTCCTTTATGTGATGATTTCACGTTCCTGGATAAATGCCATTTTTGCGACTTACTTAATCGTTTTGCATTTGAGGACAATGGGTTCATTTTCTTGATTGTACGTCAAGAGCTTAGAAAAACTTTAATTTAAAATGTTTAGTCACTCAATCCATGGTTGTGTCGAGAAAAGGGGAATTACTCAAGAAATATAATCCTACAATTCAGCCCAAAACGAGTCGGAACATAAACCCAACAAACACTTTGCTGAGAGATCTAGATATTCAAAATTATGCCAGTTCAGTGTTGAATTACCGGAATCAAAAAGAGATGTTTCTTAACTTACAAGTTATGATGAGGAGGTGAAGAATTCGCTTAACTGGGTCAAATGTTTAACTTTCTGAAACAAGTTTTCTTTCAGCAAGAAGAAAATTGCTAAGTATTCCGGCAATCAGCAAAGATGAAAGAGAATTAAGAATGAAACTATAAAAAATATCTGTTCTATGGCTTATAAATGTGTCATTAGAATAAATTGATGAAAGAAAACAGCACGCCCGGGAATAGGATATGATGAGTTAAAACGAAAAAAGATTCCAGTGTAGATACTACCTACAATATAACTCATCTTTTTATTGTTTAATACTACATCAATAGGAAGGACACGTACCATTCCTTGCGTCCATGGTAGATATTAATTTTCCGATGTTTCCTTCTTAGTCACTCTCCATAGCCATCTTATAAAGCATACTGAAGCAATGTACATAATAATATTGCTGCAAGGTAGATGGATTGGTCAGCGACGGATTCTCGAACCAAACCTCAGACTGTGCTAGCTGATACTGACTCTAAGAGATCTAGAAAAAATTTTCCCATAGAGTTTTTAATTGTTCTAAAACGGAGTAAAAAAATAGCCTAATTTCTTGGTTTTCTGATTGTTCATCACAATTGTTTGCATTGTAGACCTAAATTATGGTGCCTTTTCGGCTTTATTTATGTATTACTTAGACTACCAGATAATCTTTGCAAAACTCCCTTGCTACAAAAAGGTCTTGAGGTTAGTGTTTGGATTATTGTTAAATCTTCCTTAAACTCTAGGAATCACTTGTCAGATCAAAGTTTTCCTGTTTCGAAATATCTCATACTTCGTTTAAACCGCCACTGCAGCTTTGTTATTAATATTTGCACATCTCCGTAACAATATCCTGGAACTAATATCCGCAAGTATGCTCAGGTGCACCTAACATTCATTGACTTCTATTCAATCTGATTGTTCTGCTGAGATGTTAATTGCAATCAATTGGCAACGTTTTCGACAAGAATGATTTTCTAGCTTTTTCTTGCGTGGAATATAATTAATAGGAGATGAAAATACAACAGAGATACAAGGAATATTAACTACCATTGACGCTTTAATTTCTCTGGAGAACAAAGATGTCCAAATGTACGTCCGCAATCTCTAGAAAATTCTTGATGCAAAGGAAAAAAAAACCGAATGTAGTGCCACTATTTGTCAATACCATGCCAATTACTGGAGAAAATCTCGCGTAGCATGGGATATATGTATTTATTTACTGAACCTCGCAATGAAAGACGATGTCTAAACCGACATTTGTTTATTCTGTAAAAATTCTGTGTTAGTTCAGTGGCTGAGAGAGTCTCAACCAGACTCTGGAACAACATATATCTCAACTGCATTTCCTAACATTGATAACACGGCTAAATGATCCACTGAACAATCCAAATTTGGGAAAACTGAATAAACTTCACAGATAGAAACAGTAAGATAGTGACATTCTTTGAGGAAATATCGCTAAAAATTTACCGATTTCAGTCACATCTTAAAGTTATCTTTGTGAAAACGATAACTAGGAGTTCATGGGAAAGATAATTCAAACAGTGACATCAGAGACACTCATTTTTATCTGCCTGAAGAACATTTATTGAAACTTTTTGACATGAATATTATCCATTGCGTTGTGTCTTCATTCTTTTGTTGAGTGATTAAACTGTCTAGTGGCGGTAATCTGTAAACAAAGAGAGAGAGAGAGAGAGTATCAAACTAACTAAATTAAGGAATACAAAAAAATTATTCAAGATCCATCTTAGGTTGCTTACTTTTGATTATTTAGGGTGTTTTTTAGCGTCTTTACATTGACAATGACAAAGTGAGTGAGGGGTGTAGGAGTATTTAGACTCAGGCGACACAGTTTTTTTTGGACAAATTATGACCTAACCTTTCCTTGTCACATGTTGCTGTTTTCATTATAAGTAGTATAAGAAGAAAAGGGGGCAATTACTGGGTAATGTATTGTTCTCACGAATCCAGTATAATTTGATAAAATGTAAAGGATGATTAGCGGGTACTGACTGTCAGACGTCCCCCTGAATTTAGATAAATATATCAGCTAAGAAATCAGTCAATGAACTTAACCATCAACGTATTTCTGTAAGTATTCCTATCATTATCTACTCTACCGGTATGCAATTCCGTTCTTTTCTCATGTGAAATGTCACATCTGAGTTTAAAGAAAAATATGGCCACGAGGAGAAACTTATTCTAGACGAACATAAACATAAACTTACTTCTTAGTCAGCTTCACATGAAGCTCGAAGTACGTTGTTCAGTCGCACAAAGAGATCCTCGAACTTGTCAACATGGATAACATTTGCCGTTTTTCCATTAGCAATCTCATTGAGTTCACTGTAGTCGATGCCGGAGCCAACTCCAACGGCAATCATTTTTACCTTACTATCCTATGACGTAAATAAACACACAATTTGGTAAGAATTTCGTTTTTGCATAAGCGTTATACAATTTTCTCTCCTTTCCAAGAAAATTTATAAAAATTCTTTATAACTGCAGCACTATGAAGAGGTAATTTGTATTTTTTCATGCTTATCGTTGCACGCCTGATGAAAGTAAGACGAGTTTAAAATCAACTGTTGATTTTTGAAGAACAGGTAACGATAAACTGAAAAAAAAAATAAGGTGTGCGTTTGAGCCATTTAGTTTTGCCCTTCGTCGCTTTGCGTCACCTATAATCACTCGCGCTACACTCAACCAATCAAATGCGACACCAAAACTGATCGCAAATTGGTCATCCACGTTTTCTCGTGCTTCAGTAACTGGAATGCAGAGCAAAAAACAAGCGTGTGTTTTGCGCAATCGATCATCTTGAATAATTTTTTTTCTTAGCCTTGCAACACTCAATCGATATGCGTACACCCAAACAATGACAACATACACCCTAACTACACTTACAATAAGCGGTGCTAAAACGGTCTGATAAGCCTTGCTACCAGAATTGGTTTTTCCGTCAGTAATTACTACAAGCACGTTAGGTTTATCTGTTCGGTCTCCACCCGCTGAACTGAACAGTCCTGTATTGGCCATCTCAAGTGCAATGTCGGTCCTTGTACCCCCGCCGGTGTAGGCGATGTTGTCGATAATGGTTGTCATGGCAGCTGGATTCTGAGAATTAGCATCGCTAAACTTCACAGCCAAGTGCGAATTCGACTGGTAAGCTATAATTCCGACACGTGTTCCATGGAAAGAGATTTGGAAACGGTGTACCAGAGTTTTAACGAAGCTTTTCGATTTAAGGAAGTCAGCAGACCCAACTGAACCGGATCGATCCATAATGATACCCACGTCCATGGCATGATGACAACCTGGACCTGGAGAGTCTGACACAAGTAAAATATACATTCATATACAAACAATTTAATTACCATCAAAACTGTTGAACAGTCAAAAGCGTTTACTTCTCTGTCTACCCCCGGGTGCAATCCTGTAAAAACCTTCAAAGTGCGTGATTATTCAGTTCTCAACTAACATTAAACCTATGTACCCTCACATCAGTATGAAAATTTTGCAAACTGTTCTCAATACATATCCTAACGTGCTGACATGGGAATTTGTTTAACTACCAAGAGCTTCTTAAGTTAGTGATCATTTCTTATCTCATGACCTCAAAGTGGGTCATTATAGGATATCGTAAAGGAAAATTAGACGCTAGTTATTATTATTAGACGTTATTTAGATGTCAAAAGATTAAAAGCAAGGGGGAATACTTCATGAAAACTCAAACCTATTCGAACAAAACACTAAGAGAAGCTGGAGTTTAAGAGGCAATAGGGCAAATGATGTTTTCGTGGTTGTGGGTTGTTAGGATTTATCAGTTGAAGCACAGAGGTCATTACAAAAAAATAGATTGCCACGTCACTGCTCAGTTACCTGGTTCGCAAGATGCAAACAGAACATTATTCTCATTGCTGACAAGGTCGTCAAACTTGTCCACGTGAATAACATTTTCCCGCTTTCCGTCGGCGATTTGTTTCAACTCATCATCATTTATACTTGATCCTACACCAACAGCGATCATCCTCACATTCTTTTGCTGTGTGACGAATAAAAGCGGTCATTGTTTTGGCGGTATATACTTTCTTTGAATGCTCTCAAAGAAACTGTTGTCAACTAATCTTAGCAATCATAATGTACTAACTCCTTGCCAACCAAGTGCCAGAACCATACTGGAAAATATTGGCCCGAGGTCGTGGCAGCAAGGACCGAGCGCAGCCGGTTTTCCAGTGAATAAAAAGATAACTTGACAGGTATTCTGCTGAATTAAAAAGCAATTCAGCTCTATGAACAGGTTGAAGCATTAAACTAAGGCTAACTTACCTTTAAAGGAGCAAGAACTTGGCTGTATGATTTACTTCCAGGATTTGTGTTTCCGTCGGTCATCACAATCAACACATTAGGTTTGTCAATACGGCGTCCTCCCGAGTTGCTAAACAGTTGGCTATTGGCCAGTTCAATAGCTATGTCGGTTCGCGTCAAACCATGGGTGTAAGGGATACCCTTTATCAACCTGGTCATAGCATCTGGCGTCTGATATGCCACATCTGCGAATTTTACCGCCACTTCCGCATTAGAGTGGTAGGGGATGATTCCGATTCGAGTGCCGTGTGACGATATTTGGAGCTTGTGTACGAGAGATATGACGAACTGTTTAGCCTTTTCAAAGTTGTTTCCTCCGACTGAGCCAGAGCGGTCCATAATTACACCGATGTCCATCGGTCGTCTGCAGGATGAGGGTGCCCCAGGAGCTGAGAGAAAAAGGAAAGACCTTATATTCTTTTCTCGTCTTTTCGGTGTTTCACTTAGAAAAAAAAACAATTCACATATTTCTTGAAGTACTTATTAAATGCTACAAATACGTTCGCTAATTCTTCTGTGTTTTTACAAGCAACTATATTATTGAGAGAAATTATAAAAAAGTAATCGAAACTGCCTATGTTTGTTGAAAAATGACAATAACTCACTTGTTTTCTTCGCGCAATAGCGGAGATTGCAGACAGGTGTTTTGGGCAACTGGTAGACGTAATATTCCCCGCAACTTCTGACTTTGATGTTTACACTCCATCTACAACAGTCGCCACTCCAATGGAAGCAAACCTTTCTCGTAACAACACCCTGGTCCTCAGATGGGTGATCCCCCGAGAGCCAACCAGGAGCATGCGTACCACAGCGGTGTGTCGGCACACAGGAGGTAGGCATGGCATTTCCCGCCGCGCCCATGAAGCGGTGCCATTTGCCGACCGTAGGAAGGTTCCGCTGATCGCAACTAATGGGTGCACCAGTGTGTTCCATCGAACGACTTTCATGACTTATAACCACTGGATTTTTGCATTCAGGAGGAACATAAACTGGGGCAAGTATGATAAGTGGTGGTGTTAGAAAGGCAAGCAAACAATCCCAACTAAGTGAGATAAGGGGTTTTCAGGGAATGGAAACGTTTACGACTTGAAATCATTATACACTGCCTCTTAGGACGTTTTCTTCCTTTAGGAAGGTCAGATTCATAATAAAGGACATAACAAATTGACACAGCATCTAAAACTGATTCGTCACACGAAAAATTAGGAAAGCCACGTACTCTGGTCGCAATTTTTGCCAGTGAATCTTTGAGCACAAGCACAACTGTATCCTCCTCTGGTGTTTTGGCAACTTGCTCCATTTCTACATGGCTTAAGGGTTGCACACTCGTCAACGTCTGAAAATCATAGTAAAAAATTACACCTGCATCAATAGAAATGATCATTGGATGGATCAGTCAATTACCCTGTTGTACTCCATTATGTAAATTACTTTTAACCAAAATAATTGCGAAACGCCAATAAGGCTTTTTTAATTACAAATGGATCTGGTTGGTTCATAAATTGTGCTCTTGAGGTATAACGCGAATCTTAGGCATGCAAGCATTTACCTTTTTCGCAATTGATTCCTTGGAATCCGCTCTTACACTGACACTGGTAGGTATCCACCCCTGTGTTTTTGCAGGTTCCTCCGTTCTGGCATGGTTTCTTGTCACAAGGATATACTGCAGAAAAAGAGAATCATCACAACTGTAATTGATTTCTAATTCGATGTTTAGCTGAGAGTCGGTATCCCCATTTCTTTAAGAATTTCCCTCAGGTTAATTTTAGAGTAAGGAAATTGGTCTCCCGATATAAATATTCCATGAAGTTTGCATGTTGTTTGAGAGTTTTGATGGAAATTAAATGGGATGTCCTCATACCCTCAAAATGAGTTCTATATATACATAAGGCGAAGGGGGGGGGGGGGGGGGACAGCGGATGACCTGATCGTCGATTGATCTATTGATTACTTTAACTAAGTCAAAAGAGCTTTTGTTCAGTCACTCATCTTACCGCAATTGGCCCATTTTCCATTATAGTCACGATCAAGTGAACACCATAATCTGTCGTGTTTGTAGGTAGTGCAGGAGTTGTAAGTTTTGCCTTTGTATGTAAAAGGGAAAACACAACAGCGACCATCTTTGCTGTCCGTCCTTTGTCTGCAGATCGCTATATATGTTAAAAAATAGCTAGAATCAATTACAGGACACAAAGTACACCTCCAGACCGTCACACGGCAAAGTTAAGTCAGTGACCTGCAGTAATTAATAAGTAAGTTCTCGTAATACATTATGCAGCAAAACTATGTCGAGCATAGAGATTGTCTTGATGTACCACCGAATACTCTCATTTAATTAAAAGGAAATATATAGTAGCCAGAAGGGAGAATTATAAATAAGATCTGAGATCTGAGGAGGATCTATGAACGCCAAGCTGATTCGTCCTTATCGTAAGTATGTCTTTTGTCTTTGCTGACCCTGGCAGTATGGAGGACGTGTGTCACATCTGTCACATGTCCTACAGTTTCACAGGTCAAACGCTGAAGAATGGTTTTACATCACTTACAACATTACAAAAAAATTCATCAAGTGTTACCTTGTTCACAGTTTCGTCCTTTGTACCAAGCTGGACATGCGCACTGATAGTCCTCCTCTCCAACTTTTTTACAAGTTCCTCCGTTCAGACAAGGATTCTTGACAAGACATCTGTCTTTATAATCACCACATTTCGTTTAATTCGCATTGTTAATGTCATGTTGGAAGTTGTTTATAGAGTGCCGATAGTAATTGACAACGGACAGGAGAAGTCTCACAAAAAACTGACGTTCTCTATAAACATCGCTACGAATCAAACTTATACAGCAATTATCGCCTTACTGATCGTGATGGGATTCTTACTGCTCATTTCTTATAACTATACCATGATGAAGTGTGTGCTCCTTTGATTGGGAATACGCCCTATGCAAAATTTCGAACAACATTAGGTGTACCGGGATTGCATTTCTTTAACTTTACCTCGTTCAGTTGTGATTGACCTCGAAAACTCACGTCCCTTACCAACCGTAGCACGCATCACTTATATCTATTGCAGCTTAGTAAATCGGGTTTACCACCCTTCATTCAGTTCTCTTGTTTTTCCTTTCACCTTCGAGGCTTGTTGTAATATCATTCTTTCCTTCAACAAGCCACCTTTACAAGTGTGCTTTTGGTCTCACAACAGTCAATAGACCTGCCCTCTAATGCAGAGGAAATGTAAACTTACCATAACCTTTGTTTCCACAATAACGTAAAGAGCATCCTGGTGTCCTTCCTAAATGATACACGAAGAAGTTTCCACAGTTACGGACACTGACAAACACGTGCCATGTACAAAGGTTATTGCCCCAGTTGAAGCAAACCTTTCGCGAAACAAGCCCATCCTCCTTCTTCGGATGTTGACCATTCAGCCAGCCCGGTGCATGGGTTCCACAATGATGTATGGCAACAGGCGAAGTTGGCATCCTTGTTCCTGCGGCACCTGTGAAGCGGTACCATTTAGCTTGGGAAGGGAGGTCGTTTTTGTCACACTTCACCAACCCACTCCTTTGGAAACCAGAGGCACGATCGGCAGTATTCAGCTCAGTGTAGCTTGAACATTCCGAAGGATCTGAAGCAAAGAAGAATTGTTCGACAGATTACTTAAGACCAAAGGAATCGTCCATGCCCGCTTCAGCAAATAAACATTTAAAGTATATCCCCACTGAGTTTGTCTAGCATTCTAACCTTTCTGACAGAAGACAGAAGGATGGTCAATCATTTTTTACAAATGAAGGAGAGTATGTTAACCAACTTGAAGAGAAGTAAAGTGTTTTTCTTTGGAAGTAAATTTGCACACATTTGACCTTCATTAATGTGATCTGTGAACGTTTCAATAACTCTACCTTGGTCGCAGTGTTTCCCCGTGAACCACTTTCCTACACAAGTACATTTGTATCCACCGCGGGTGTTTTCACATTTTGCACCGTTTTTACATGGTTTCTTGGAAATGCACTCATCTACATCTATGGAGTAGAAAGAAAGCTCTTTAAATCGCGCACTAATCACAACAAAATAGGACAGCTACAAACAAATATTTCTAAGAAAAAAATAAAGATTTTCACCTTCATCACAGTGTTTTCCTTTGTAGTTTCCAGGGCACTGACAGCTGTAACCACCAACGGAGTTCACACAAGAGGCTCCATTTTTGCAGGGATTGCGCACTTTACACTCATTCACGTCTAAGAAAAAATAAAATGTACTATGACGTGAGTTGACGTAGAAAACTGTCATTCATAGCAACTAGCCACGATCTTTTGATGACCATTTTAATTCAAAAATACGATACTGATGTCGTGTAACATTAGTAGACTGGAGCTGCGTGCGAAGGTGAAACTTAAAAAAAAAAAGCAAAAACAAAACAAAATATTAAAATACCCTACAAACACCATAATCAAATAGTAGAGTATAACAAATAAATGATCCAAATTTGACACAACGTTCTTTGAAGCTTTTGGCCATGGAGAGATAACTAGCACTATAGAAGGAACAACGCATTTAAAATTGAAAAATCGATGGATCCGCTGAGTGATAAATAAACATTTCCTTGAAGATTACAGATCAGTAATTTCCTTACCCACGTCACAGTTCTTTCCAGTGAAAGCACTGCTGCACGTGCATTTATAGTCTCCGTGTGTATTGGTACATTTTGCACCGTTCTTACATGGGTTCTTAGCGCATTCATCCACATCTGAATAAAAAAAAACAAACAAACAAACAATTCACGCTTAGAAACCCTGAATAAACGGGGAGTGAATAGGGACTCCTCTTTGAAAAGAAAGTTGGTAAACCATTTATGTCAGACAAAAATGACCTTGGTTTCTTCAAAATCCTCTTAGACCCCTCCCTTCTCACTGAAATTGAAATTCACTGAAGATAATCATGATAACTATTCTTCCAATTAGAGAAGTGCATAAAGCCGTCGGCATTTCTAGTTATGTCTTTCAAGGGCGAAACCTCAAATGTCATAGTATCTGAATTGCTGGCGAGAAAGTAAATTTCTGGTTTCCACGTGATCTCTCATTTGGATGGTCGTTTTTAGTAACTATCTGAGTTGGAAAGATCCGACAATGCAGCAAAACGACAGCATGAGGTCATCTAGGCATTGGATGCTACTTATCTAAATCAGCAGAATGCGTTGCACATCTAACATATGAACCTGCAGTGGGTGGCAAAAGTCTTGACACGTTTCACTACTTTTTGAATTTTTTTTCCTTAACTTTCCTTTATCTCCCCCTCTCCTCCTATTCAACGTTCAACTTGCCTGCAGTTAACAAAATGGTCCTTGATGTATTGCAAAATTAACAAAATTGTCACTTATTTATTTATTTATCTATTAATTTTTTGAGGGGGGAGGAGGGAATTTCAAGTTACTGAATAGGCATAAATTAAAATACTCTTTTACTTATTATGGTGAGTGGAAAGGGGGGAGGGGTTTAGACCACCTACCAAGGGGAGGCGTACCAACTACTTTTGCCACTCATTGTAACTCTACAACGAGTTTTTCTATCAACTAGTGGAGCGTCAATTGCGAAGTTGGGTTTCGTTCGTGTTTGAATCCTTACAGCAACCTATTCTATGCTTTTTACATAACCTTAATTGTTTTCCGATTTATAAGTAGCAGACAGATTTTAACCTTTATCGCAGAATTCTCCTTGGAAGTTGGCTGGGCACTGGCATGTCTGACCGTCACCGTTGGGTTGGCAAGTTGCTCCATTCTTACATGGGTTGCGAGCTTTACATACATCTAAAGAGAGATTTCGGTAATGATTTAGTAATTTTTACGGAGTCGCAATGCAAATCTGTTGCCAGACAACGGGATTTATAATGAAAATAAAATTCTTCTCATTTATTAATAGGAACTTATCCACACTTCACATCGTTAGCTTTTTTCTCCTTCAAGTTGTTATTGGCTTCCTACGACAGTCTCTTTTTTTCTAAAAGGCCGCTTTGAATACTTTGGTTTTGTTTCATAACAATCAATGGACCTGCCCCTTAGATCGGGGTTATTAAAAACTCACCATGCCCTTTGTTTCCACAATAACGTAAATAACATGCTGGTGTCCTTCCTAGATGATACACGAGGAAGTTTCCACAGTTACGGACACTGACAAACACGTGCCATGTACAAAGGTTATTGCCCCAGTTGAAGCAAACCTTCCGCGAAACAAGCCCATCCTCCTTCTTCGGATGTTGACCATTCAGCCAGCCCGGTGCATGGGTTCCACAATGATGTTTGGCAACAGGCGAAGTAGGCATCCTTGTTCCCGCGTCACCTGTGAAGCGGTACCACTTAGCTTGAGAAGGGAGGTCATTTCTGTCACACTTCACCGACCCACCCCTTTGCAAACCAGAGGCACGATCGGCAGTGTTCAGCTCAGTGTAGCTTGAACATTCAGAAGGATCTGAAACAAAGAAGAATTGTTCAACAGATTACTTAAGGCAGCGAAAGAAAGACCGAAGGAATCGTCCATGCCCGATTCAGCAAACAAACGTTGTAAGTATATTCGCTCTGAGTTTGTATAGCATTCTAACCTTTCTAATCGAAAACAGAAGGATCGCGATTGTCAGTCATTTTTATGAAAGAAACAAAGCAAATTAACTTGCAAGATTTCTGTGGGAGTGGAGACATTGCACACATTTGACCTCCATTCATGCGATGTGTGAACGTTTCAATAACTCTACCTTGGTCGCAGTGTTTACCCGTGAACCACTTTCCTACACAAGTACATTTGTATCCACCGCGGGTGTTTTCACATTTTGCACCGTTTTTACAAGGTTTCTTGGAAATGCACTCATCCACATCTATAAAATGGAAAGAAAAGTAACTTCAAAAGGCTGCTTTTAATAACAGAACGAAAAGTAATGAAAGTATTATTATAGATATTTTACCTTCATCACAGTATTTTCCTTTGTAGTTTTCAGGGCACTGACAGCTGTAACTACCAACTGAGTTCACACAAGTGGCTCCATTTTTGCACGGATTGCGCACTTTGCACTCATTCACGTCTGAAAATAGATTAAAAACAAAAAGAAAAGAGAAAAGACCAAGTTGCACCCTTGCGTTAAAGATCGTGCAGGCTGACTAATACATCTATGATTCATAGCAGCTATGCAACCACACTGATTTTGCTGTGCGTTAAGGAAAGCCTGAGTTCATAAGGAAGAGTAACATTAAAAAATTGTTGAATATGCCCTATGGGCACCATAATCAAATCTTGAGTGTAACAAATAGATAATACATATCAATTCGACACAATATGATTTAAAAGATTCCTGTCATGGGCAGACTTCTAGTATTATAAATAGAACAACACCTGTACAGCTTAAGAATCAATGAATTCTACCTGATCATTCTAAATATGTGACAAAACAAAGGCTATAAGACAGATTGTTATGTATAGAACTACACCCCTCCTGCGGAAGAACCATCGAACCTCATGTGCTCATTCTAGATGAGTGAAATAAACCAAGGCTACTATGCAGCCTAAATATCAGTAATTTCCTTACCCACATCACAGTTCTTTCCAGTGAAAGCACTGCTGCACGCGCACTTATAGTCTCCATGTGTATTGGTGCACTTTGCACCGTTCTTACATGGATTCTTAGCACATTCATCCACATCTGAAAAAGAGAGTTATGTTGGCAAATCTAAATGACATTACTGATTTCTCTCTGGCTAAATTATTGTGTTTGTTAAATGACCTTATGGCTTAAGTGACACTATCCACCCCTAAGGTGAAAACTTCAGAGCAGCAAAGCAGAGCAACAAGTGGCTTCCGCAAAGTTAACGAAAATGGATAGTTCATACAAAGGGTAAATGACCTGGCCTGCTCCCGACACCCCAAGTAACTCTTAACTAGAAATCCCAGCTATGCCCTTGATGATTATCGTCACGTTTATTGGAACCGAGCGGAGTATGAGGTCATAATTAGCTGGTAAAAAAAAGGGGGGAAAAGATAAACGACTGCGGTTTTCTTGGATAGCGATAATTTACCTCGAAATCAAGTCATTTCTCTTACGATGTTTAGGGGAAATTCTGAAAAAGAATCATGTATACCCTTAAGACACTGGTAAGCATGACTCTTCGAACAAATCAACCATGAAAAGAACGACTCTTCGACGAGTTTTCGGCAGCACGGATGGAGAAGCATGGGACTAAAAAATTATGATTAGCTTGGATTCGAATCCTAACAACTTTGATTTTGCTCAGCCGGACTTGTTCTCGTAATGGCAAACAAAGTTAACCTTGATCGCAGAATTCTCCTTGGAAGTTGGCTGGGCACTGACATGTTTGACCATCACCGTTGGGTTGGCAAGTTGCTCCATTCTTACATGGGTTGCGAGCTTTACACACATCTAAAAATATTTCAAAAGTGTTATTGTCATTTTCTCAAAAAAAAAAAAAACCACCACTCTGACTAGTGCTGAAACAGTCACGTTAGAAATCAAGGTCTTTGAGCAGGGTTTTCATAGCTGGTCTCGAAACTCACACCCCTTTAGATCCATAAGATGCCCAACAAAACCTGATTACAGCTTGGTGACAAATTGCAAAATTTCGTACACTTTGTTTTTTTTCCCAGATTTCATTTGCCTATTGCGATTTCTGTTTTTTCTTTGACTGGCCATTGTGGTTACATTGATTTTAGATTTACAACACTAAGAGCAATTTTCAAGTGAGTGTCGAAAGTAATCCGGAATAGCTTTGTTTTTGCATTACTTCGCTTTGTGCTTGGTCCACAAAACTCGCATCACTCTCTAAACCAATCGGATGAAAACTAAAATCAATCACGATCTGGACACCCGCGTTTTCGCGCACTTTAGGCAATTTAGTGGAATTCATTATAAGTTCGCATTGGCTCTCAAAGATGTTCTCATTTCTTCTGATTGGCCTTTGTGTAAACTTTAGGTTTAGTTTTACTGCACTCAATCACGAAGCATTTCCATAAAACTGCTCTACAAACAGCAGGGGATGAAAACTTACTATGCCCGTTGTTTCCGCAATAACGGAAAGAGCATCCAGGTGTCCTTCCTAAATGATACACGAGGAAGTTCCCACAGTTACGGACACTGACAAACACGTGCCATCTACAAAGGTTATTGCCCCAGTTGAAGCAAACCTTCCGCGAAACAAGCCCATCCTCCTTCTTCGGATGTTGGCCATTCAGCCAGCCCGGTGCATGAGTTCCACAATGATGTATGGCAACAGGCGAAGTAGGCATCCTTGTTCCTGCGGCACCTGTGAAGCGGTACCACTTGGCTTGGGATGGGAAGTCGTTCTTGTCACACTTCAACAACCTACCTCTATGAGACCCAGAGGCACGATCAGCGGTGTTAAGCTCAGTGTAGCTAGAACATTCCGAAGGATCTGAAACAGAGAGCAATCACTTACGAGGCCATAAAGACACATAAGACACCCAACGAGCATTGGACAATGTAGTACGCCGCAATAACTCACTTGACTGAATCACGATATTTCGAGTCATTATTGCGACCTGTGAGACTTGAAGGATACCACACTGATTAGCTCGAAAAGTGGAACTAATTAATCAAGAAAACGAACATGGATGGCAAAGGATAGAGAGACGCCACACAAACTGAAAGTGCCGTGACCTTGCTCTTAAACTTTGAGTTAAGATGCAGGTCAGGCTTTACAAATGGCGTTGTCGCTGAGCCTTTTAGTAAGGCTTTACATTTACAATGTGTTTTGTTTTCCTTTTTTGGTGAAAAGCAGACAATGGGTGCCGACGGTAATCTACGGAAAGTTTGGCTATTTAAGAGCAGAAAAGCACACAACAGTATAAACGAAGTCCTCATGCTAGATATTGTGTTCATTTATCAATTTAGTTTTCTTTTTTTAGGGCCTGATTTCCCAAATTCTTACCTTCGTCGCAGTGCTTTCCAGTGAACCAGCCACCAACACATGTGCACTTGTAACTTCCAACAGTATTGGCGCATTTCGCTCCATTCTTGCAGGGTTTAATGTCGCTACACTCATCAACATCTTGAAAATAAGAAAACAAGAACCCAAATGATTTCAGTAACTATCTACGCCTCACAGTGTCGAGCAGAAGTCTCGAAGGTTTCGATTCCCTTGAAAGTTGAATTACTTTAAGTAACTACCACTGTTTGTCTTGCATATGTAATACACGGTAACAAAACCATCCTTGAGCTAAATCAAGACAGTACATAAATGTACCTTCATCGCAGTGTTTTCCTTTGAAGTTATTCGGGCACTTGCAGCTGTATCCACCAACAGAGTTTATACAGGTACCTCCGTTTTTACAAGGCTTGTGTACTGTGCACTCGTTAACATCTACGTGAAAAGATAATTAAACAAAATACAAGGCCTAAATCTTGAAGCCTCCTTGCTAGTTCTTCATTAGGGCCTTCTCATCTTTTGTCATCAAAAACGCAAAAAGGTTATCAAAGCATGACTTACCTACGTACTGTGTAATTTATGACTGATAAAAATAAAATCTGAAGTTTTGTAAAAAGGAAGAATCTACACTCGAGATATCACGTACCCGTTTCGCAGTTTCTTCCGGTGTACTTTGCTCCGCATGCGCATTTGTAGCTTCCAGCGGTGTTAGTGCACGTTCCTCCATTCTTACATGGATTGTTGACAGCACATTCATCGATATCTAATAAAGAAGACATCGAGATGAACGCTTTCACACGGTGCAGGGTACTACGTTTGGTTCACGGAGACGTTTGTTTCACGGAGAAAGTCATTATTCGAACAAAACCTTACTGGCGAGCAGTTTTAAGATATTGAGCAGCACTGTGATAGAGTACAGAACTCATGATTCCGTCTTTAGCAACCGCGATTTTTCTACCAAATTTCATGTGTGGATGAAATTAAACATAAAGGACAATTTTCATCTTACATATAATGCAGACTATTAAAAAGAATTCTTCCAGTGGGTGAAAAAAGGTGGGTTTAGTTGTTAACTGTACATACATTCATACACTAAAATGACCTTAGCAGTTACTCTTGAGGAAGTGGATACCAACTCGTGATCGTTTGTTTGACTTACCGAACACTCGTTTGTCAAGTTTGAAACCTGAAAATTTTTGGTTAATCTCGTAATATGGATACGGAAATCTGACGAATTAAAAGAGCGTAAAAGGGAATTTGTACAACATGCATGGCATACCTTTATCGCAGTTCTTTCCTTGGTAACCGGATTTACACTGGCAATAGTAGCCATCACCTTGAGGTTTACAAACCCCGCCATTTTGGCACGGATTCTTTGGTTCACAAACATCTAAGGGTAAATAAAACAGTAAAGGGAAAGGATTATTCATTTTCTTGCACCTAGAGTAGTTCTTTGTATTCATGGGAAACAGATCAAGTCAATCTTGACCACGAAACGACACCTAATTGTGACGTCTTTTTCATGAACACTTGAAAAAAATCAATTGACTTAGCGATACACCACATTTTCTTCCATTTTACCAGCGTAACAACACACACAGTATGTTGGGAGAACACAAGAAAAGTTTTAACAAATTTTTTGAGTGTTGTTGCTGCACATTTTGCTTCTCCTTGAAAAAAATTAAACCGACTAGGTTTCTCAAATGAGCTATCATTTTGTACTTACTATGTCCTTTATCGCCACAAAATCGTAAATAACACGCCGGCGGCTTCACCAGCTTGTACACGTAATGGCTTCCACAGTTCCTGACGTCGATGTCGACACTCCATCGACAACAGTTGCCGCTCCAGTGGAAGCAGATCTTCCTCTTAACCACTCCATCTTCCTTCTTAGGGTGCGCGTCCTTCATCCAGCCAGGGGCATGGGTTCCGCAGCGTTGCGTAGGAACGCAGGAGTTTGGTATCTTAGTGCCAGCTTCTCCAACAAATTGATGCCATTTTCCTATCGTTTTTAGATTTCTTACGTCGCATTCCAGAAAGCTCTTTCTTAAGTTGCCTGAAGCTCGGTTTGCTTCACTGAGTTTGACGTTTACGATGCACTCAGCGGGAGCTATAATGCAGAGAAGGAGATGCGTTAATTTAACCTGCTTTAAGACAAATAGTCCTAAGGATGGCTCTTGAAAGAGACCCTTTTGGTTATGTGTGGCAAGTGATTAGTTCACTGTGTCAAAAGTAGACGGAAATCAGGACTTTTCTAAATATAGCATCGCCGTTTTAAATTACAATACGTTTATTCAAGATACTTAAGAAACTCTAGATAAATGAACATAATCGCAGGGATTCCCTTAGCAGAGCTTAGGTGATTACAAAAATGAAAACTCCATAAATCGTGTTCGTAATCTTATGATATGCAGTACTAACACGTCTGAAAAGCCTCTAGAGAAATATCTACCTTCATCACAGTTCTTTCCTGTAAACCAACCACCAACACAAGTGCATTTGTAACCTCCTGGTTTATTCTCGCACTTGCCGCCATTTTTACATGGTTTGCTGGCGCATTCATCGACATCTGTGTTGTAACAAGCACGCAAAAACATTCCAACATGAGGTTAAGTTTAGGTTTCATATTTTATGTTACTTCTAATGAATTTAGGGAGGGAAGGAAGTGATAGATGGACAAAGGAAGGAAGGAACTTATACAGAACTTATTATTTTCGCTCTATATCCCTGAAAGAATCATAAATATGTAGCGCGTCTAGCTAAACCACTATTGAGGTTCGTAAACGAGTTTCGACAAAACATAAAATTACAAGAGGTAAACTCAACCCTAGTCCGATCAGTCTCAAAGACAAAAACAACATAACAACTTACCCTCTATGGACGTAACACAAGCAAATTGGAGTTCATTCTTTAACAAGTAAGCAATATCAGTTCCTTCACACTCAATATGAAAATCGTTTTCATCATAACCACAGTAACTTACCTTCGTCACAGTTTTTGCCTTTAAATCCAGGTGGGCATTTACATTGATAGCCACCCACAACATTTGTGCACTGGGCGCCATTTTGGCAAGGCTTATGCACACTGCAAATGTCACCATCTACACAGAAATATAAACAGAAAACAATTAAATTAGAGAGCAATACTTTCACCAAAATATTAATTCAATAAACTTCATATGATAAGGTAGCTGACCAAAGTGCTTCTCGATTGAATGTCGTATAACATGAAGTCGTGATTGGTTTTAGTCTTGTCGTGTTGCCTTCACTGGTTGAGAAGGTAGCCCGCGGAATTTTTTGAACCAATCGAAAAGAATAGTGGAGCAAAACAACTGAATTCCTGAATTACTTTCGAAACTAAATCGAAAAATTGTCTTTTCTGGATATGGGCGGAGCGCCATACCTTCAGTACATCCGTAGAACTCCACTCTCATAGAAATGGTTCCATGCCAGCTCTTAGGTTTGATCCGTATATACTGAGCAATGATTGGTGGATCAACAAACTCAGCTGCTACAGTGTAACGATCGTTGTTTCCTTGGAAGACCTAGGAATTTAAACACACATCGTTTTTTTGATACTGATTGGACGCGTCATTCCGTGATAAGATTATTTCAAATGGTCAATCTTTTCTATTCTTAACGTTTTTGAGCAGTTTTCAATTGAGCGTTGAGAAAAGTAATCAGCAGCCGATCAAAACGATGAATCACTCCTTCGTTAGCCAATAAGAATTAAAAGTAAAACTAGGCAAACTGCAAAAAGCGCGGGAAGACGCGGGAAGACGCGGATGACCAAGTCGCGATTGGTTTGCGTTTTGCGTAAGCGAAGTAAAGTAAAACAATAGTAATCTCGGACATCTTTCGACATTCAATTGAAAATTTCTGTCCGTATTTTCCTATCATAACGAAAAGATGTTTTTCTAGTCTGTTTCTAGCCTAGAATAGTTTTGGAGCGCAAACAAGGGAAGAGGATACCCATACATAAAGAAATTTTTAATACTATTACGAGAAGATTAGAACTAGTTTCTGAATTAATACTGGGTGACCTTTCAAAATTGTTTAGCGATCCAAAGCCTTTTTTTAAACCTGTTGTTGTCACCATGCTCTCATATCTTTCATACTTAATATCAAACTCAGAAAGCCGTAACACAATGTCCTGTGAGATTCGTCACACCGCAACAGACATATTCCAAACACGTCAACAACAGCACAGATTTGAGAACATACCGTAACTATATTATTGAGCTTGTAATCTTTCCACGTCTTTCCATCGAAGCTGTAGGCCAAAGTGTATGTCTTTACCCACTGGTCAGCGTCCATTCGTCCCTGAGTAGCAACGCGACGTACCTTAGCAACCACGTCAAACTTGGCTTGAATATATTGGTTACCATCTGCTGTCTTGGCAGACCATGCACCGATTCTTGAACCTGTTTTCTGGAAGTGGAGCCTACCATTATCTACTCCGTGGTTAGCATCGTATTGTGAAGAAGCTTGTAGGGCATCTGGTTTGATACGCCCGCTTTGCATGCCGAGTGCTTCCATGCACAGTGGGGGACTGGGAGGGACAAAGCCTGATTGTGCAAGAAAATGGCGGGCATTCAATAATTTCATGGGGGAATCTTTTGATCTCAAATAACTGTTGATTTTTCGATCATGTGTTTCATTTGGAAAATTAAGCTCTCTAATTGAAACAATTATCAATTCCACGTTGCGCCATCGGAAGCTAGAAACGCCAACTGCCTCACAGCCCTCGGATAGACTTTTTTTTTTTCCAAAAATGCCAACATAAAATTTGGAATAATTACCTCTTACCCTGGAGGGTACTGAATCTGGTCGAATATAGAAAAAGAAGTGAAGTAAATTTGGCAGCAGCACGTTTACTAATAGTTTTTCATCCAACAGTACCGTGAACTTTAAATTTGGGGTATTGCTTTTTGTGGTGAGGGGAAAACAGAGAACCTTCAGAAGATACCTCAGAGCAAGGAAAACAGCAGCTTAGATACGACGCCAGGTCAGTAGGGGGAATCAAACGCGGAACAAATGGCAATTCGCCATCCATGCATCTCTTTAGCGGTAGATTCATGTGGTCAGTGATAACTCTAGGTAAAATTTTCAGTTGAGATAACATAACTTTGAGCTAACCTGTTTGACAGCCAAATAATTCAAGTCTCAAGGAGATATGTCCATGGAACGTTTTTGGGTGAAGACGAAAGAAACGAGTGTAGATGGGCACTTCCAACTTGTTTTCTTTGATTGTATTCCTGTCAGAGTTCCCTGTAAAGATCTGAGAAAATGACAAAACAAGCAAAGAGTGACACAAGATTCACAAAAAGCGGGTTCCACATGAAACAAAAAGTTCCCTTTCATCATTTCATGCTGCTAATCGCCGTCTAAGCTGCCGCCCAGAACAAAGGAAAACTTTTCTTGAATTTTGACGTGAGTGGCGAGTTGCAGGAAGAGCAAAATTTTCCAATTAATGGAGTCACCAAGACTTCAAGAGACCTCCAAGAAAAATAGAACGCTTTGGAGGGAAATTAGATTCCCAAAAATGATTCACTGAACATATTCCTGCACAAATCTTTACACCTACGCTACCTGACACGATTGGATCATTTATTAAATATATTTTTGGGTCAATCTCTCGCTATAACTCCGACAACCATAGCAAAAGGTTCAGGCTCACATAAGCGGCACGTTAAACTTACAATTGGACCATTTTCACCGTAGACGTCGTAGAAACCATTATTGAGGCTGTAGGATATCCAGTATGACGTCACCCATTGATCATAATCACTTCTACCTTGGGTAAACACCCGTGTTATCTTGACAATCTTTCCGAAGTCGACCTGCGAAGTAAATATAAAGACAGAAATACAATTTATAATTGAACAAAGAGTAAATCATTTTTCGGTAGGAGATGCATGGGCACAATGGTTAGGGCGCTGAAATTTGGATCGAATGATCTAGGAGCCGGTAACCTTACCGACCACAGCTATTTGTAAAACATTAAGCTCAAAAACCAGTCCACTGTGCTTGGTTTTCTGATATTTTTGTATATCTGATTTCAATCATCTCGACTGTAAATGTGAACATGTCAAACCAAGATAGAATTTTTTTGGGACCGATAACAAACGTCAGGTTCGAGAGAGGAGGGCCTAGGTTCGAGCCCTGACCAGATCACTGAGTTGTATTATTGGGCAATATGACGCCCATCCAGGAACACAGATTAGCACTGTAAGGTGTCAGGACACCTCACAGTACTCGCCCTAGTTGTTAAGTATTTAGAAAACCGCAAATACTCCAGTGGTATGGGCTACTTGGCTCGTGTGCAAACTTACTCTAAGGAACAGTTCACGGACAAGAGAGAGTCAAGCATCGGTAAATAGACAACACATACCTGAATCCATTGCCCTAAGTCGTTATATTTTGCAGACCAAGCTCCTGTCTTCGCTCCCGAACGTGCCGAATTTAGTCGCGCACGGATTGGACCATGGTTTCCATCCCACTGGCTGGAGGCCGTGATTGCATCGTCAGGAATGTCACCGCTCTGAAGACCTAGTTCTCCTTCTTTACATCGAGGGCTAGGCGTAGATGGCGGTGCACCTAAGACAGAAAATGAAAAATACTAAAGTCCATAAATTTTCGAATAATCAGCATGCAGGGGTTGGACCTTCAGTCTTTCGGCAGTCAGGGGAATGCAAAACGAAAACCGGCTAGTTGCTACAATTTCCAGGTTCGTTTTTAGGTGCGATTGTACGAGCTTACCTTGACAGGACTCATCTAGAATCATCTGTAGTTTATCCTTCAAGGCATCAAAGTCATCCACCTGTATAACATACTGATCATCGTTCATAGCAATCTGACGCAACTCTCGCTGGTTGATACCGTGACCAATACCCACTGCAACGGTTCTGACTCCTTTTTCCTACCAAATTAAATAAGTAAGAATGATGAAAGGGAATATTTCTTGTTCCCTTCTGATTTTCTATATTGGGTTAACAGAAGCTTTCTATACAGTCATTGTTTTCGGATAGCTATTGTAAATGCTCAAGTAATTGAAGAATAAAATTGCACGAAATATAATAGATGCATGGTTAATCATAGCGGAATATGAATTATGTCAATTTCACACTTCTTCCTCGTTGATTTTTGAATAGCTATTGCACTGTAAGATATTTACAATCAGTGCTGGAAGAAGTTGTATCCGTCAGTTCTTTCTTCGTCATAAAATGTGGTAGAGGAATCCCGAAATAAATTTATTTCATCAGTTGAGTTAATAACGTAAGTTGGCCACCATAAAGAGCGTTAGCCCTCCGTCGGAGCGAATGGAGGAATCCTTAGTCGTGCTGTACTTAACGCGAAATCAAACTCGGCCAATCATCAGACAAGTGCAATCAACCTTAAAGGTTGATCTTAGTGCAACACAACTGTAATAGCAAGCGTCACATTACTTTCCTTACATGACGGTACTAACCTGGAGTGGTTGTAGTACTTCAGGATATGGCTTACTTCCTCGGTTTGTTTTACCATCGGTGAACACAATCAAAATGTTTGCTTTGTCGTTACGATCTCCTCCGGCGCTAGTGAATAGCTTTTGAGCAGCCATTTCCAAAGCCCTATCAGTGCGAGTCCACTGCCCAGGGTACCTAATTTCCATCACACGTTTCTTAAGTTCGACCACGTTGTGATATTTTGGGTTTGCTAAGTCAAATTCCAAATTGGAATTTGTACTATATGTAATTACGCCAAAGTGCGTTGCTTTGGTGGAGACTGAGAAGTGAGACATCAAGGACTGGACGAACTCTTTGGCTATTTTGAAGTTGTTTTTACCCACACTGCCTGAGCCATCCAGGATGATGCCAACGTCTAAGGCCTTGGTACAAGCTAAATTCAATTGCAAAATCAAAACATACTTGAATCAATTTTCTGCCACAGGTGCATGTTACTAATTTAGTTTCATATAAAACTATGGTTCCGCCGTCAATTTTTTCAAGTGGCAGTCTATAATGTTAAGGCAACTTTCAATTTGATGTCAAGTGTGGATAGGAATTGAAGGCGTTTTCCTTCACTGCGCTCTGTTGTTGGCTTACCAAACTCGCGCCACAAATCAGATTGCAACACAAGAGCCAATCACGGCTTTATAACTTGGTTTCTTGCGCTTAAGACATTTTACATTTATGTAATTAACACCTCATAGCCTCTTTGTTGCATTCACCGATTTCCCAATTGGCCACGGCGAAGACTGTAGGTTCGGTTTTACGACACTCCATTCTAAAAACACTCTAGACGGAAAATTGCTCGATACACTTGGACAATCAAGGAAGTCAATCATAATTTACCCCGTGACAAGCTCACTGCTAGGTAAAAGATAAGTATCTTGTGAAAGCTACGGTTGAGAAAATTCATCCTTTGAGAAAAAAAATCTTAATTACTACTCACGTTTGGGACATGGATTCTCAGAACACGCTCCAGTCTCTTCCAACTCTCCAGCGCAACTCTTGCCGTTGCCTTTTGGTGGGGGATTGGTACACGATCTCTCGCGAACTTTTACTCCTCCACCACAAGACTTAGAGCACTGCGTCCAGCTAGACCACTCGGACCAGGCCCCATCGACATCACCAGCACCTGATGAAAGATTCTAGTCAATGAATGACAAACACAAAAGTATGACACATGTACCGACATGCTTTTGCTAAGGGGTGTATAACATTCACGTACCCCTGGTCAGGATCATGAACAATCTTTTCGACAGCATGAGTTGAGTTGACTTATTTCCCTTACGGTAAATTTGTCATTTCGCTGCCCATGTGAAGCAGGGTCTCTATTGAAGGTCGAAAATCGCTGCTTGTTACTAACCTTGACAAGATTCCATGAGGATTTGCTTCAAGTTGTTTTTAAGCTCATCAAAATCGTTTACATGTGTGACGTAGTCAGGATTTCCCGCAGCGATCATAAGCAGTTCATCGTCACCGATGCTGTTCCCAATTCCCACAGCAACCGTGCGGACTCCCTTGTTCTAAAACAGAAAAAAATGGAAGAAATTCAGCCTTTATTTTCCACTGAACATTTTCACTTACAGGCAATTGGTTTAAACGCACCAAGTGACCCAAAAGCGACAGCTAAAACTGCGGAATATCAGGTGATATTCGACAATCGATCCTTCCCAGTTTTTAAACTGGGAAGGATCGTTCTTAAGGGTCTGAAAAGGAGAGTTTGTTTGACAGTCAAGAGTTCTTTAGTTGTTGGTCAATTCCCTTATTCTCGTGACCTTAATGTTTAATTCAGGGCTGATATTGTAAGGAGAAATTAGATGCCAGTCACTCTCAGGGGTTAAAGGGTTAATGTTAATCTTGTCTGTTCTGAATCATCCTAATAGTCCTTTGTGAATAATTTCCTCCTTCTTGGCATATTTCTAAAGTTCAATGCATATTTCCTTGTCGCTAACCTGCAGAGGCTTTAAAACATCCACATATGGTGCACTCCTGCTATTTGTTTTGCCATCGGTGAGGATCACTAAAACGTTTGCAGCATCTGCCCTATCGCCATCAGCGGCGCTAAAGATCTGATCAGCAGCCATCTTAAGGGCCAGATCTGTCCTGGTTCCTCCACCAGTATATTTCAGGCCCTTGATGGCTTCCTGCAGCTTGGAAAGGCTGTGGTATTCCGATTTCGCCAGGTTGAATTGTAATGTGGCTACTGAATTATAAACGATGGCACCGACATGGGTTCCTTGTGGTGATACTGACAAGTGGCCAACAAGATCAGAGAGGAACTTCAAAGCCTTGGCAAAGTTTCCACTTCCAACGCTGCCTGAAGCATCTATTATCAGGCCAACGTCCAGTGATTTCTTGCAGGCTGTTTAAATGAAATTGACGTTAAAGAATAGTAACTGATGATGTTCGCACGATGGTTACGCATGGCTGTAGCAAGCGCGAGATTCGAGCAGTGATTTGTTTAAGGCCACTTACGATCAGGGCACGGATCTTCATTGCATTTCTGATTCTCCTCTGGTTCACCTAGATGATCACAACCCTTTCCATTCCCCACAGGGGCAGGGTCGGTACAGGTTCTTTCACGGGCTCGTGTTCCGCCTCCACAGGTTTTAGTGCATTCAGTCCACTCTGACCACAATGAGTAACCACCATTCACATCCTTAGGTTTTACTTTAGAGAAAGAACTTCACAATATTAGAATACACCAACTTTTTCTTAAAATGCAGGCCTCTCGGAACTCGAGAGAACAATCAATTGAATTCTTGAAGGAAGCAAACTAAATCACTGTAGCCTGCCATTGCAAATTTAAAAAACACTTGACCACAAATGACTGAACCTAGTCAAAGTTAACAAAATTGAACCAGTTAGTTAAATCTGCCAAGATGAAACCAAATTTAAATGAAAGCTCATGTAAAATCAAGAACATATATGGCTCCTACATTTTTAAAATTTTAAAATTATAAGCACAACAAAATATTCTCTTTTGACAAGAGAATTCACTCACAGTCTTTCAACCTATAGATGTAGTTAGTGCTTTGAGTTCCTACGCATTCCATATCCTTGCTTTTATCACAAGGAGGAAATGGCTCTACAAGTTCCTGGATGCACTTTTTGGGATCAGCTTCACCATATTTGTTAAATGCTGTCTCCCCATTCTCTCCACTCCAGCACTCCCCATAGAATTGCAACCCAAATACTTTCCAACCATTTTCACGGGTTTTATTTGCACAGCGGCAGGCAAGACTGAAAAATGGTCATGTGAAAATGTTATTATCCAATTCCAGCTGCATTAGCACTGCAAAGGTTTTAATCAGGGGTTGGGCTATAAAGGTTTAAAAGTTGGCCTATCAATTAGTTATCTCATGAGTGCTCAGCTGCCATGTGGGTGATCAAGGGTTCAAGTCCCAGACCAGACTGAGAGTCAGGGTCTTAAAATCACTGAGGACAACATGCTGCCTTTGCTATAACATCCACATATGGTAAAACATTCATATCTTTTCCAACAAGGAGTATAAAACATATGCCCTGTCTCCTGCATCTTCTCTGCACTGGTTAACAGAGAATGTTATTAAGAACCCTTGCTCTTCTCCCAAAGAGTAGGGAATGTAGTTCTAGTTTCAGTTTGTGGTCTGGCCTTGTTATTGTCCTCATTTAAACCAGCTTTAAAACTGAACTAGACCAGCCTGTCAAACATCACTAAATAAATAAATTAAAAAAAGAAGAAGCTGAGTTACCTGAGCATTGACTCTTCCCACGCATGCCAATCAATCTGATGACCATCATGGGCATCACTTGATTTGTCTCTATCGTTCACTAAGAGATCTGGCAGAGTTCTCATCCCTCTCTTGGTATTGTCCTTGAAACAACCAACCTTTTCGAAAGTCCGCTCGCATTTCGTATGAGGAAGGGCTGCTGTTATGAAGAAGAAATATAAGTAAATGTAGCAAATACTACGACACAAGCATAAAATTTCACTATATAAAGTGAACCCCCTTGTCACAAAGACTTTGAGGTCCTATAAATCAATAAAGACAGCCTACATGAGTAACAGATATTCCCCCAGCTCATACTATTAGAAACACATTTGTACCTTCCTCTGATAGAGTTGTATTCTTTTGGTTTTGGGAAAAATCTCATGGACACTTTTTGCAAGTAATTCAAAGAGTCCATTCTCACGCTTTCTTTTTTTCTCTTGCACAAAGGCTAATTCTCAAAATGGATAATCAATAACCACTGCACAACCATGGCTCGTCAGCCGCCATTTTGTTTAATTGAAGTAAAGAGTAACCAAGCCTTTGAAACTAGGACTGGACTCGTGGATTCGGATTAATATGTAAGGAGAGCCCTGAAGATGGGCACTTTGACATAAAAGAGAGGAAAACCAAACCTTTCTTCCCATGAACAAAGAGCAAGTTTACAGCCAGCACGAGAAGAGGAATCCACATCTCTGATAAAGATAAGCACGCTGCGAAAAACAATTCCTACTAATGTCTTATTAGTTTATGTACAGAAAAAAAAAGATATTATGGGAAAAATAAAGAGACCGAGAAAAATTAATTCATTAAAGAGGTGTAAAAATTCATATATTAGATAAATTAAATCCAGGGTAATTAAAAATTTTCTCATTGATTATCTTCTTTGGAAACAAGCTTATGTTTTGGTGGTAAAACGATATTAAAATCACCGATGTATATAACCTATTGACTCAAGCTATAGATTGTTAATTATGCCCGCTTTCAAAAGACCCGAAAAATTGACTTAAATAGTTGTAATTTGTTTCTCTCTTAAAAATCATATAATTTTTTCGATTTATCTTTATTAGCTCTCTTTGTTCGCGAATGGGCAAAAGGACCTTAGAACACCTGAGCCTGCTTTTGGATCGCAACCGCATAATGTTAGTAGTTTCTTAGCAGAATGTTCAGAGTACGAAAAACTCATTACCTGCAGATACATAGCAGGCCAGATTACTACTGTAATGAGTAAAGTGAATTCTCAGAATTATTGTTTTGACAATGAAGAACTCATTCAAGACGTTCTTGATTCTAATCAAAGGATAATCCTTTGCCATATGATAAATCTTTCATAACCAAGCTTGTTCGGTCACAATGGCTCAAGACATTTGCCTCGTTCTTTTTTTTTTTTTTTGCGGAACTTTGTATCCAGCAATCTTGACCTCACGATTGGTCATTAACGCATATACATGCGTGCAAGTTTTCTATCACCTGAGGTCTGTCGATTTTTCTGATTGAAAGTATTTTCCGAAAAAATGTTCATTATTTTTCTAAAATTAAAAACGATATCTGACTTCGACAAGTTAACTCGCCATTAAACTTGTTTAAATTCTGAAACAATCTACGACTCGATGTAGACGAATTTCCTTTAACCTTAGGACGAGCTTTCTTAAACGAAGTTTCTTTCCCCTTTCTGAAAAAAATCTCTTACACCTCTTTAGCCAAGAACAGAAAACTGGGTTATGGTCCGCCTTGGTTCGAGGCGGGAGCTTATGACTCAAAATCTTTATCTTTATCTTCAACTAAAAAGAAGAATATGTAACAGAAAGCCATAAAATGAGTTATTAGATTCTCACTAAAGAAAAGAAAAGAATTACTTACCTCAGCTTTTCTTTTATTGTTTTAAGAGGGCTTCCGTTATTTTCCCTCTATTGCCCAGAGGCCCACTCGGAAAGTGGCCTCTGTATAGTCCCATTCTCTTTTTTAAACAAGGCTCTATTTACACAGGAGACCGTACCTGTTTTTACGACACATACAATTGTTATTAAAGACACTTAAAATCGATTAGGTTGAAAAAAATCTACGAACAAAATTAAAAAACTAAGTTGAAAAACGTTATACAGTTTAAATTTTCCAATTTCTGCGTAAATAGTTTGTTTTTAATTTCGATTTAAGGATTGCCGAGCCGATTTGTTTGCGCTGAAAGAAAATGTTCCTCTCGAAAACGTTACGTAATGTTTGCTTTTAATAAGATCAGAATCAATACAGATGTTTTAAGAGAGGCTGTAAGATATAGAAACTAAATTCACACTTTTATACCATCCACTAAGCTACCGTGTTCACAGTCAATTTCTTGCTTCCGAAGAACTGGCTTGTCATTCAACAGAAAAATCTCGGGATAAATTTGTGGATTTGTTAATTTCTCATGGCTTATTCAGGTTTTCAAGTTTTGCAATGTATTTAAAGCCGATTGAAGAGTTTGCCTCGGTTTTTGAAAGATTTACTGCAAAATCAAGATGATGTACTATGCTTGAAATTTTTGTCAGGCTTCAAAGAAAAGAAAGCATTATATTTCAAACTTTTGCCACTTGAACCTGTCTTATTCCGAGACATGAACAACCATTCAGGAAACATTTTTCATCATAATTGGTTATAAAGGTACAAATTGTTAACAGTTGTTTATTCGTAATACTTTTGATCAATTTTTAGTATTATACATCTAAAGATATTACACGTGAGGTATTTTAAACCGGGAGAAACTATAGTTGACATGACCCACAGTATTGCAACCTTAGTTACATCAGTTCGAGATACATTCCTGTTCCTCACGATTGTATTCGTCAATTTAAAATTGAAAACAAGATAAGCTAAATCAACATCAAGATTCTTACAGCCATGAAAAATGAGAAAAAAATATCTAGAAAAGCTCCTTTTACAAATCGTATTGTGACTAATTGAGTATTATCATTATTCCGTTCGTTTTTCTTCCACCAATACAAAGCTCTCGTAATCTTAATTAAAATTTAAGTGCCTTGATAACGCTATAATAATCATCATCCACTGATTCAACACTTTCTGTAAACATCACCTCTTAAATTTGACCTAATGAGACGTGATCCAATTAAGGAGAAAATATTACGAAACCCGTTTATGACGGACGAGAATTAGCGTAAAGCGACATTAAAACGTTCTTTTTAATATAGGATTTTGTAAAGCTTCCTAGAATTAAACGGCTAATGCAATGCCCAGTTTGATTGTTTCTTTTCTCTCTTTTTCCTCAAAATAGTACTATCGCACTTCTCATACCAAATTTCCCTAGTTTGGAGCAATATACGGGAAACGTGAATCCTTACTGTTTTCACCAATATTCCCATATCCAAAGTCCACTTTCCTAGGATTTTTATTCAAGAAAGTTTTTTTAAATCGAAAAATCTCATGTAAGGATCAAATAAAATAAAAAAATTGAAATAAGTATCCTCAACTTCATAGAAATTCTTTTTTCTTCGGAAAAACTGACGCTCCTGATTACTTCCTCAGCTACAAGTGCAACAACGAATTGTTCATGTGCCCACCGATTGAAGAACAAACGCACCATTAACCAAACCGAGGGCAAGATAATTGGACTTTGGTTGTTTTCTTCATTTTTTGCATTACCAACTGTAAACTGGAGCTTGATGGTAGGACAGAACGTAAAAATTAACGTGGCGGAAATGTTAAGGGGTGTCGTGTGACTTGGTGTTCGTCTTTTCCGCTCTGACTAATTAACTTTCTTATCTTTCTCGTTCAATCACTACACGCATTCTTTTCCCCTCAATTTTCTCAAAATACTCTTTTTTGGTTTCGCTCAAGTTTTAAACTAACAATTAACTTGCGTTTTTCAATTTGAATAGCGTTTTACTAGGGGTCTATCGTGGACTTTTGATAACGAACGGACTTCCGCTTATTAACCCCATTTACCCATGAGGTGCGGGAGGGAGAATGGTGAACGCGGTTGTTTAAGGTTCGAGAGGATCTGGGTTCCAACCCTAAGCAAATCATTGTGTTGTGTGTGTGCGTGTGTGCGTGTGCGTGCGTGTGTGTTTTTTTTTTTTTTTTTTCTTCAGCAAGACTTTTAACTCTCAAATAGAACATGATACTGAGGATACAGGTTAAACTCTTTAACTGCAATCCAGAGGGAGCATCAGTACTCCTGGTCGCCATGGAAGCCGGGATAAGTCCTGATAGAACGGGTCGCTTAGTTTTTGTGCGGGCTGAGCCAAAGGGATGAAAGATTATTCTAACACTAGATAATGAACTGTTTGCTAAAAAAATCATATGTTCCATTGAACCAGATTTAAGGTAAAAAGAGGCCTGTAGATAGGCGTATGTCAATTCCGAGTTGATGGCTATACCAGCGTCACAAAAGTATATAAACAAACAATATTTATTTTTGCATTAAAAATTCATTAGTACTTCCGCTTTGGATCTTTAATTCTGTTCCAATTTTAAAAGTTGTCGACCAAGATGTCAAGTGCGCAACAAAGTCAAGCCAGAAAGGCGGAATTAACTAAGACTTCTACTTACTTTGAAACACATTCCACACTTAAAAACTATGACAAACGTCGCGGCTCGATTAAACATGCACGCCGGACTCAAAATGGAATAAATGGAAACGACACATTTAAATGAGTAAAATCCTTTGACACGGTAGCGTTATGTTCTTTCCGAAAATAGTCTAAAGAGAGAAATGGAGGGACTCGGGAGAGCGAGGAGAAATGCCATATTGTCTTACTATCAATTGTAACATTTCATCGAAAGCGTAGTTGCCATATATAAAATTTAATCCATGCACTTCGTGTTCTTGTCTGGAAAACAATCTCCATATTAAAATAAAGGGGTTGAATTCGCTTAACATGCACATTGGTAGACACTGAGCTAGGAGAAAATATTGAATGTTGGACCCGTTTGTTTTTCGACATCTCTTTATGATTGAAATCTTTTTTGCATTTACCGCTGTGTCCCTATACTTAGGGAAACAGGAACAAACGCGGGCATCTGATAATCATCTTTAATGTCTTTAAAAGCAAGCAATATTTGTCGTAGCAAACATGTTCAGTTTTTCTTCTCAGTCCATTGGGTGCATGTATGAATTATTATTTTACAGTCAAAGGAATGTTGTCATCAAATTGACTGGGTTCTGCAATCCAATTGTGACCGTCAAATGTATGGAAAAGTCTAACTTAATTTTATTTTATAATAACTGCGGAATAAATATTAGGGCCGGTTATTTACTCTATGTTTAATTTAAAGCACGGTTTTACGCAATCAGGGGGCCTCAGTCGTCTTTTATAGGAGGGTTGATTTAATCAAATAAATGTCCTTCTACTGCTTGCTTTCGGCCCTCTTGACGCTGTTCACAAAAATAATTGTTTAGGTAAAAGGTTCAGCTAAATTGAGGATTGTTTGGGACGCGGTTTTGTGAAACAAAGGTTAAACTCTGTTCAAATATTCAGACATCAAACTGAACTAAGCACTTTTAAGAAGTGTCGCATCGGTGCCTTCTAAGGTTTTAACGATAATGGTCATTCTGAAATTCTAGAACAAATGTTAAACATGTCAATTAAACATCGTTTATTGTTCAGCGCCTGAAGGACTTCACGAATTATCTGTGCAGCCTTTAAGGTACCAGAATCCTCCACTGAGGATTTTTCTTCACTGGTACATGCCTGAAAGAACCACTAGAAATCATTTAACTCTGAATCTTAGAAATAATTAATTACTAAGCTAAACAAATTTTAATGACAGGTTTTCATCTGTAGGTTATTGGATGAATTCCAAGTTTTTTGTTTTCTCCTGCTTTAATACTCTTACTGACTTCCCCTTGTCAAATAATTTTGTGAATTCTGGTGTGTCTACAACTTCCTCCTTCGTTATAAAATAACCTTCACAGCCAAGAAAAAGGTCAGAGTTAAAACTAAAAAATATAGATATAACAGACGAATCAAAAATTATGTTTAAACTGTTTGAGCATTCTCTGCAACATAAAGCGCCGTAACAATTAAACATAGGGAAGGACAAGGTCCAGTAGGTCATCTCCAGTTTCGCTCTCATCGAAGGGGAACTGAAAATTTTGTGAAAATTCAATCTACCCATCCCCTGTAGCGACGTAAACTGAAGCTTAAAAGAGGATAATTGTTATAACACTAGAATAAGCTAGTATATTTAATTCATGTTGCAGTCTCGTAGAGATAACAAGCTTGATTTACACTCGTGAAAGGTTGTTTGTGTTCAGTCACCTTCGTGAAGTCTTTCATAAAAACAAATTTTTTTCTCATTTGAAATAAGTTTTGTTTTGTCTTTTTTTTTTTTTATCGTTAGGACAACGCGTTGGAAAAGTGTTATATGATATCCTCCTGTCGAAGTATTGATTGCCGAGTCGATTGTTGGGGAGGCCCTGAAGATAACTCTCGCCATAACTTTCTTCAACCTTAATAGACATCTTGAAATATGACGACCTTAAACAACACAACAGAAGATTTAGGGAGCTCAGCGACAATTTCAGAGTCTCCATTTTGCATGCTAAGTCCAAAGTGGCAAAACCTGAAGATTTTTTTTATAGCACTGAATATTCCTCTCTCCATCACGGCGTTTTTGGGCAATCTTCTGGTTATTACTGTACTTTGGAAGGTCCGCAGCTCCATGTGCCTTCATCCTTCCTCAAAGCTTCTGTACAGTTGCCTTGTGTTCACTGATCTGTGCACGGGTGTTATTACACAGCCTCTGTTAGTCGCCTTCATATTCTCCCCAAAACACTCCAAAGGTTGTCTCTATCTACAAATCCCGTATGTCCTCACGAGCACAATTTTACGAGGAGTCTCGGTGCTAACAGTGACTGCGATCAGTGTGGACAGATATTTGGCTTTGGTACTAAGAATGAGATACAGAAACATGGTCACACTTACAAGAATACGGACTCTTCTGGCTGTTTTTACCCTTTACACCGTTATCGGTTCAATGTTGTGGCTGTACAAATTTCGCATTGCCGCAGCCTTGACTGCTGTAACATTATTGTTGTGCCTTTTGACAGCAAGTTTCTGTTACTTGAGAATTTATCTAACCTTACGCAACCACCAAATTCAAGTTCAAAAGCGTGTCTTCCAGCCACGAGAACAAAAATTCCAAATGAATATGGCTTGGTACAGTAGAACAGTGACTAGCGCGTTATGGATACAGTTCACATTACTTTTTTGTTATCTTCCATTTTCTACAGTCATAGCATTACGTGCAGTCATTGATGTTAGTAATAACCCTCATGCATCGGCGATTGATCTGGCATGGTACATCACAGGAGTTCTGTTTTTGTCAAACTCATCAATAAACCCGATACTTTACTGCTGGAAGATTAGAGGGGTGAGAGCTGGAGTAAAGGACATAATCAGACAATTTTGTCGTTTCTGAATTTTAAGGGGATAGTTTCCTCAGTTTTAGGCAATAATAGAAGTACTGACTGTCAGTACGACGTAGTAGCTTAAATCTCAGTGAGCTGAAAGGAAACGAAGAGAAAAAATATATTAAACATTATCGCCACATTTTTTATGACAACTCATCATCCAAAAGTAGTTTTTTTAAAAACATTTGCATTAATTTTAATCATGCTTCGATCTCCTCTGGTATAGCGTCTTTTTAGTAGTCATGGACCTTGTGTCAATAAAGAAAAACTAAGCTTGGTAAAGGAATACAAGGAAGTCAGTGTAGTAGAGAAAGGATCGATAGAAAAATTCAATAAGTTGTCTTCGTTAAGCGTTCGCTAAAATAAGTCTCTTTTAACATGTTGTGGTGTTTTCTTTGTCGCTGTTTGTCGGTAATAAATTATTCACTTCCAGGAACACGTCGAAGACTTTTGTTCTTCGATAAGAAATTGTCGCCTGTAGTTCCCTTCTCCTATACTGAGAAAAATGAATTGAAGTGAAATATTCTGATACAGTCTGCGGGTGTAATTAAACAATCGGAACCGTTTGCTAACCCAATACTCCCATGAGCCTTGGTTCAGACATGAAATTTAAGGTCGCCTCCCAAGGACTCGCCTCAAACAAACGACAAATGACAGGGAAGACCATTTGCATTCGCTCTGATGAAGGGCCAATGATCGAAACGCCGGCTCTTGAAACCTTTATGGTGGCAAATTTACATTAGCAACTAGGATAAAACAAAATTCTCTGGTAATACCCTCCACTGAGGCAGCACCACAGTTTATTTGGAAACTTACTCCTTTATTCATTTACAAAACTACTTGTCGCCGACTGGTAGGTTAGGTCGCTTCACGCGCTGAAAACGTTCAGACGGTCTGAGATCGCAAATAGAAAGCTGCGGATGTCTTCACGAATTTTTCTGTGATATGTTTGCTGTGGTTGATTCCCCAAGAGGAGAGCGTCAGTCTATAGAGGAAAAGACGAATGTCAGCTGCGTCTTAGTAGGCAAGCAGGTCCCTATTATTACATGATTATTAGCGCTGCAGGACGCGCGTTTCTCCTCCCGCGGAGAGATCTTAGAAGAGCCAAGAAGTAGTTACCGGGAGTCTGATACCTCAATATTACCTGTGTTAAACCCCTTGCAGACTTCTCGCCTGCCCGTAAGCTAGCTGCGACTAAAATTGTTAGATCATTAAATCATACTTGCGACGACGCAATTCTTTGCGAGACGGAGTGCATATCACCAATTTGACTGTTTGGCGCTTGTGAATAATTAATAAAGGTCATAATATGCTAATTGATTTTGATCAATTCAACATAAATTTTCCTATCTGCAAGCTTCAAGGAATAGTTACGCTTACTTAGAAACTGAACATGGTATAGACAAAGTTAAGTTCGACCCAAATGGTCAGTAAAAATGTCAAGAAGAGTAAAAACTTTTTCCAATCTATACAACGGTGTGTCGTCGAATTTGGCATATGTCTGATAGTGACTGGTAGTGACGGGTGACATAAACCTGTATACTTGCATAAAAACCTGACATTAAAACTTGGTTCCTGTGAAAAATACGATCAGAGCTACGTTGATGTTTCAAAATTATATGTTGCGGCCACAGAATGCGCCTTAAAGCGATAATTTTGAGACACTGAATCATTGTTTCTTTTTTCTTAAGGAGATTAAGAACTGAAGTAAACCATGAACAGCTGTTTCGGTCTCATTAGACCTCAATTAGACCTCATCAGCGTAATATCTTCAAACAAATAATTCATTCACTGCCTCTAAAGAGTTTCTTTTTTCCCAAAGAGGACTTCGAAACGTATGGTTGAAAACATTTATTAAAAACGCAAGTCCCGATTACGAACTGGGAAATATTTATCAGAAGAGAGGCACCCAAAAAAATAGGAAAGACACAAAAAATTAGTTGGTGCCCCCCCCTTCCCCCTTCCCCCCCCCCTTCCCCCTTCCCCCCCCTTCCCCCTTCCCCTCCATTAACAAAGGTAAGTTGAACTCTTACCTCAATCGGACGCCCCCCAAAAGTTATTCCACCCCACCCCTCTCTACGTAGTTCATAATTATGTTTAACAAGGCCGCCCCACATCCGATCCGTCTGAGTCTGAATCGCTGGATTGCGGCTGCAAGTCCGGCACTATATTTGTCATTACCTTCGGTTTCCATGATATTTTAAACAGCTTGAATGCAAGCCAGAACTTGGCTTACTAATTTTTCTTTCCTATCCACTAAGCTATACATGGCTGAGTCTGCCTCAGGTTGTCTTAATTTTTTTTCTCATCACAGAGATGGCTTAGGGTCAGTCACCCCCCCCCCCCCCACCCGTCTAATTTTTTTCAACTCCCCCGGTCCACTTTTACTCCTGATAATTATTGCAAAGCACCTTATGATAATCATTTATTTTTTTATTTAAAATGTCTATTTTTTGGCATATGCAATACGCCCTACAAACAAAGAGAAAATTATTGTCGTTTATTAATTCAAAAATAACGGAATATGAAAGGTGATTGTAGGGCTTTTCACAAAGAGTTTTCTCTTAATTAACAACAGGTAATGTTACATCGCCGAAATGATCAAACTTGTTGTAAAAAAGGCACTTTGAAGTGGCCTTTATATTTCTTTTTCTTGGTTTCTTAAAGGCTTGTATCCACAACTTCCACATCGAACCTAACATCACCTTCTAATATTCTAAGCGGTGTCACTTTCGTCGAAGCAGCTCTTTTATCAACCCTTATTTCAATGTTTTCAACTTTCACAGTAGCTCGCCGCCTTACAAAGGATCGAGCCAACGCCTGTCGAAACTCTGGTATTCTAAATGCGTATATAATTGGATTTATAAATGCGCTCGAATAGTTGACAAAATTAATAGCCACCAAATATCTCTGAGGTATGTTGAGATCAGTTAAATTTGCTAAGGTGTTTGAAATGATATATGGAAGCCAAGAAAGCAAGGCAAGAATAGAAACAAACAGCAAAGTCTTCGTCAAACGTTTATTTTGTATGTCCCTATTTTGATGTTGTGTTCCAGGGACAATTCCGCGTCGAAATTTCCTCCATATGGCGATGTTACAACCACATATGAGAGCAGTTGATATCGTACCCAAAGACAACCAGTAATAAAAATATTGTTGAATAAAACGGGCTAAAAGAAAAAGGAGGGCGGTATCAAGGGCAGAAATTGTCCACAGCATTAGAATTATGACGAAGTATGCTCGCTCCGAAAGGGATCGTTGTTTAAACGGCCAGTGTAAGGCGTAAAACCTCTCACAAGATATGGAGGTCGCAGATACTAATGAAGCTACTGTCGGGACGTTATCAGCAATTGCACCTATATATGCCAGATAAATGTCCATCGACGCCCTCCATAGGTGGTAATTGACCTCACCAATTTGGTAAATATAGAAAGGAAGAGACAAAGCCCCTAACATCAGATCTGCAACCGCCATATTGATAATAAGAAACAGACTTTTCTTACGAAGTTTCTTGTTGCCAACAAAGAGAACGATGGTGAGAATGTTTTCAATGATAATCATGGCGGATGCCAGCACAAAAACACAGCACCAAACGATACTTTCAGCTTTAGAAGGAATATTACCTGATAACCCAGATCTGTTGTCTCTGCTGATGTTTACTGCTGTTGTTTTATTCATCGCTGACTTTTGTCAGAATGTATGTAACCGTTTTAGTTTCAAAGAGAGGTAGAGGATAGCTCTGCGTTGATAAGGATGGGTCGCGGTCGAAGTCAAACTGCGGATATTTCGGTTAGCCTTTTATTTCCTTAAAGTGCATTTAAGCTTCAGCTTTAGCGGAATCGATATTCCCCTGGATTGTTCTGAAATTCTAGAACGGATGTTAAACATGTCAATTGCAATTGTTTTTACATAAATTTTTGAGCTTCAGCTTCAGCGGAACCAATACCCCCTTGGATTGTTCGGAAATTCTAGAACGGATGTCAAACATGTCAAGTCAACATTGTTTAATACTCAGTGCCCGAAGGATTTCAGAAATTTATCTGTGTAGCCTTTAAGGTGTCAGAAAAGTCCTCCTCTGAGGATTTTTTTTTAGCCAGTACATGCCTGAAAGACTAGTTAAAATCATTTAACTTTGAATTTTAGAAAAAATTACTAATCTAAACAAATTTTGATGGCAGGTTTTCATATCTGATTATTATTGGATGACCTAAGTTGTTTGCTTTCTGCTGCATTTTAATATTCTTACACTTCCTCGGTCAAATAATTTTGTGAATTCTGGTGAGTCTACAACTTCCGCGTTCGTTATGAGCTGAAAAAACAATTTCATTTTAACTCACTGCGTTCGCACACATGAAAATTATTTTCTAAACCGTTACAGGAACTTGCACAACACGACAACCACAGTCAAATGGGTTGGTAACTCACGGAGAGCCAATATAAGCTTTATTACTGTATTCGAGCACTATGTGTATAAACGGTCACATTGCTTTTTGTCCCACAGAAATACGATACGCGAAGCTATATCCTCATTAAGCTATTACATTGCACAATACATATGATACGGTTAAATTATAGTGAAAGCACTGATTATAATCATACAAACTAAGCTGTAACTAAAAGATAGCAAAAACGTTCGCGTGTCCCATCACGCGTGGAAACTTAATGATAGCAATTAAATACCTAGGCTAGATGAAACTGAAAGCCGTGCAAATATATCTTCTTGAATATACAAGTCTTTGGCGTAATCGGATTTCCACCGCCCGTGTAATTTTAATAACCTGTCTGATACAGGGCCGCTAGGTGAATTTACGGCAGCGGTTGCCCCACCGGACCTAAGACTGTGTAACCCAAAAAGTTTGGAGTCGTAACCTAGAGCCTTGAGAGCTTCCAAAAAGATTTCTCGACACCTAGAATACGAAATTCCTTTGTTCCCTAAAACATAAGTATTATAATTTTTCTGAAATACTAACTGCCTGATTAGGAGACCGTCTGCATAATGGTCCATTCTTGCAGTAGACATATACCTAAGGGCCATATGAACTGGACAAGTGGCATTGTCCGTTCTAGCAATAATAGCTTTATTACCTTCCCTGTAGACATCTGTTTTACTACTTGGTATAACAATGGACATATGGTCATCTGCGAAAGTTATATGCGAAGCTTTGATATTTGCTAACTCATTGAATCTGAAGAAACCTGCAAAACCTAAGAGGACTATGACTGAAATTCGCAGATCTTTAAGATTAGCGTCTACCTTGCCATGTTTAGCAACTATTCTCTTGACCATATCAATAGAGAGAGGGAGCTTCCTATTCTTCCGTTGTGTGCCATTACGTTTCGCAGCTTCAACAACATTTCTACACACTCCGGTTTTCAAAGGATTATTACTACAAGTTACGTCTACTACATCGTGTAGCCAAACTAATGCAGCATAAGCCATACTAACAGTGCTGGGAGAACCAGTCTTCCTGTGAAGTTGAGACAAATAGGCCGCTACAACAACAGGCTCTTGTGGCAAAACGAATTGAGCCTTAACATCATTGCACCAACGCATAAATTTTTGACACTCAAGTAAATATCTATTCATCGTCGAAGGTTGTCTGGCCTTAAACTGATCCGTAATGAGGCGCAGCTTGAAGGGAGCTAAAGATCCATAGAGACTTGCCCAACAGGACTGAGCAGAGATGGCCTGTTGAGGAAAACAAAAGGAAAAAACACATAACAGAGGGGTGTAGAGGTGGAACAATCTTACTCACTGATTCATGGCTAAAAGGGAATAAGTACTACAACCCGGGTGCTATTAGTTCTCAACACCACTACATTCATTAAATGAAGATCAAAAAAGGGCAATAAATAACACAGCACTATTGGAGTGCTATTCGTTGTCGACACAACTTCTGCACATTGAAACTGGCCGAAAAGAAATAAATACCTCAACACTGGTAAGGTGCTATTCGTTGTCAGCACATCTACCTCATATAAAATGATCAAAGTGAAATAAATAACGCAACACTGCCAAGGCGCTATTCGTAGTCAGCACAAATTCCACTCGCTAGATTGTGGCCGAAAGGCCAACCTTTCAGATTCTTACCCCGAAGGAACGAAATTCAATCTTAAAGCCACTACATATCCCGGAGTAGTTGGCGAACCCAGAATAGAATTGTGATTTCGCCCGTGCGTCAAAGCTTGAGGCATAGACAAATCTCTTAAATCCTGGATGAAACTGCAATAAATATTGGTTAACAGGGGCCAAAACACGGCTGACTTCCACAGTGGAACAATTAGGGTGCCCTTGGCTCCTTGACTATATATATAGGCAAGCGCTCTGGGAATAAGATAAACTGGCGGAACTAACCAGCAGTTCTCAACTTCCCACGACTGCATAAATGCGTCAATGCCCGACGTTTCCGGGTTCCAAAATCTAGAAAAATATCTGGTGATTTTTCTGTTGTAATACGTGGCAAAACAATCCACCGTGTGGGGACCCCAAAGACTATCCAAGTCTTTGAAGACGTCCTCAGTGACCTGCCAATCGTCAAAATCCACCAGTTTGCTAATAAAATCTGCCCTGGTATTGCGATCTCTAGGAACCCATTCAATATTTAAATGAATGCTGTGTTCGTAACATATCTTGAATATTCTTAAGGCAATCGTGTGTAACTCGAGTTTCATGCTACGGACCTCAACGATTTTGGCAGTGGCCTGGTTATCGGTATACCACTTAATATGTGATGAACTTAAAATCGGAAGGCAAGACAGAAGTGAGAATTCAATTGCACTTAATTCTCGCCACGTAGAACTTCTACTCCTTTCGTCCTGCGTCCACATTTTGTGGCAAACATGCTCGCCGTCATTGATATAAGAAACAGCTCCGCAGGCAATATTACTAGCATCTGAAAAAGTTACTTTCTGAGGTTTGCGGAAAACAAAGCAATTTTTAAAATTGCGTAGATGGATATTGTTCTTCCAGAAAACGATTTCATCCTTACAATACTCGTCTAAAATCAATGCTCAGCAATAGCAATTGTCATCTGACAGTGTCTGGTAGTAATTCTGGGTAAATTTCCAGAAACCGGACATGTAGACATAACTTTCCCGACAAATGATGACAATTGTCTAGCCGCAATTGTGCATTTTTGAGCTTCAATAAAAGCCACACAATCAACGATACCTTGGACCCTCCTGGGTGTAATACTAATAGTACCAAGAGTGGAGTTCCAGACCAATCCTAACCAAGTAATAATTTGCGTTGGTTCCTAAATTGACTTTTCGCTATTTGTTATAAATCCGGCTAAACGTATGTCGGAACGAACCCTACTAGCTATAATATTTGCCGAATTATAGTCGTCAGCTATGGACCAACCATCATCTAAAAATACCGCGATGTAAATACCGTTAGCCCTCCACCATCCAACCAAAGGGCGGAGTATCTTTGTAAAGATATAAGGAGCTACAGAAAGGCCAAAAGGAAGAACTGTGAAAACGTAAAACCGCGTCTCCCCTTGAAAATCCCATGAAAAACCTAAGAATTTTTGATGTGGTTGGAAGATCTCGACGTGATGATAGCCACTCTTAAGATCAAAAGAAAACATATAACCATTCTTGCGAAACATAAGAGAAGCAATTTTCCAATCATCGTACTTAATCCTCAGTTTCTTAATGAAATGATTAACATATCTTAAATTAAGAATTAACCTTTTCTTTCCATTAGGCTGAACGGAAACCGACAATGGATTGACGACATGGGGTTTGTAAGACAATTGCTTTATGCGTTCGGACTCCAGTAGCTCAGTGATAGAATTCTCTACGAAATCAATATTTTTCAGGGCAGAAGCGTTGTTCTTTGAATAATATGCAGGCGGCACATCCCAGAAAGGCAAACGATAACCAAATTTAATTACGTTTAATATGAAGGATGAAGCACCTAAAAATACCCAAAATTCTAAATTTTTCTTTAAATTGCCCTTTACATTGTAATTCCGTCCTAGATCTTCGTCAATTTCAAAATGATTCAGTACCTGAAGTACATCCGTAAACTTGTCGAATTCCTCATGAATGTCCGATTCCCTTAAGTCCGGTTCCTGAAGCGTTTGTGGTGGTGGAGGCTGGGGCAAAGGCGGTTGGCTTGTACTGGCCGAAAGGGCGGGGATAGAAGCTGGAGGCCCTGCAATCTTTGGCCCAGTGACCTGGCCTTCCGCACCTGAAGCAGTCCCCATGTGCATAAGAGCTTGGACGGCCTGCGGGTGTCAAGATGGGACGAAAATATGAATAGTTAAGTAACGACAAATAACAACCAAAGAGCAAAACTTGGTCATTAACACAAAAGAAAAGGAGGGGCGGGTGGGCGGGAAAGCAGAATACAGCAAAGCTATATTGGTGACGCGAGAAGTGAAATAAGCATACGGCTACTGGACTATATAGCAGTACATGCTATGACACCTTACTCCCATGTGGTACAGAAATCATGCATACTTGACACGTATTACGTAACAGTAATGCACACGAAGGTGAGATAGAAAAACAAAGTGTGAGCACTGACGTTCCGTAATAAACTCCTATAGAAAATACATTTTCATTTTAACTCACTGCGTTCGCACACATGAAAATTATTTTCTAAACCGTTATAGGAACTTGCACAACACGACAACCACAGTCAAATGGGTTGGTAACTCACGGAGAGCCAATATATATAACACGAGAAAATAACAAAGCACCTGAGTGAATAACAGGAAGAATATAAAGTAAAAACAATAGCGATACAAATACCACGAAAAAGATGATGATCCTGCGTGCCCAGGTTGGGAGTTGTACAACGCTTCTTATTGCTCTGCTGCTGTCGTTCTCTTTCTTTCTGTTTCCTTTTCCTATTAGCTGCGGCTCTAGCATTGCGAATTTTCTTGTCGTCCTCATCGTCCGAGGCGATATCTTGGGATTCGTATTCTTGAACTGCGTCCCAGCCGGCTTCACTCGAGTCTGCGAGTTTGATAAGCTTCTGTCTCTTGTGCAACAGAGCTTTGGCGTGATCCGTTAAGTGAGCCACCTTCTTGTGATCCTTCTGGGCGTTTGCTTCTTTGATTTTTCCTACTAATTTTTCAAGCTCGGCGTTGAATACGAACTGCTTTTGGTTACTTTTGAATTTGAACTTCTCTGCCTGCAAATCGATTTTTTGTTTTTCTTCGAGCTCTTTGCCCTTCTGTTCCAAACGATTTTCAAGATATGTCTTGAAGAGAGAGAACACTTCATCAATCCCTTGCGATGTGGGAGGATCTGTTGGCGGATTGTTGGGAATATCTGGTTCTTCGTGAAGATCGTCCGGTCCGCTTCCAGGCATAGCTTACAAAAAACGAACTGGACGAAAGCAGAATACAGCAAAGCTATATTGGTGACGCGAGAAGTGAAATAAGCATGCGGCTACTGGACTATATAGCAGTACATGCTATGACACCTTACTCCCATGTGGTACAGAAATCATGCATACTTGACAGGTATTACGTAACAGTAATGCACAAGAAGGTGAGATAGAAAAACAAAGTGTGAGCACTGACGTTCCGTAATAAACTCCTATAGAAAATACATATTCTTACACTTCCTCGGTCAAATACTTTTTTGAATTCTGGTGAGTCTACAACTTCCGCGTTCGTTATGAGCTGAAAAAACAATTTTCACAGCCAGGAAAAAGGTCAGAGCTAAAAGTATAAAATATAGATATAACAGATGTACCAAAAGACTCCAGTAGATTATCTCCAGTTTATAACTTTTTAAGCTTCAACTTTAGCGGAACCAATACCCCCATGGATTAGACGTTCTCCTTCCAATAGGCACCCCTCTTTTCGGCCGAAATTTTAAATAGGATTCTGAACTTGAATTTTTAGTTTTTTTACTTCGGTGGGTTAAGGGGATAGTTCATCTTTCACTATATATCGATATCCTTAGCATATTTCACATATATTTTGCACTTATTTGGTAAATTTCACTTCATTTGTTAATCATTTTTCTAATTCATTGCCTTGTATGCGTTTCATATTCGGGCTTTTGGCTCAGGTCGCAGAGAAAAGCGCCATCCAAGGTTGATGACTTACGGTATACGTTGATTCTCATGTTGTATTTTGGCTATTTATTATTCAGACATGTCTTACAGACGTTGTCAACCGATGTGTTCGTTGATTACTTAGGCAATTGAAAATATCTCACTGATTTTCACTACGAAGTATAAAAGCCCTAATCAAGAAACATAACAAGGATTGAAAAAGCCATGTGAGATTTATATTTTATAAGTCATAGGAGCGTGCTTTAGTTTAGTTTTGATTCCTTCTCCATTCGCGAATCTTTATGATTCACATGATAAGAGATGATAATCTCTGTAAGAGTTGACGCTGACCCGAAATAACTGCGGGCCTTAGTCAGCATAGGCAGCTGTTAGTAGCCAAAGTTCTTAGAAGCGCCAGTATACCAACGAGCTCGATCAGCAATCGAAAAAGCTGGCTCTTTAAAATGAGTATGCTACTCCACTATTTTTTCCGTGAATTAAATTCACCTTACGAAAAAAAAGGCACAAAATAAAATGAGGTTTGTTAATAATGATCAGATTCTCTAGATAAGCCTTTCTCTGATCTCTTAAGAACTCATGCACATGGTTAGATTACAAAGGACTGAGGCAATTTTAAAATGACTTATTTAAAGAGAATATATAGTTTATATTCTCTTGCACATTTTAACTCTGTTTTTAATTTTTGGTTGATCACACTTTGGTTTCCATAATTTCCTCATTCTTCAGTGGTTGCAGGTCACGTCCAGACTCAGTTTGTAATGTTATAAGTGATATCGGCGCCCTTGAGGACGCTTCATCCCCCTGGCCAGTTGCAGAATTTTCGCTGTTCACCACAACTCGCTTGACCAAACAGCACCGAGATAAAGCTTGTCGAAACTGTGGTATTCTCAGTGTATACACAGCTGGATTTACAAATGCGTTGGCATAATTAACAAAGTCGATTATAACAAGACATCTCCACGATATCATAAAGTTGAAATCTAATAATAAAATTAAACTGGTAACAATAATATAAGGAAGCCAATATAGTAATGCAAGGACAGAAACAAACAATAGAATCTTTGTCAGGCGTTCATTTTGTAAGTCCCTGTTTTGATGTTGCGAGCCTGCGACAATTCCTTGAAGTTGAAACTTTCTCCAGATAGCGATGTTACAACCGCATATGATAATCGCTGAGGTCGAACCGAGTGACAACAAAATATAGGGAAAAAGTTTTCGCAGGCTGGACATTTGAAATATGCAAGTATTAAGGAGAGCTAAAGTCCAGACTATGAAAATCACAATATAGTATGTTTGAGTCGTTAATGTTCGGTGTTTAAACGGCCAATATATAGCGTAAAACCTCTCACAAGAAATGAAGGTTGCAGATATTAGTGACGCTTTCGTTGCAAGGATATCAGCGATTAAAAAGGGAACATTCAGGTCCAGAGTTTCAGTCCAAAGCTGATAATCGGATACACCAACCAAGTAAATGTAAAGGGGTAGAGATATAGCTCCCAACATCAGATCAGAAACCGCCATGTTGATGACAAGAATCAAACTTTTCTTACGAAGTCTTTTGTTTACTGTAAAGAGGATAATAGTCAATAGATTTCCAATTACAATCAAGGCGGATGCTAATGTAAAAATACTGCACCAAACGATGCCTTCAGCCTCAGAGGGAAAAGCCATCGATGACCCACACTTCTTGATGTTATTTGCCGATATGTAATTTCTTGCTGACTTTGAACAAAACGATGAAAACGATTCACTTCGTTATCTGAAGTGAGCTTGTAAGCTTTGGGTTCACTCAAGACAGAGGGAGGCTTGCACTGTGGAAAATAAAACAAAATCTTCGTAACTGAAGCACGGTGAAGTTATTCCCTTTGTTGCAACAAAAGCTCCAGTCTATAGACCTTCGCGTATTAAATGGCTGCGACTCCTCACAACGCTCGCAATTTAATGATTTTCCCTGTGATAGTATTTTGATTATTTCCTCTCTTTCTCTCTCATTCCGTTTGTTGGCTGGATCCACGACGGCAGATTTCCATTCATGCATTCTAAGGTGGATTCCAACTGAAGAGGAGTCATATCGGTTGACTTCGTTCAGCTACATGGTTACACGATAAAATTATGGAAGAAAATGAATTTCTCGTCTCAGGAAGATATAAATTATTTTAAAATATAATTTCTCAATCTTGAAGTTTATTGTATACTCAGATGTTTTACAGGGTCATTCCGAGTCTTCAGCCACTTGGGAGTTATGGATAAATCCCTCCTTCCCGCTCTCCATCTCGGTGTAACAAAACGTGCGTTTCGTGACTCTTAAATATTTTTTAACGAAACAGATCATATTAAGTTTCATCGACGGGCTTAGCACAAAGAAGTCATACACTGAACGACGATTTTTTCAGTCTATTAATAAATGAAATTAATTACGCAAATATTTCAACTGATAGAAAGCAACGTTTTGATACAACTTTGCCATAAATTCAAAGTGAGAGAATAAAACCCGTTACCTTTGTGGACCAAAAAAGTTCCAAACAGTTCCACTGCAAAATAAATGGCACTGAATTGTGAGTCCAATAGATCCATGTGAATAAATAGTGTAATGGCCCAGGTGTTTTAAAAAAACTGAGTTGAGTAAACATACACTGCGTGGGCCAAATGAAGTGCGATTATACGCTGAGTTTTCATGGATGTACATCAGCTCACAGATAAAATTTTCGTAGATCGAAACTCAGCTATCGCACTACTGCGCTGCAGTGTCTGTTTCACTACACAAAGTTGCTGTTGTTAAAACTGACCTCGAAATTAATTAGCTATTGATTCACAAAGAACTATTAGAAGCACCGTCATTGTTTTTGTTTGTTCAAATGGAACAAAATGACGCTTTTTTCGCATTAGTTAACCTTTCAATTGTATTAGTTTTTATTTTGAGCTAAAAACGCACGTAATGATGATGTCGAAACGTCAGGTGTTTTCGCCTATTCTTTTCAATTCCTGAATTAATCTCTGAATATACATTGATTAATATAGAGAAAAAATGGTAAAATTTCCGCACAGCTCCATCATACATTCAGTTCTTGGCTAGAGAAAACAATGACAAAAGCAATACATTTCCATTGGAAAAACAGATTTGTGCTAGTGCGGAAATTTTACCGAAAAAATAATCAAGCGATATAAACTAACGCTCCACCCTTTGCTTAATTTTGTCCCATGCCCTCGCGCGTCCATAGCTTCAACGGCTAACATGATCAGTCTATATGATCCATACATGATAGGACTAACTTTGTTTCATTTTACTGCTGATTGTAAAGAACAGCGGGCTCTAGTTAAGATTGGTCCCAGATCGGGAGACAGTTCGGAATGAAATCATCCGTACTCTGAAAGTTCGATCGTTCATTTTAACAGCTGGCTTTCATGAATATAATGCGAATCAACTACACTAACGTTGGAATAATTTTTTCGCTCGTGGTTGTGCTTTATATCTTTTACAAACTATCGCACTACTCTTCAGAAAGAAACCTGCCTGCAAGTGTCACCCCACGGACCAGCAACAAGCTTCCTACAGGTGGGCTAAGTTCTCAGCTTAATCTGAACAGTTCATGATAATTTTTGTTACTTCCACTGAGGTATATTGCACGGGCCAAAAATTTCTTTCGTCTCCCGAGAGTGGTTACATTAACATTTTTCTCACCATAATTGAAGCTCAGTTGTAAATGGCGCTGTTCCGTCGTCAACTTCACTGAAGTGCGTTGCGGAATCGAAGAAAACTTTTCAGTTTTTTAAGAAAATTAATTTTTTTAGACACCAAACCTTCACCCAATGTAAGTTATTATGTTCACTTGTGATTAATGCTGTGCAAATTTGCATCAGAAGCACTTCCACACCCAGGAGTTTCACAGCCATAAGTACCCCACCCAGCTGTGAACAGAACATTGCTACATGCACAGGTTCCCAAAAAGCTTAAGGATTACAATTCCAGTAAGAATCTAGCTTTACTTCCCAGTACATCAGTGGAAGTAAAATAATATTAAAAACGAATCATATTTGAACATTTTGATTTGTTTTTGATTTAATTATTATTTTAGTTTGAAGCCCAATGGTTCTAGCATATGAAAGGCATTATTATACAATTATTATGGTAGATGTTCTATCAGACTGCATTTTCAATTTCTCCTTAGAATCTTCAATAGATTTAAAATCACTAGCCAGTGTTGCAAAAGCTGGGTTGTTTGATGTCAGTCTGAGGCAAGCTCAAGAAACTATAGAGGCTCTTAAAAAGCAGCTTGCAGAAGCAGAAGTATCAAGAGACACAGTCCAGAAAAAAGACATGGAACCTGTCAAAAGAAAGTTAGTTCTCATCCCTTTCTTCAGACTGTATCAAATATGTTCAGTGAGAGAAATTTAAACTGAGTTCTTTTTGCAAATTATGATATAAATATAGGCAGCCTGTGAAAACAATATTTCCAGTGGCATATTTGCTCATGCATTGAATTTAGACTAGTTGTTTGTTAGTGGCAGGAAATTTTTGTTATTTAATAAGTTCTCTTGACTAAATTTTGACCTTCATTGTTTAAGTGTATTGCTGAACCTCTTTCACTCCCATGATATCATTAGCAATTCTCCCTACTGTCTGCCATACAATTGTTATGTTTACTTATTAAATTACTGTAATGGAGAATTTGGTATTGGGTCAATTAATAATCCCCTAATCCTCTAATTGACATATTTTTTTATATTCTTATTACTTATTTGCATGATATTGTATTGATATTGTAAGAAGAAGTTACGTCTAGTTCACTCATGACAATTAAAGGGTCAATTATCAATTATGCAGTTTGATGACCATAAAAGTGATATTTGTTATCAATTTTGAATCTTCAGATTTAGTGGTCACAAACTTGTTCATTTGGATTTGAAAGGAGCACCAACAAAAATGACTTTTCTGATACAGGTATCATATACTGATTGAAGCAACTTCATGCACCTTACATATAAAAAGAGAAATCTATATGTAATAATTACAGATGAGAAATTTATGTGTTATTATCCAGTAATATGCTTGAAAACATGTTTGGAAACAGGTTTGCCAATTATGGCCTATTCAGTTCTATCCATTTGGTACCTGCCCCTCTCTCCCTGTATGGAATCAGGATACTATACTTGCAGAATGTAAATTTACATTTACCAGGTTCACAAAAAATGTTTTACAACGGTTAAATCAACACTGCTGACCTGCTGAATTATACCTACAAAATTAATTAGTTAATTCTAATTATAAAATAACTGATATTTTTTTACAAGATTTAATAATTACTTGCCAGTAACAATATATCATAAAATGTGATATCTGTCATTAATTTTGATAATTATAAATTGAATATTATCAATTTGTAAACCTGTGTAGGTGCTGCCATATTTTAAGAAGTGGGGAGCAACTGGTTTGCTGGTTGAGTATGAAGATATGTTTCCCTACAAGGCAAAATATGAAGTCTTACAGGCTAAAAACTCATACAGGTAAATGCTGTTTATAACTGTAAGAAAAAGATGTGTAGTAAATTCCTATTTAGAATACCTTATCATTTAGACATGTGCATTTGAAGATTCCTTGCTGTTGATATCAAACCTGAAGAAAGTTTATGGGTACTATGGTTTTGCACATTGTGATTAATCATCAGTTCTCTCCTCTAGCTGCTTACTCATTTTCTTGGAAATTGTTTGCGAAAAATTTGGTGTTAGACCAAGATATCAACTTCTTCCTGATATGGGACTGTGTTCTCACAACCTGTTTGCTGGATATTGTATGGATGTTATAGTGAGAATTTGCATGTTAATCACCTCTGGGAGTTAAAGGATTAAAAGAAATTATAATTTGATTTTGTATTTGCAGTGAAGCTGAAATTAAACAGTTGCTGGAGACAGCAGCAGCAAATGATCTTATTGTAATTCCACTGGTACAGACATTTGGTCATCTGGAGGTAAAGTCGATATAAATATTCAAATAAATACTTTTTCCTAGCAATTTCAGTTAATTCTTTTAGCAGCCAGTGAAGCTCTGATGATTGCAATAAGTATCTCAATACTTTAGGGTGGATGAGTAGTCCCCAGCAACTTGGTAATTTTAAGTTTACAATTATGATAATTTTAATATATATACATTACAGCCTCTACTTGGTTTAAAAATTTGTTTTGATATTTGTGTGCAGACATTATCTGTTCCAGGAAGCAAACAATTTTTTAAAAGCAAAAAAACCAGGACCAATTTTCTGAATCTTTTTAAATTTAATCTACGCACTTGTACATCATGCAGTAGTTACTTTTTTTCAATAGTTAATTTTTTCATTTTAATAAAAAAATTAACTATTTTTATTCTTGCTTTTTTTTAAGTAAACCATGCATGTGTAATTTATATGTACATAATCTGTTGTAAAATTTACCTTCCTTTCCATTCAGTTTGTCTTGAAGCACAAGGAGTTTGCCTATCTTCGTGAAACAGAACACTACACTAATTCATTATGCCCAAACAACAAAGGTTAGTAATACAAATTGGGAAAATAAAACCAAATGGTATGTTCGTGTGAATTGCCACCAACTTGAAGAATTAACAAATAAGTACATAATATTGGTTAACACTTTGATCGATCTGATTTTGACTATCAATACCTCAAAGGTCTCAAAGTCTGATGTGATTGAGTATTGCATAGCTGATCACAAATTCATCTACGTTATCTACAAGCTGAAGATCAGGAATCCAAAGCCTTTTATTAAATATGTCCACAACTTCAAGAACGTGTTGGAAAACCCGAAAGACTTCAAACATGACCTGGAAAGTGCTCCCTGGTGGGTCTGTTCCACCTTTGAGGACTTGGATGACATCACTTGGGCTTGGAATTGCATGTATAATGTTATTGCAAGCAGTCACATTCCCTTACGTAAAGCCAAGGTTAGAAAAAATTCACTACCTTGGATGAACAGTGAGATCCGGAAAGAGATGAATAAGAGATATAAACTTCTGAAAGCCTGTGATGGCACACCCGCTACTAATAAACTCTGGGTTGATTACAAATCCTCTAGGAACAAAGTATCTAAGATGCTACGACGTGCTGAAGCTCAATATTGGAAAAAGAAATTTACAGAGACCAAGGACTCAAAATCTTTCTGGAAAACTGTGAACGAGGCCACTGGAAAACCTAAGAATAAACATATTGGCCCCCTCAGAGATGCTGAAAATAAGGAAATCACAAATGACTACGAGAAAGCTGAACTGATTAACTCTTACTTCATAAATATTGGCAAGGAACTAGCTGAAAAATTCCCCGAAGCTGATGAACCCCATCAATTCATGTACAGAGTTACCCCCACTGTGCAGGTCTTGGAGGTCAACATCAACAAACTCAAAACTGATATCAAGACAATTAAAATTAACAAAGCATCTGGTCCTGATGGCATCTCTTCTCGTAGCTTAGCTATTGCAGGAACATCCGCCCTAGAGGGCATTGTAACTGTTTTCAAGAGCAGCATGGCTCAGTCCAGCTTCCCTAACACATGGAAGATTGCAAAAGTTAATGCAATCTTTAAAAAAGGAAACCCAGCAGATGTTTCAAATTATAGGCCAATATCACTTTTAAGTATCCCCAGCAAGCTGCTCGAAAGCCAGATCTGCAACATAATTGATACCCATCTGAACAGCTGTGGCATAAAAAGCTGTAAACAGTGGGGGTTTAGCAAGGGACTATCGACTGAAGGAATGCTTACCTCTATGACTGAAGGATGGAAGACAGCAATTGACAATGGTCTGACAGTTGGAGCAGTCTTTATTGACTTCCAGAAAGCTTTTGACACTGTCCCCCATTATATTTTATCGCATAAACTACACGCCATTGGAATATCAGGATCTCTTCATGAATGGCTAATGAGCTATCTTACTGATAGATGTCAATTTGCTGAAGTTAATAATTGCAGGTCGGTCACTGACTATGTGCGATATGGAGTCCCTCAAGGCTCGCTTCTTGGCCCCCGGCTCTACACCATATATGTTAATGATCTCCCTGACCACATCGACTCGGGAGATCTATACATGTATGCAGATGACACTACAGTTTACTGTATTGGACCAAATGTTGACCAGGTTATGTTGTCACTAAATAAATCATTGGAGCAAGTTCTCCTGTGGAGCATTAAGAATCAGCTAACCATCCACCCAATTAAAACTGAAGCAATGATACTAAGTAAAACCTCTTTTGTTGGGCCTATACCTCCCCTCCACTTTAACACTGGCCATATCGACCTGGTTAATTACACCACTTGTCTTGGAGTTAAAATTGACAATAAACTGACATGGTCTGTGCACATTGACTCAGTGAAGAAATCTTTTACGCAGAAGGTTGGAGCGCTGAAGAGAATGAGAATCCTTCCGAAGAAGGTTCTCGAGGAAATATACTTTAAAACAATTATCCCCAGTGTAACGTATGGAATTTCGGTATGGGGAAATTGTTCTCCTTCCGCACTGAACTCTCTAAACCATATTCATGCAAGAGCAGCTCGTATTGTGAATAACCTCGACTCAACGATGGCAGATGACACATGTCTCATGAAATCCGACTGGCTGCCCATCTCTTACTTCTATAAAAAATCTGTACTGTTTCTCTTGCACAAAGTATATTTTGGAACAACGACCCAGTCGATATGTGAACTGTTTTCTAAAAGAGTTTCTTCTAGATCTTCTCGTGTTCCTAACCAATTTAATGTCATTAGATTTAGATCAGAGACCGGCAGGAACTCCCTACGATACAGAGGTCCTGTTATTTGGAATTTTGTAAATAGATTAGTTAAAGTACCTGAAAGTTTTTATTCTTTTAAACAAATTTTACGTAAACATGTTAAGACTATTGACAATTTTTCATTTGAGAAAGAGGCAACAGTAGTTGCCAACAGAAAGGACCATTTCATTTACTTTTAGATTTATATGTTAGTCTTAGTGAACACCATTTTATTTGTATATAGTAGTTCTAAGTTATTATTGCAATTTTTATATATATGTAATTCTTAATATTTAGTATAGTAGGTCCACATCAGCCCTTTGGCTGCCTTTCACACAACCTACTTATCAAATAAAGAATGTATGTATGTATGTATGTAATTTTGTATAACATCTGTTCTAGACTCTGTTCCAATGGTTATAGAACTCATTGATCAAGTTCTAGCTCTCCATCCTGGTTTGCAGTGGTTTCATATTGGAGGAGATGAGGTGATTTGATATCTACTGTTGCTATATATTGAGTAACTTTTCAGGGCACAGAAGGTCATTACACATGGCTGTACTGTTAAAATTTTTATATTTAAAGTCGGCTTTCTGCTTGACGCAATGTTACAACTTCCCTTAAATCAAATCCAAATACAGAACAATAAGAACTTCCATTATTCACAAAGAGTGCCAGAGCAGGGCAAAATAGCAGACTGAAATTTTAATGCCAGGCTATTTGGCTCTGGAAATGGCATGCAGTGTTACAAACGACTTTGAATGTACTCAGTTCCGAGGGCTCTTCATGGAGACAGGCAAATTACATGTAGCAAGTTGAGGGCATTTGATAGTAGTCACCAACCTAATTTGAAAACCTAGCACAGGAAACTTTTCATAACAAGAATTAAAACTGCTGCATTTTCATATTGGTATTTTTTTTTTTTTTTTCAATCAGGTGTGGAATCTCAAGACATGCCCTGTCTGTCTTAAAGATGCACGGAATAAATCTGAATTGTTTGTGCATCACATGAAACCCATTCTCAAACACTTGCAAGGCAAGAAGGTAACACCAATCATGTGGGATGACATGATGAGGTACTGGCCTCTGGAATACTTGAAAGGTAAAGAACTATTGGATGGATTTACACTAATGGGAGGTTTGGAATAAACCTTACTGCCCAACTTTTCAGTTGTCCTTTTTGTTTTGACTGTGATAAATGATGACTTTTTATTTGCCACAGCGGTGAATAGTGCTCTCTGCATGCGGTGATTGCAAAGACTATTCCCCTCCAAGCAGACGAAGAGAGAAAATTGCACATTAAGGGTTAAATTTCTGTCCGTTGTTTATTGACAACAAGAAATAGATGTAAACTAAACATGGTTCTGTGTGGTATATTCTGAAACTGTTATTCACCTCAGTGTTGCTGAAAGTGGTGGTTATTTACCTCCACTTTGGTGAATAATTTTATGTTATTGTCTTTTGAATTAATATTTTCTTCTCATTTTGTTTGACAGAGCTTGGTCCTCTTGTTGAGCCAATGGTCTGGGCCTACAGATCTGATCTCACTGGCTATTTTCCTCCTGGTAAAACTTTAAGTAGAATTTGTTGTTGTTATTGTTAAATCAGAGCAGACCTGCCTTTTCAAAGGCCATGTTGTTACAACTGTTTTGTCCCAGCTGATGGGTCATATGTTCACTTTTATTGAAGCTCTACTCAGCTACCAAGGTGCATCCTCAATGCCAAGTCAAACCCTTGAGAATGGCTAAGTTTTGTGGAATCAAAAGAGCTTGTTCAAGTTACCAGCCTTAACATTGCACTTATAGACAATTTGGCCAGAATATTTTTTGGTTGTAGACAATCTGAGCATAAACATGCCTACTTCACAAAATTCATTTTCCTTGGCCAATCCATCATCATGACATTCTTTCAACCAATTGAAATCTATTTGAGTCATGTTGATCAAGTTTGGAGGGTGCGCTATGTGTAGAAGTAAATTATGTTTTGCTGGTACTGTGAGCTTTCTAAGTCTTTGCCTTTGATATTCTTAAGATATGTGGCAGAGATATGGTAAAGCCTTTAAGAAGATTTGGGCTGCAAGTGCCTTTAAAGGTAACATGAATTTGACTTATGCATTAACTTGAATCAGATAACTTTATCCTGTATGAAGACAACTTTTTATTATAAAAATGGACAAATTTTGGAGAATCATCAATTTCTTTTTGAAGACATTAGTATATCAGTCTTTAGAATTATATATGAAAATTTGTGACTTAATTCCACAGTTTTAGATTACAAAGAGTTCATAAAACATCAAAAATTTTCTTCAGATTTGCTCAAAATGCAACTACAGACCCTGCCAGGTTGAAAGAAGCTCAGTAACCTAGTCACTTGTGAATTAAGTTACAGAGTTCAATGCTTATGTATTTTATTACATTCTGTGAACATATTACCTCCTGTAAGCAAGCAAAGAGATATTGAGTTGTAGGTGTTATTTAATTGTTACTTCTGCTAAAAATTTTCTTCCTTAAGGAGCCACTCACCCATGGAGCAACTTTGTTCCAATTGGATTTCATGTTCAAAACAATTTATACTGGTTGGATATCATTTCCAAGTTACCATCCACTCTAGAAGTAAATGGTGTAGCCCTGACTGGCTGGAGCAGGTATGTAATGCAGTATGATTGTGCAATGTCATTATTCAATTATTGTTTTATCCCTTTAACTCCCAAGATCTGATTGTAAATTCTCCCCTCTAGCTGCTACACATTTCCTTGTAAATTGGTTAGAAGAATTTGATGTTTGATCAAAGGTAATAACTTGTATCTGATGAGTTTAAGTATTCTCACTATCTGTTTGCTGGATAATGGTGGATATTGTAGAGAGAGGTTACATGTTAATCACTTCTGGGAATTAAAGGGTTAAGTGTGTCAACAGGTGGTTAATGCCAACTCTGTTCTGTTAACCCTTGGCAATCTAATATCAGTAAGATAATTCTTCATACTGTTCTCTGTACATTTCCTAAGGTGCTGACAAGGAGAATTTGCTTAACAATCAAGAGATTCTTTAGTTGTTGATCATTTCCTTTATTCTTGAGAGCTTGATGTGTGATTCAAGGGTGATACTATAGGAGAAATTAGATGCTGTCACTTGTAGGGCTCAAAGGGTCAACAATATTGCATTATTGCAAGTTTGTATATTTTATTTTTAAATCTTACTGTATAATCATCCTGTTTTAGGGCCATCATAATAACATAGTTATATCCCTCTGCTAAGGAATTAGCAATTCTGAGTCAGTTACACCCACAGGCCCACAATCCTGTCAGCAGGTTTAAGAAATGCCAGCCTGGCAAAACTTATTACATGCCAAGAGACCAATTCCTGGTTAAGAATATCTTACAAACTTTCTTAAATTGAAGTCTTAAAAACTCTTGAGAGGCATAATCACTTGAGAACGGCTGTTAGAGCAGCTGGATTGGTATGCTATAAAAGTGATAATGTTTTTTTTTTTCACTCTCTTTTTGTAGATATGATCACTATGCCACTTTATGCGAGCTTCTTCCAGCAGCTCTTCCTTCATTGGCATTCTGCCTTGGAGCATTGAGTGAAGGTACATGTTGTAATCATTTCCTAAATTTACACATCTTAGAGCACTGGTGTGTCTAAAGTAATCCAAAATTGGATTAGTTTTAATAAACTTTGCTCAATGATTGAATAAGTAAATGGCACCACCTTATCTGATCAACTAATCAGGTTCAAAATTAAAACCTTTTTTCTCATTGGCTGTTTTTACCTTGCGTTCTCATTTGCTGTTTTTACTTTGGTTCTCATTGGTTGTTTTACCTTATCTTCTCATCGGCCTCTTGTGATATTTTTCTTTCTCCTGATTGCCGTTGATATTAGATTGGTTTTGGTTTTATGACGCTAAATTGAAAAACGCTCTAACAACCCTTGACCAAGTATCACTACCCTTGTCCTCAGCAGATAGTCTATGTTTTTACATTGAGTGTTCATTGCCTTGTGATATTTTTCTTGTGTTCTTCTTGGCCTCAATGATTGCTTTGGGTTCGGTTTTACAACATTCAGTGATTGCTCGAAGTCTCTATTCAGAGGATTGCTCAGGATTTTGTTTCGAGGATAAATTAGTGAAGTATTGACTTCCTTCAAACGAACCAGGCCTGAAACATATCGCCTCCGTCTTTTAACAATTCAGGTTATATGGATGAGGAACTCAGAAAAGTGTTAGCAAAAGGACTGGGGCTTCCTGAAACATTCCCTCTCAATGTGGAGAGATTTAATAACAGGTAAGATGAAATGTTTCATAAACGAGGACGAGTGTTTCATCAGGGTTTCCAAACACGAGAAAACTGATGAAAGCACGAGGCCGAAGGCCGAATGCTTTTATTGTTTTTGAGTGTTTGGAAATCCTGATGAAACACGAAGCTTGAGTTTATGAAATGGCTTCTCAAAAGGGCCTAATTTATTAACAATAAACACAAAAACAGAAAGACCACTAAAATAGTCAGTTTTTGTTTTCTTTTGTTTCATTATCCCATGTGCATAGTTGTTAGTCTGCGTCATGAAAGGTGTTGTGTTTTTTCACATCTTCGCCTCTAAAAGTGTTTTGCTTTTCCATGTTGCGGTGGTCTGCTCAGAAATAGATCACAGATGACGTCAAAATGTGGTATGGACATCACTGCCATATTTTTGTTCTTACCACTTTTAAACTTTATCTTAAATCTATTACTAAACAGATGCAAGGCAAAATGTAACCTATTTATTAAATAGTCAACGTTGTACGGGTGCCTTGCAGAGGATTTGGGCGAGGATACGGCAGACCACCTTAACTTCCGGTTCTGTCCATAGGTTTCATCCGGCGGAAGGAACGTTTCCAGGTCATGAACTATACACACTTGTTTCCCACCTGGAGAAGGCAGTGTTCTTTACAAGAGGTGTTGGGAACATGTAAGTTTAAAACTTTATGGAAGCGTTCTTGAGTTGGAGTTGAGCGTACCCATTCGGTCTTCAGGGCTCACAAAAATATAATGATAATAACGATTTGCTCGTCGCAGAAAAGTAGATTCCGCTGAAAAAAAGAGCTTCTTTCCGTGTTCCTGTGGGACACGCCATATGTCAATCAAATACAAACGAGAAAGCGGGATATCAGATAATTTGGTCAGTGTCTGAGAAACTGCGTACCTGCTCCTCCCTTAACCCAACATTAACCCTTACTTGTTATCAGGGGATTGTTGTTGTGTTACGAGAGGGGTAGGTGTGCAATTGCTCAGGTGCTGAAATTGATCCGATTGTTTCAGCTATGATAGGGCCAAAACGCGAGAAAATTATTTTGCCTCTCTCAACAGAGATGACAGCTCAAGAATAGTAGTTACAGTACTAGCGTGGTGTCAAAACAGCTCGACGGCGTTACTCATAGAGCATTTTGATATTGGGGCCGGAAACTGAGACCCCAGAAAACCAACTTAGCACTTCACAACATCTCAGCCACGTTGCAGCTGAGTCCCTGATTACAATCGCTTTCGTTTTCCTATTCTGTTCTTTTAAATAAGCCAACATAAAACAAACAAAACACACACAAACAAGGAAACAAACTAACAAAATGCTTGATGCATTGATCTTATCTTCATATATTGTAGAGAGCAAAGCTGGTTGCTAGACCGTGAAGTACAAAACAAGTTTCTAAGTTATTTTCAAGTGGAGATGGCGTATAACAGAACAATGAAGTAAGAAGCCTTTTATGCTGCTAAACTTTAGAATGGTATTTTCTTTCTTCAATTGATATAAACTATCATTGATTGGGTGATTATTTAATTTAGCAAGTTTTTTTTATCAGCTGTGGGCTGTCTCTACATTGGCTAGCGCTAGACACAGTGAGGCATTGGCTTACTGGTCAGCGTACTGGACACTCTTAGGAGAGGTCTGGGTTCGAGCCTTAAAGAGCCTTGTCATGTTTTGTTCTTCAGCGAGATCCTTTTCTCTCTCCTTGTCCCTCCTCTCCCAAGGGCCACTACTCCTTCTAAAACTGATATTATTAGAACTGGCTTTAAATTTCTATTTTGTATCTCCAGAGCGTTACAGATTCTAAGATCGGTGCAGTCCAAGGTACCAAAAGTTTTTAATCCAGTCTACGACGATAGTGTGGTGAAAGAATGGACCAAGGACAAAATAGATGATGGCATCAATCACTTGAACGGCGTTAAACCCAGATTAGAAGAGTTGAGGAAAATAGCTTCTGGGAAAGAAGAAAAACAAGAAAAATCCACAGTGAAAGAAAAAAGCTAAGAAGCAGCACTATATTTTACACAAGAGTTACAAAAAAGAAAGACTGGACCTAAGTGAGGGAGTATCATGTAGGAAGAGAGAGGGGCTTTTAGTTGGTGTCCAATCCCTCTTTCTGAACATATAGAGTGATAACTCACCAAAACAACCTACAATGGATAAGGGGGGGGGGTACTTTCTAAAGAAATTAGCGTTGTATCGGTGGGGGGGGGGGGGTATGAGGAGATAATTTGGTTTTTTCAACTTAGTTGATTATGTTAATTGGCCACCTTAAAGAGTTTCTGGAGCTGACGTTTCAATCTTTAGCCATTCGTCAGAGCGAAGAGAGGAATTTTGGATCGTGTGTGATATATATGCAGAACTGGAGCTACGCTTTTGGTGTTTTAAAGTTCACTTGAATCCTTCTCCTCCTCCTCCCCCCCTCACTCTTCCAACAAAGTTGAATTTTGTGCGCTTTGTACACTTAACTAAGACGTGGTGACTATAGGGGGAAGGGAGGTTCAGTTTCTGCGCCTGAATTGGCAAAAAGTGGTCTTTTGTAATATATTTGGATATAGGACGTGTTCTCAGTAATTTTCCCAAAGAGATTTGCCAGTTAGACGCTAAGGGAGGACCCTACCCAAGGTTCTGCCGCGAAAGTCAAGCTAAGGGTGAATATAGAAAAAGAAACTTACTGCTACTGTATTTAAAACAAACAAACAAAAGGCATTTTCTTCACGTTGTCTAGGAATAGTGCTTAGCAAGGTGACTTGGTAGTTTTGATGTCAGTAGATTATTCAGTCTTCTGTTCAACCCGGCTTAATTGATTCAGTCTATGAAAAGGGTTTGTTACGTGCTCATTTGAAGGTTTGTAACGTTTTAGAGAAAAACTTTCAGTCGCAGATATAGCCTTGAAAGGTTCAGTTTTAAATTTTATTTGCGAGTGTTGTAAATAATTAAAGGAAATAGATTTTTCTTAACGAGGCTGTTGTCATTTTTATTGTTGTGATAGGGTAGTCGGATGGTCCGGGTGGGTGTTGAAGTCTGGTTCGTATAAACTCATTGGTTTGTTTTGCTACGATGTTATTGGCTGTAAGACTCAAATAGCATAAGTCTGTCGTAATTGATCTGTTTCGATCCAGGTCGTTCGGACCACATCCACTTAGACGATCAGACTACACTATCACGTCAGGGGATAAACCGTTGCGTTTTTGTAGTTGTTTGTGGTTATTGTTGTTGGTTTTTATTGAATGCTATGCTTCGCAGCTTTAAAATGTCACGCTTCGAGAGAAAGTTGCGTTACATCACTAAAAACGGCTTTAAAGGAAACTTGTATACTACTGTACTACATCAATCGGTAGAACACAGCACAGGGACCCAACAGCTATGATTCAAGCTTTAAAGTGATCGAAGATCAGTCGGTCAAACGATACAGACATTACGCCACGAAGTGACTTATAACTTTGCATTTGTACAAGGAGAGAAATTTGAATTTGGTGTAAGGCAAATGGAAACTGAATATTTCGCGGGGTTAATAAGCTATTTTGATGAGATGATCTTTGCAATGTGAACTGCGTTGGAGTGGCCAGGAATCTAAGATCATTGGTTATGCTCTGTTGCAGCGTGAGTCAAGTCTAGTTTCTCGACTCGCAATTACGCTGAGCGGTTTTGACCCTTCTAAGCAATAACAACATGTATCTTCCTTACAATATCGATTCAATTACTAAGAAGTAGGTGACGAGAAAAGAGAAAATGATCAGCTAGAGGAGGTACCCTTGTCGTGATATCGCATCAAATTCTCTTAACTTGCCCGCGACAAAACGTACAGCAGTAAGAAGAGAGAATTGCTAAACAATAATTAGGATTTTTAAACGTCAATCAATCAAATAAGCATGGTCTTCCCATAAAGAATCCATCTCTGAGAGGGAGGTCGCATCACATCAGAAAATCTCTTCTTCTCCATCTCAACACTTTCTTTTTCGTCATCTGACTCAGATTCAGAAGTTTCTTGCGGTCGCCGTCTGTTGGGCCTCTTCTTCCAGTACTTGTATTTGTACTTTCCATTCTTGGGTCCCACGTATGGGCGTGGTGGGGGAGGGGTGACTTGTGGGGTCTCCAGCACATTGTAATTTAACACCCTACAAGTAAGTAAAGCAAAGGAGTAATCTTAGGTCATATATTTTAACTCATTATTTCGGTCCAAATAGAATATTCAAAACTTTAGTAGACTATTGAAGATACTACGCAGTACCTTTCTAGTTTTCTGAGGGCTAGGGAATTAAGAAAAGAGGACTGGTCCCACTTGCATATGAGTGTGAAAACGTACAGTAACATTACCTCATTGTAATTCAACCTGCATTAGAGGTGCGATTTTTGTAAAAATGTCGCAGTGGATGATTACTTCTTGCCAACTTACAAATTCGCTATAGACTTTAGTCTCTCTCGGTTTGGAAATATAAATATTTTCGAATTGTTGTGCACCCCTAATTACTGAGTATCTCAATTCATGGCAAAATTAAATCGCAGCGTCACGATCGTCTTGATTCAAAGACCTTTCCGTGGAATTCTATGAAGAGAAGCAACGCTGATAAAGTCTACAAAATATGGGGAAATATTTTCGAAGAAATTTTCAGATTGTCTCAATTTACATGTAAAGAAATTGCAAAAAGGAAAAAACATTTGATTTAATTTATTCACAACGTGAGACAATAAGAAGAGAGAGCCGAAAGAAAAAGGCAAACGAAATTTAACAAAACAACTTGTCATCTGAATTTTCGAATCAAGCAGTTATAACATGACAAATCTTGAAGGAGAGAAACAAATGCCTATGGGATTAACTGAAGAAGAGTTGAAACGAAAAACCATTGTAAAAGTTTAGACGAAAATGTCTTACCCGAGATTTCGGTATAGAAAATCGCGGTCGGGATTTTCTTCTCTTTCCCACGGATCTCCTTCGTTTTTGTGGCTTTGGAAGCGACTCAAACGATATGCCGAACTAACCACAATAAAAACTGACATGTAGAGAAATGTGGTGCGAAGATTCATGCCGACGAAGTGCTAAGGCTCGAGGAAACTCTCACTTAGAACTGATTGACATAATAGAACCAAAAGATTCCATTTACATGCTCTTTAAGGTAGCTTCATAGAAAATTCTTTCTTTGAAATTTCAAGTGGGCTCTTAAGTAACAATGCTAAGTGATATTCAGTGTCGCAGAAGGTTCTTTATGCTCGTATTGATGACTAAGCACCTCTTAATTACCATATAGTTGGCGTTTTTGGAAAGATCAGATTTTATCACAGGACAAGAATGCAGCACATAGTTCAACGTATACAGAAAAGGGCGGAAGGATTGACATGAATATTGGGCATGGTTTGCTGACACGGCGCTAATTCTTTCATATTCTGCCTCTATACAAAGGATTACATTTATCTCGCACTGCGTTCGAGGCGGAGAGATAACACCAATTAGTAACACTGATATTACAAATATTCGCCCTTTTTAGTGCACAGAAGGTAAAACATCATTCTCGAAAATGCAAACCATTTGAACACAGAATAAGGGAATTGGAATATCATATCACCCAACTGCTAGGGTCAAAAGCTGAGTTACTCTACAGAAAGCGGCATAGAACGTTACATAATGTGTGTGAATTTGGAAGTTTCTCATATTTTAGAGACCATCTCTTTAAGGTTAACGGTATTTATCGGAATATTGCTTCAGAAAATGTTGCATGGTAAATTCAAACTTGAGAATATTGTGTCTATCAGCGAATAGAAACAGAAACCGCGAAAGAAACCAAAGAGGATGGCGATAAATTTTAAGTCCGACTTCCTTTGTAAATTCTTAGCAACCCCATAAGTTTATTCTTGCATCAGTCTCAACTTTATAATTAGAAACTGCGCATGTCACTAGGTATTTCTCACTTCAGTTATTTATCGGAGCAATTTTTGACATCAAAGTGTTATGTAACAGACTCGCTATATTCGTGTATTTTCGTTTATTTTCCAAGGAATTAATTTGTAACTATGGTAATGAATTTGCGACAATCAGTGTTTTCTCGAATTGTTCCAGACAACCACTACATAAACATTTTTATAAAAACTAACATAAAACTCCTGCAGGGGAAATGCTCTCCTTGATTCAATATAAAACGCCCAATAGAAGAAACTTCACAGTTCAAACGATCGAAACCCCGATTTCATATAAAGTGAAGTTAAACGTAATTTATGTTATGACATGATAACTACAATTTGCTTAATATCCAAAAACTTTTAATTTCAAAGTGATATTCAGAACTCTAGTTAAGGAATTACGGTTGAAGGTCTGATGAGTCCAAGAAAAACACACGCGATATAATATTGCCAAAATTTCAAATTCAATTTTTCCGTATTCATCGCCGTAAATCGACATAAGCAGAGGCTTGATATAGCCTCAATCCAGCAGCTACACTCAAATCTAAGTTTGATTGCTTATAATGACTCAGTCATTATAAGCAATCAAACTTAGATTTGAGTCCGAGTCGGCTACCATGTTAGGAGTGAATGTATCTGACTTAATTAAAAGATAACATATTGCGCCATAAAAATACTTCCTCCAGTTACCAGATAAAGATGTTTTCAGTGTGTCTATTTTTACGGTAACATCGTACAGTTCCACACTTAACTTTGAGAGAAGGCTTTGATATTCGTTCTCCTTCAAGAGTTATTGATCAGAATCAACTGATATCAATGTCGCCATTAATTTCAAAACTCCTGTGTTCGAGGGACTGAAGAGAGTTTTTGTTCAGATAATGGTTCAGCTGATATTGCCACGGAATCGTGCCCCTAAAAATTCAGAGAAAAAAAAAAACAAGCAAAGTCTGCTCCAAAATGTGCTTTGATATAAAGTTCTCAATTACACAATTTAATCCAACATGGCCTGGTTACGGTCTTACTGTACTGTGCAAAAAGCGATGGCTAACGGCATTGGGCAAGAAAAGTGTTGAAGTTTTCATTCTTTGAACAGCTCCCCATTTCGACCAAACTTGCTGACACAAAAATATATTAAGCAAAAAGATAAAGAGAAGAACCACCAAAACGAAAACACAAAAACGAACAAAAACAAATACAAAGCAAAACCAAACATACACAAAGTGGAAATAAAAAAGCAGAGTTCCTTGTGTGGGGTGACTTTAATAGTACTCGATTTCTATACATATTGCAGCTGTACAGCTAGCACTACCTGGTTTATATAAATATTATAATTCTCTTTAGGAACTTGAGCGTTCAGTAGAGGGCAAACACTGCTCGTCAGGAGTCCCATGACCAGATGAGAATTCTGAATTCGAATACTTTGTCGATAAAAGCTCCTTGAGCAGTGGACACTTGAATGTTGAAAGAAATCCACAATTTCTATTTGCTATGTTTCACTGCGCACTGTGATTGGTTGAGAGGACTCACACCATTCCTTCGACCAATCGCGTCTCAGCCATTCGCGTTTTCTCGTTTACATACTTTTCCTTCTAACTTCTCATTGGCTGCTCTCGTTATTTACTAATACTATGATCTCATAATTTTGTTCTTAATTCTCAAACACTACACCAGATGAACTTCCTCCTCTTCATCTACTTGTAGATCGCAAACTCCAGCGAACTTATCAAGTATGTCGGGCTGTTTCGCCTTTGGAGAAAAGTTGTCTTCGTCGACTTTGATCAAACCCTGACGATCGGCTAATGCTCGTTCCAGGTTTCTATGCAGGTCACGCGGTCGCTTTTTGGCGAGTTTCTCTGCTTCCCTGAGCACAAACCCTGAGTCACTGATAGTCTTATGTTGATGTTTCCAGACCTGGTAGACGTGGACGAAAATAGCGGCGTAGAATTCAACAAAAACGTTCAGAACCTGACGGCGGCGGTTGCATGGCCTGTAAAAGAAAAACTGGAATCATTCAAAAGTGGCACAATAATGGCGTTGGTCTCTTACAAATGATAAAACGTAAAAAGGATGCCCTTCTGTTCCCCCGATATAATATGAATATTTTCAAGATAAAAGCATTTGAACTTACTCTGTCGAGTTGACGAACTAAAACCACCAGCTGATTTCCAAATTACATGTGTCCTAACCGAAACGCAATTTTTCAACACACAAACTCACACAAAACTAAAATCTCCCCGTGCATGTGGCCCATAACATTGCAGTCAGCCAAAACCTAGTAACGCATGTAACTCAACGTAGATAACGCAATTTACAGCATATAAAAACGCTTGACCGGAAGCGGGAGGCACATACTTATTCAGCTTCTCCTCTCTTAGAGTTTGAAGAGCAATCCTGGTAATGTTTATAGACATGATAGAAAATGGGAAGTTCTGTGTTTCATGTTGGGAGAGTTTGTAGATATCCAAAGCCAGAGCATGGGTCCGCTGGTCAGTTACTAAGTACAGTGTTGTCAACAGGCCCAGAAAACCACAACCTCTTAGATCTGTTGCAGGATCAAGACCTATAAAATATAATTGTGAAGTAAAAAGTTACTGTGATAATTCTATAGTCTGTAAAATAGTTCAAAAAACAGTACATCTAATTTACAAGGAGTGATTGAAGAATTTATCCCACATTTTTCTATAACCCTTCACACCCTAACATCAGTAAGCATATTCTCCTTGCAGTCTTCTATACATTTCCTAAGGCACTGACAAGGAGAATTTGTTTGACAATCAAGAGCTTCTCTAGACGGTGATCATTTCCTTTATTCTTAAGACCCTATTGTTTGAATCAGTGATATCATATTGTAAGAAGAAATTAGAGGCTTATCACCTTTAGTACAGAGAATTTGCAAACTGAGGTCAGGGTGTGGAGGGTTAATTCATTTACATGTAACCATAGAAATATAATCACACCTTGAAAACCAATCAGCTCCCAGTGGTTTCCATAGCGAGGACAGTCAAGCTTGGTGCCTGTTAATTTTTTATAAATAGTCTGTAACACTTGATTATGCATGGTTTCGTCATTTTTGAACATACACAAAGCAAGAGCAAAGATGAGATTCCGTTCCAAGTGAAGGCTGCTGTTCATTTGTGGTGGACCAAATAGTTTATGCGTCACAGCTGCCATTCCACGATGCTTGACAGTTGGTTTGATGTGTGACATATGCTGTTCAAGGTAACTAGCTGTTTGAAAGTGACGTATAGCATCCTGGAACGTGATAAGAGGTGAACGGCTACCAGCTTGACCACTTCCTTTTAAGAAATCAATTAAGAGCATTTTATTGAACAAAAACCTGGTGGGAAAAGATGCTCTGATCGGTAAACCTTCTAGATCTTTTAAATCAACAAAACAGACACTGAAGAGGAGACAAGTTCACATGTATTTTACACAATGAATAATTTTGAGACAAGGTTCAGACCTTTACAATGAACACTTTATAATTTCAATAAAAAACCTTATCAAAACATAAGCAGGCCCAAATTTTATGAACTGAGGAGACAAGCAGGGAGGATGGTATCATTCATATTAATGATCAAGGAGTAGATTTTGGAAACTTGGGTTGACACCTGTATGTACATGCACACCACAAGAACACATACCGGTAAGTGTCTCCTGTCTGAGTTTAAAACCCTTTAATGCCATAATTAAATGTATGGAAAACCCTGTTTTTCAGCAGAAACATTGATCTGACAGCAGATCAATGTGAGACTTGTGGACAGACACTCAAGGCTGAATATAACAATACAGTTTAGATGACATTACATGAAACTGCATTATGAACCAACTTCAGTTTAACCATAAAAATATTTAATCTCAGTTCTATGAACAATTAAAAGAAGACCAGGAGCTATAACTCAAAAGAAAAACCTTATCAGTCTGACACTACCCTCTCATAACCCAGGAGTAAGGAGGTGTTGCAGTCCATGTATTTTCACTATTCCACTCTGTGCTAAAAACTGTCTGAAAAATTACTGGCCCATTGGTTTAAGTTACATTTCCCAAACAGAGTACTGTACCTGGCTGAACAGTTTCCACTAAGTCCCACTCCATCTGGGCCTGTTCAAGTGTTGTTGGAGGTGAAGGTAGCTTCCTAATTCCTGGCGGAATATTATCTTTGTCCGATCTCCGTCTTCGTTTACCAGGTCGCATTTGATCTGAGGTAGGACTGGTTGACGCTGATTCCTTTTCAGAATAATTAGTAGTTTCTTTGCGAGGAGAGTATCTGTTCAGTTCTGATGCACTTGATCTGTAAAAATTAAAGTATACAGTTAGGCTTCACAATGAGTAGACAGGCCTGAGTGTAAACTAGAGGGAGGGCATTCTTGAATTCATACGATTCCCTCTTGGCCAAGAAATATAGATAATTGAAAATAATAGAGCAACCAAACCTTGCCCTGGATCTGTGGTTATGAAATCCTGTATACACCCCTGTTGTCAATAAATAACATTTTTTTTCCCACTGAGAATAATTTTTTTATTTTTGCTCCTCACAAGATGTCTTTAGAAGAAGAAGATTAAAGTGCACTGCACATGACAACCTTGGCTAACTTTATCAAGATGCACAAGATTGGCCACAACTCCTTTAAAATACAGCTTGTAAAACATGCACCATGTGAATATAACTGAACAGAGGTAGAAATTTTGCCAATTCAAGTAATTCCATAAGTTTCATTCAAGTTATTATTGGTTTTGAAGTTTGGTACTTAAAGCTTATTGAAGCAAATTGAATTTACAGGGAATTACAATGTTCCGTATGTTGTGAAAATAATGATTCATTGATTAAATACTCGATTCGTAACGCCAAAATTAGTAAGATCCACACTTAGTATAATCTAGAAGACCGACAAAATGTCTTGATTTCACGCTGTTTAGAGTGAATCTGTACCATCCTTGAAAAAATATTAAGATTGTAGGCTCTTAAATGACACATGGGGCGATATCAAGCACAAAATGATTAATTTAAGATTAGTATCCACCCATCAGTTAACAGAAACCTCAACATCGGAGGCTAAATATACATAAACTAACCCTTGACAAAAGCCTTCAAAAAAAACAAACAAACAAATATTGGTAAGTGTATCTGATCGTGATAAGTTTGCGGTGAATAATTTTCCCTCTCACCCTTGACTAGAAGGCAAACTACTAGGCAGTCCTTCTGTCTTAATGGGAAGCTGAGAAGGACCGTTAGACACCTCTTGACTGACGGCCGACTCCTTAATGGAACTGTCTGACTTCGCGTCAGCTTTACTTGGCGGAAGATTTTGGAAAGCACTTTCAAATTCAAGGTCGAACTCATCATCTTCATTTCGATTTTGCTGAGCAGCAGCCCGCTGAAAAGCCTTTTCTGCTTCTGCTTCAAGATCATCGGGGGCGGCCTTTCGGTTCTTGAGATTTGCCATTGTTAAACGATCGTCAATATCGTTAGGGAAAGTGCTAAGGGCGCCATCTTTGATCGAATACAACTGGTCCATTCTCAGCCCCTCCCGGGTAAATTTTCTTGAACGACATCAGGGGTACTGTTGGGATAATGTTTCATACAGCAGAAGGAAAAAAGAACCGAAAAACTTAAGGAGAGAGAAGAGTTAGATTCATAGGTGGTTAGATAATTTAAATTCTTTCATCGACTGTTGTCGTCATTTTATTCCCCGAAAAAAGCTGAAGATCATTGCTCAATGAATATCTCTATGGGTCCCCTCGGTGTTACCACACGTTTCTCTTCCTCGTTGTCTCGTGGTGGCACGTGACTATTTAGATCCTGTTGAACTTTTCGATTTCCCTCTCGTTGTGTTACATGTAATATATTCTTCCGATTTTCCTTGAAGATTCAGGGAATGGAGTCTTTCCGGACAAGAACTTTATCGTCGGGAGAGGATGTCTCTGAAATCATAAGTAGAACGCCTGAACATACAAATCATAATTCTCACAGTAATCACAAAGGAATCAACAATATTTCTTCGTTATGGAGTGGTTTCACTGTTCACACAAAAGCTGACGATAGCGACGAACATTCAGTGGAGAAAAAGACTCTAAGAGACCACAGCTATATTTACACGTTTTTGTCAACAGTTCTTTTTACTGTCGCCCTAATCGTGGAGAAGATCTTTCATTTTAAGCTCTTTGAAAGTAGCCATGCTTCAATATTCTTCTTCTGGCTTGAAAGTTGTGCGATCGCTCTCTTCTTTAAATTCTGGGGAAGAAAGCGAATACGAGGGTAAGTAAAGCATTGAGCGAGAGTTAAATCAACAGCTGGTATAGGTAAATATTTACATAGACGGGAAGTCTCGCTGGAGGAACGATTGTAAGGAGCGTTTTTTATGTCTGAGGACCTTAGTGGACAAACATCGTCCAACGTGCACGCGCGTCACTTTTAAAGAAACCTCAGAAAGCTTTATATCACAGTAAGCTTGAATGTTTAAATTATAGATAATTTTTCTCAGTTTTTGTTTTGATAGCCGCGCGCGAGCCTTAAAACACAAAACTGACTGTGTTTGCTTTACTGAATTACAAGCCTTTGCCGCTTTCCAAACAAACTGGACAGTAACACCCAATAGGTAATGGGCTATCAGTTATTGTGTGCGGCTTTTTCTATATATCTTATTGGTTCCTGGGAAAATCAATTTGAAGTTGGACAAAAGAAAGTATTTAGGTTGTTGTCAGTCACCAGGACTTCAGGAGAGAAATATTTAAAATTTCGTAAAAGCCTCACACACTTTGGTGTGTTAATAGCTGATGAACATTCTGGCAAATTTTCATGAAGATCTTATAAATCTATATAATATATTAATATGTCTTAACAGAGGTAACTTGCATTTAAAAAACCTGAAATTTTTGGCCTCTAAAGAAATTCCCGATTTTTGCACCTCACTTAAGTGCCTGTCAATGCGTTCATGCTACCTACCAATGAAACGCAACATGGAACCCCCTGGCAAGTCATGTAACAGAGGACTTTGAAATTCATAGGAAAGTTCACTTTGCAAAATGGGTAAATCAGATTTACTATGGATTAAACAAACTCCAAAACTTCATCGAAAAATTGAAAGGAAAAGTAGGTAATTGGGATTTCAAGCTACTTCAATTTCTTATGCTCAGGCTCTTGGCAACTTTTCTCTGTTTGACGGTTTGATAAAGACTCTCATTTCTCAGTGTTATGCAAAATGTACCAGAAATTTCCTTTTGTTATGCAATGAAACATGCAATGTAAGCAGAATATGTAAATCAAAGTTGCAATGAAAGCCTGTGGAAAATGTCAACACTCTGTTGGAGGCCAAAAACATTCTTTTAGTGGTATCGCATGTTATTTTTAAGATTTTGCAATTATTTTTTCAGCAAACTAGACTGCAATTGCAGTAACTATAAGGACATGACACCACTGATCAAGAAGTCAATAACAGAAAGTGTTTACAAGAATTGTCACTTAGTATTTTGCAATTAATTTGACTGAGTGTGTAAAGTGGGGAATCGGTCAAAAGACTGAGTTTTTTTAAAATAAAATATTTAGGTAATACGTATAGTGTCCTTAGGAGGGATGGGAAAGACTAATTGGGTATCAAAAGTAATTCAGAATATCTGGGATTACACAGGTCTTTTACTTCTCTTCTCTTTCTGAATGGTATAAAAATTCTCTGCATCTTCACAAACAATAACATCTCTTACTTAAACCTGTTGTGACTCAAATTTGTACATGTTTACTTGTATCTACCATGAGTTTTCATTGCCTTCTTGGAATACTTTTTGTTGTTCTGATGGGATCTTTTGCTTCTGTTGGGTTTGGTTTAAACCTTTACACCCCAACATCAGTATACACATTCTCTATACTTATCTCTATACATTTCCAAGGAGAATTTGTTTAACAATCAAGAGCGTCTTTAGTTGATGGTTATTTCCTTTATTCCTGTGACCTTAAAGTGTGATTGAGGGTTAGAAATTGTAAGGAGAAATTAGATGTTAATCACTCTTAGGGGTCAAAAGGTTAAGAATGTTCAAACCAAAAGAACTTTACTAGGATTGGTGGATCTGTTGAAAATAACTATATTCCTACTTAATTTCGTATGTACTTCATTTTGCATTTTGTGGTGTAGAAAAAATCACAAAATTTAAGACTCATGAAGGAAAATCCTTGTGGAATTTTCACGCACAAAATTTAATACCCATGTAGAAAAGTTAAGACATTTTGAAAAAGAAAATGAAGTTGACATTGCTTGTTTCACAAAATTCAAGGCCCTATTTTCATATTTGCCTGTTGAAATTGCAAAAAGTTAAACCCAGTTAAGTACCATTTTGCCAAATTTGCAAAATTGAGCACATGCTAAATTAAGTATGAATAAGGTAAATGATATGAGAAGCTGAAACATGCAAATATTTTGATTGGTTCTTAACTATGATCTTTTGAAGGACAGATAAAGAGATGACATCATCATTATCAATTTTTGCCTCTTCTTTATTAAAAAAAAACAAATAGATTCCATGTCGCCATGGGTCTATTAAGTAAAAGATCTCAAAAGTCATCAGAAGGTGATAAGAACATCATTGACACACTTAGGTGCACTCTGTGTGCCATTCACTTGTTCCCACCACATTTGGCATCATCTGTGATCTATTACTGTTCATCTTGTGCAGGGAGCTGTGGTATTAATTTTTTCAAGTTTTCTTTGTCTTTTCTCGCATCAGTTCAATGTTTAGTCTGTAATGATCTGTGTACACTTACTGACGTCAAACTTACAGCTTCTCTATATTGTTTATTTTCAGTTTCAGGAGCCAAGCAAGACATTTTTTCCCCATGCTCTTTTTACATGTAGTTTCCGTGACTGTCTTTTCTGTGGATTTTAATACATCAAACTTCAGAGTATCTGGAGGTTCTGCAGCATATATGGTATGTATCAGTTCTTGTTGCTAATCGATTGAAAAATATGAACACCATTTCTTGTGGGAAGAGAACAATTTTCCAAGAGTTAAGCTCAAGGAAAACTGTGGGTTTGACTATGCTCTGGAAGGTATCATTAAGATTTTCTCCAGTAGTCCATCTTAGTTGCCAAGCCTTTGAACAGGAGTGAGGCTAAGGGTGACCTGGTTATGTTACAAACATTGCTACTTTTCAAATGTAGATTACTTTGTTATCATGCCAACTAGATACTGGTCCCCATCACAACAAGGTCACCTTCAGCCTCACTCCAAATCGAAGGCTTGGCAACTATGTGTAAGTACACAACTGTAAAATGGCCTATTTTGTATGGGATATTTATGATCAAGTGGCATTTTAAGAATGTAGGAGATGTGGTGAGTGTCTCACATTGTGGAGGTCTGGGCTCAAGACCTGGTCCAATTCAAGTCATTGTGTTTTATGTGTGGGCAAAAATACTTCACTTTCACAGCACCTCTCTCTGCCTAGGAGTATGAATGGGTACTGGTGAATTTTCTGGGAACCCTGATGAAATGCTGAGGGGTAACCTTGCGATAGATTGACATCCCATCCTGGGGGGTGGGGAGGGGGGGGAGTATTAATCCTCTTAGTAGTTTCATGCCATAGAACCTGGCATAAGCTCCTGCTGGATGGGTCACTTGACTCAAGTACAGATGTTACCTACTTACCTACCTGTGGTAGTGAAACTGTTTGATCTGTTATGGTATGAATTAATGTTTGATCAATTGTTGAATTATAACCAATTTGTATTTATCTGTCCCAGCTATCACTTGCCCTAACACCAGCAATGGTTCTACTAGCATCATGGTTGACCAGTCGTCAGTGTTATAATGACAGGATTGTCATATTTGTGGTTATTCTATGTTCACTTCTCGTGGTTCTCTTCTGCTCACTTGAGGATTCAACAGCAAAATTCAAAGTGTCATTTAGTGATGGTGTCTTTGCCTTGATAATGAGTGCTTCTTTGGCTTTTTTTACTGTGCATGCAAAACGCTTTCTGCATAAGGTATGTATCTATATGCAGGTCTTAGGCAATTTTTTTTTCTGTACATAGAAAAGTGTATTTGTCCAGGGTATTTATATGTCATTAAACATGTCTGTAATGTAGGTTATTAGTTCAAGCATAGTTTCTTAGAATTAAAAAAAAAACTATATAAACTGGTAAATTTATGTCAATTAACTAAGGGACTAGTTATTAAGAAAACTTTATTCAAGCCCTACTCTGTACTTGTAATAAATCTTCTTTTATTTGTTAATATTATTAACTTTGCAATTTCTTTTTCAAAGGATCTCTATAGCCTTAATCCTTACAAGTACCACTGGAATGTGTTTATTGTTCACTTAATCCTTTAATTCCCAGATCAAATTTGTCATTCTCCTCACTTTGAACCACACAGTTCTTGTAATGTTAGTTCAGAGAATTTAGTATCGGATCAACTAATTATCCCCAAATTTATATTTTTCTTTATTCTCATCACTTATCTGGTTGATATTGTATTGATATTGTAAGGAGAAATTCTGTCTTGGTCAGTCATGGGATTTAAAGGGTTAATAAATGTGCTTAATGACTGTGATTTCTTATCTGTTGCAGGCTTCACATCCAGAGCTACTTTATTTGTTAAATTTCAGCTGTGTTGTATGTCTACCATTTATTGCCTTGTTGTTTGGTGAGGTTCCTGCTCTGGAACTGGAGGTGTCACGGAGAGGAATGGTGAATGTCATCTTCAGTGTGTTCTTTCTGGTGAGTTTACTTAACTTGATAGCACTTTGGCATTGTTGATTTTCTATAGTACTTGAAAAATGCGCACAAAAACTTCATCTTTGTCGGGTAATCAAATTATTTCAAGTGCAATTTAGAATAAATAAGCACATATTTTTTTTTTGAAAAAATATATTCTGTCAAAACAACCATTGTTCTTTTCCAAGTTACAAAAAATGTTCGAAGCTCAGGTGCTCAAATTTCTCCCGTTCTAGCTCTGATTAACTTTTCTGCACTGAATTAATTCTCTTGTGCATTGTATTACCAGAAAACTGTACCACTTTTAACCAACCAGATTGAAGAAATTTTAATACTTATTATTAGTTATGATTGGTTTGTGACAGGGTTTTTCTTTTCAATTGATGCATTGTAAACAGGATGAATAAGCACACATAGAATATCATTAATGATGGTGGTACGACTGAGTGGAGTCCAATTCAGTTTGCAATCCTACGAGTGATATAAAAAGTTGGACGACCCCAAGGGGGAGAGTTAAATATGTCAATTTGGAAGCATTGGAAATTGTTAAGCCCTCCCCACTCGGGGCGATTGTTAGGGCATTAAAAGCGTGTTGAGCTTGCGCTTCCTGTGCGTTTGTCTGGAAATCTATTCTACTACACAATCAGCTCCCAGTTGGCTTGTTAGCTCAGTTGGTAGAACGCTGCACCGGTATCGCAGAGGCCATGGGTTCAAATCCCGTACAGGCCTGAATTTTTTTCAGGTCTTATTTCAATTACTAGTTCAGTAGTGTTCATAGCTGCGAGGGTCGCTTATATTCGTTTCTTCACCGCAGTGCACATATATGATTTTCATATATTTACAGTCATTATTCTAACAAAATTGTTACCGTCTCTTATGCAAGGATGTTTAAACGTTCGTTTGGTTTTTCCCTTTCAGGCTGTCCTTCGTTTAACCAGTCAAGCTGCTCTCCTTTATCAGCTTAAGTTCTCCACTCCTCTTCTCAGCACCAACACTCAAGGTTTTGCGTGGATTTGGATCACAATAGCAATCACGTTTTTAACCAAGTCTGAAAAAGGCGATCTCATGATGCCGGTGTTCGCGGCGTTTTGGTTGTATGGACTATTTATATTTCTACCTTCCTTGTTTTCTGACCTTCGGTGGATATAAACCAAGGGGTAGAATGACGATAGAACAGAAAAAAGACCTGAAATCCTTGGGAACTAACGAAGGAGACGAGTTGTCGATAAACATAGAGCGAGCTTATGATGACATTGCGAGGCCAAGTTAACCTGCTTGAGATCTCCACCCTGTACTTTGGGCTTGGCGAATCTTTGACCGCCTTGAACCTTTGTGAACTAAGGTCTTTTAATGCACGGTCAAGCGAATGAAGGTGATCTTGGTACATTCGGCTGACGAATTGACACAAACCGACCATTTTTTATGATACTGACGATGCTAGCAGTTGTAGTTGTTGGAAATAGTTATGGACGGCTAAGAATATGTTAAGTCATATATTTGAACTGTAGATAAAGGCGTGAATATGAAAGTGATCCTCGCAGTAATAAACACTACTTGAACAGTAGTGAAAATAAGGCCTGAAAAAAATTTGGGTCTGTACGGGATTTGAGCCCATGACCTCTGCGATGACCTCTGCACCGGTATCGCGGAGGTCATGGGTTTCAAATCCCGTACAGGCCTGAATTTTTCAGGCCTTATTTTCACTTTCATATTCACGGAAATAGTTATGTCTACGACGTTTCTTCACAATGGATTTGGCAGTTCCTGATCTGAGAGAGCAAACAACTTTTTCAGAATTTTTAATTCACACTCTGTTTAAAAAACGAAAGGACAAAGTGGCATCTACCTTCGCAAGTTACATGTAGATAGTTCCTGATTCGAAATGTCCTCATTCTGAAAAATAATTTTTTATGTCCACGAAGCTTCGTTTTGGAACCAATATTTGTGTTAAGGCTTGGACGCTCAGACAATAAGTCGTTTGACATGTTTCTTCGACAACTAGCAAACTGCTTTCAAAGCAATTTGTTGTTCCTTATCAATTCATCCCTTCGGTGGTCAACCGCATTCAAAAGCATTTTGAACAGACGCTACTTGTTGTGGGACAACATTCTTTTGGGGATTAAGATGTTCTCAAACATTTCCCCTGTCACACGAGGTAAATTATGGCTAAGTGTAGCTGCCATCACTTGTCGCCCATTGCGTCCAGGCCTTTCAGAGCGTCTAATTGTCCTCGGCTGCTCGATCAGCCCTTAATTCTGTAATAAATTTGGACTGTTTTTGATACAAGTTTAACACAGAGCGGTCAAACGTCCACGCATGTGCGAACGTTGTAATGCTTTCAGGCTTTCAGAACCCAATTTTGCCTTGTAAATTGGCGCGCGGTGGGTCAGAATTGATCCCCTCGCGCATGTCCGACGTTTTACCGCTGTGTCCAAGTTAAATTACCTTTGAAGTTAGGGAATCGCGAAAGATTTGTTTGGTAAGACGCGATTTTAATTTTTTTACAAAATGCTTTACTTTCTAATTGCCGTGTTATGGCATCGAAATTCTTCACTTTTTGTGAATGTAGGTTTTTGAAAGAGCTAGTTCTAGCCTCTTTCAGTCTTTTGGTCAACGGAAACTCGCGAAAGAGCTGGTGATTGAAAAACGGCGAGAGCCAAGAACTAGCAAAAGGAGTTAGATTTGCTTTTATTGATTCTCTACCAGTTGTGTACCGATTATTTAACGATGGTTTTGGCAACCACGTTGCAGAGAATTTGTTGAAATAAAAGTTTTTTTTAATGTTGTTAGTATTGTTGTTATGATTGTTGGAATACGCTCAGCAAAGTTAGGATTTAAGGGTGATATGATGGTTTCTCTTCTCGACGACCGTAACGAGACAAATTTTCTGTAGAGTGGCAAGAGTATTCTCCATGACGGCATAGGTTTCACTTCACTGCGCTCCACGATTGGCTATAAAAACTCACGTTCCCTTCCCTGTTAATCAAATGCAACACTAAAATTGATCGTGACTTTACTACCTGGGTCTACATCACGTTTTCACTGGCTCCCAAACTTCTGTTCGGATTGACTCGATAAGTTTGCTTTTTTTTTCTTTTGTTTTGTTTAGTTTTGCGATTTTATGACACTCTTAAGGAAACTTTGTCTGTCCTCCCACTTCAAGCAATTGTTTCTCCAATCTTCGCTACGGTTTCCAAAGTGTGTGTACGTCGCTCCTCGTTTCTCTCGACAATGGTTCTTTCACTACATTTATGTCTAGAAAGACCCTTGACACTCTAAGATTACACTCTTAGTGATTGTGTTGATAGTATATTCTCAGAAGTACCGGTGGAGAGGCACTTTCAATACTATGAAACACGGGCCCGTAGGAGAGGAATTTTTATCCATGCCTCGCCCAGTAAATGGCGATGAAACATTTGAGAGGTCCTGCACACGAGTTTTAAGATCCACGCTCTTTCATTCAGCGGTTTATTCTATCGACAACATACTATCCTTCCCTCTTTCACTTGAATTATGCAAAGCATGGAAGAATTTCCGTATTCGGTCAGCTTCTGGTCGTTGGATTAAGTGCTTTTAATTTGCGTTGACAGTCTAGATACCATCACACTTTCCTGACTTCAGTGGATATTTAATGGGTGATGAATGCAACCTCTATAATTTCAGGCTCTTGCCACACTTGTCACCCACTTTAGTCACTCTGTTTAAGAGGTATGAGAAGTGTCTCAGTCATGTTAAAGCTGACAAACTAATATACTCAGTGTGATACCCTACAATGCTTGCTATGTTGGTTGAGATTTAGGGTCAGCATATGACAGCTCCTTAAGCTACGGTCAGTAGTCCATTTTGTCCTACCCAAAACCCTTCTCACTGCTACTCCTTGTGTGTATTTTTTAAAATTCCTGGCTAAATTTGTGATTCCTAGCGAAATTTAGAACCCACAGTGTCTTAGACCTATTTGAGAAGACTACTTCAGAATGTCTTGTCACATCATATGCTGATTGAATTGTAAAGGCAGCACATACCAGTACACCTCTGTTAGTTAACACCCCAATAGTTTACCTGGTGTTAGGCTCAAGCCCTCGACTATTTGCATGGCAGTTGAGCGCTTTGCCAATTTAGTTGTAACTGGTAGGTGGTCTTGCAGCTTTGGTCAGCAAATCTTGGGAAGAAGACTTGTCAAATCAAGTTTTCTCAAACAATCTCAACTATCAGAGTATCTGTGCCTTCTCAGGCTGTGGTCTATTAAACATACTACACAATTTCAACTGATCGGTATTGTATGAAGTGAGCAAGCTTGTGCCACAATGGGTACCATATATTAACAGCCTCCCTATTTTTCTACAGACCACTTATGGCTTAGTAACAGTGCCACAATACTGACAAATGAAAATTTAAATCAACAAATTTTCAATAAGGGGAAACAGAGAATTTATGCCTGTACCCAAATAAGTATCTATTGGTGAGAGGGTTATTTTCCCTTTAAGAATACTTAATTTGAGTGGTTCTGAGTGAAGGGGGGAGACTGCAAGTAAAAAGGTGTCGGTGTGAACCCTGGCTGGGTCTTTGTGCTGTGTTTTTGAGCGAGATGTTCAACTCTCCCCGTCTAGGAGTTTAAATGAGTTCTGGCAAACTTTTGAGGAAAGCTGACCAAATGCAGAGGGTCAATAGGAGGGAGGGGGGGGGTGGGGTGGGTGGTAACCATGGACTGGCATTCTGTCCACAGGGAATAAGCAATACACTTAGTCACTTCATGCTACTGAAACTGGGATAAGCTCTGATGAGGTGTGTAAGCTGACTCAACCTTTCATAATTATGAGGGGGTGCTAGTCATGGGCTCTGTGCTCATCCTTGGTTTTAGTCTTTTCATCTGTTATTGGAAGTAGCTTGGGGAAGGGATAACTGGTTTCTTTGCTGATCAAGAGAAACCACAGAAAAATTTTTCATCTGACATAGCTAACAGCTTGCTCTCTTTTTCATCTCATACTTTTTTAGATTATTTTAGAGAAAACACTTCAAGTAGTGTTTGTTACTTCAACAAGAAGTTATTTTCCATCTACTTCACTGCACTTCAACCGTTTCAAGGTAACTAGATATATGTGGTATTGGGTGTAAGGTGTTAGTTAAAAAGTAGGGTTTATAGTATTGTCCATCTCTGAATATAATCGAAGTTAAAAGTGACGTATTTAGTCTACGTAATGAAAAATCAGAGACATCAAAACACCCAATTAGGTCAAAGGAAGATACCGTATTTACTCTAATAAGTGCCCTCCTCTGAATAAGCACCCATTCCTACAGGCTATAGTGTCAAACAAACGCCCCCCTAGAGTAAGCGCCTTCCCCTCCCTCACTTTCTTAAATAACAGCGATACAAAGTAAACCTCTTTCTATTTCCACTTTATTTACAACTTTTTAAGCTTCAATAAGAGCGGGATCAGCACAAGAGAAAATTTTCTTTTCTCTTCTACTTTATCTATGTCCATGTGTTTGAAGAGTTCCTTTGTATGTGCATTGTCTGTTTTTTTCTTGTTTTAGTTTTTGTCCCATTGCTGCGCCCCCACACCCCCCCTTGATTGAGCACCCTCCCCCCCCCCCCATGCAACGCTGTTCCCTACAGCCCAGGTTTTAATTAAGCAGTACTATAAGAAACCGATTAGAAATAAAATTTAAGACAAACAAACTGCTTGAAACGCGGTAAAACGCGATTGGCTCAGTAGGGATTGGTTTTAATTTCAATGTTATTTTTTTAGGGGATGGCGCCATTTTTCTACACCAATCACTAAACGAATGTACAAAAAAATCGACGGAAAAATACTCATATAAAAATTTCTCTTTTTCCTAATCTTTGGAAAACGTTAACCGTATGGATTGAATCCCAAATGGTAAATGAACAGTTTTCAGCTGGAGAAATGTCGGTTGCGGAGCAAACGTGTCAATGATGTTTTTCAAGGATTGTTAAGTGTAAAAAAAATATTTCAAGAAACGGCGGTTTAGTTGGAATAGATTGGGCTGACGTTTTTTCGGGATATCTGCATCCATTCCGAGTAAGTCTTGTCCAGTTTTTTGTTTTTTTCTGCACTTTCTTCTGGTGCTTTCGGTTTCTTTAGCGTTTGTTTCTTATATCTGCGCTGAAATTATCATTAAGTGTCACTATTTAAATCTCGCTCGTGCAATGTTATCGTCCTTACGAGGGTCGGTTCATAACAACGACTGTAATCTGCTACCGTGACTGAAATTTTTAGCAATCTGAGCGAGAGCCATCATTAGTTATGCACTTTGAACTGACAACGAGTTTTAATATCCGACATATCCAGTTCACATTGTGGATACCTTCTGTCACAAGAAAACTGTACTAAATTATTCACAGTGACACTAAAATTTCCCGTTATTCTTTTCTAAAATTACTGTGTACATTTACTTGCTCTACTGGTACAAGACCATGTGGGTTTGCTTTGAGGCGTACGTTGCACAATTCGGAGGGGGGGCGTGATGACCTCCGCGGGGACAGCGTGAGTTTGTACTCTTTTCATCTTCAACATCTTATTACGTTTGTTTATTGGTAGATGAAAGATGTTTTTTCATTGCCGTGTAATTTTGATAAACTCTTAGTCTGACTCAGTAGATTGTTCTGATATTATTTTTCTCTAGCATCTCAAAAAATTGGTTCTTTTTAATACGACATGTACTTTTGACACTGATCACGTATTTATTGAAATATAATAATGAAGCCTCAACGAAGCCATAGATTGGGAGAATAACACGTTCAAGTCTGAATATAACATAGTACAGCTTTGAATATTATCCAGACGGATTTCACTCAGCCCGGACATTAGCTTCATAGAAACAATGGTGTAATTTATTCCCACTCAAGTCATCACATTGCGGTTGTCACGCAGTTTGATTTCTTTTGTTTGCTCGCTGCGCTTTTATCAGATGAACGAATAGTCCTGACAACTACACGTGCACAATTTAACTGCTGTCTTTTGTGTCTGTCCGCTATCTTACTAAACTACCCGATACACACAACAGCTAATGTTTGTGGTTTGAATTGTCAAATAAAAGAGGCCTAATTTTATTTCCTGTTTCCGATGAGATAATCAAACGATTCACCTTGCCTATTTACGTGCTATTTGTTTGCTCTTAACATTGCTATGCCTTGAGTCATCACGTTATTATTAGCTAAAATTTATTTTTCCCACGCAATTTCAAGTGGTAGACGAGTACCTGGTACCCCAGCCGATACAATTTGTACTTGGAAGAAATTTGTTTCCTATCTTTTGTGGATACTTTCGCAAGGAAGGGTAAAGCCGGTTCAGTGGAAGAACGAGGTTATAACAGGGAAGCTGAAGTTTGAGTGCCTCTTCTCTCCGAAAATTTTAATCAGATGTTAGAAGTGCTTAATAAAAACGATGTATGGATTGGACGTCTATCTTTTTCTACTTGTATGATATACCAGCAGGTCGAGAAATATTAAGAAACAAGTTGAACGGTGCCTATAATTGTATTTAGGACGACTGAAATTTGTTTCGATGGTATTTTATTGATATTGTTTCACTTCGTGAACTGGAGAGAAATTTTATGGCGAGCCACTGCGATACTGATTTGATCCGCACAAAAAGAATAGACCAGTACCATTCGTCTAAGGATAAATATACAGTGCAGACAATTAACAGGAAGGTGGTCTCTTAGTAACACGACTGAGTTTGATCAATTTTACCTGTGAAAGCAAAACCACGAGCTCTGGAAACGAGAT